CGAAACCTCCACGAAACATCCACGCCTCGCGCGAGGTAACTTTATCCCTATTCTAAAAATAACTCGAGACGAATTACCTATGGAATAGGGTGTATATGGGGGATGCCCTCTCTGTCCCTTTATAGTCTGTTGGTAACCTCTATTAAAAGACTGAGTAATTAAGAAGAAAAGGTTGACACAAATGTGACAAAAATGCTACGAACCGTAATGAAACAGCTTTTCAACTACACGGTGTTACGTTGAAAAGCATTTATTCTCCTCGCTCTTCGCCGATGGGAAGGTTTCGCGCGAAACGTCCACAGCGGCGAAGAGCGAGGAGAAACGGATATTTTCCCAGGCTACCCACACAATTGCCCACAGTCATGATATTAACACCATCTTGACGGGTAGGCAAACGCGTGAGAAATTACAGTGTTTGTATGAGAATCTAATGTCGAATAATTTCCGTGGAACGGCTGTTCTGAAAAAAATATGATTTGTAAACTAAAGCTTCACTCCTAAGGATTCTACTGAAAAAAATTGAGGGCGTTACATGCACTAGAAGACCTAGAACCACTTTTTAAAGTTTTCTATACATTTGCCTGTAAGAAAGTCCCGGGAAGATTACAGACAAATTAATGGAAAATCTAAAGCAAGCCTCTGGAGAAATTTAAGCGCGGGTACGATCCCCAAATTTTTTCGGACAATCCTTTGCTTAACCTTTGTAGTTTTAGTTTACAATTGATATTTTTTTCAGAACAGGGGTTTTACGGAAATTATTCGACATTAGATTCTCATACAAACACTGTAATTTCTCACGCGTTTGCCTACTCGTCAAAATTTTATAACCATTGTTTATAAGCTTTTTTCTTTGGACTACTGTAATACCCAAGCGAAATTTAAATCAATGGCTATGCAACTTTTGGGGGATGAACAAGGTATCTTTTAGGCAAGTTGGCAAGTGTGGAAAAAAAAATTCTAGCGTTTGTCCAGGTTTTGTCAGTGACTGCAAAACGCTGGCTCAGCAGATCTTGTTGAGTTCGCCTTCCAAAGCTGCTATAGAAATTTTGCCCCAATCCAACAGGTTTTTGATATTATAGGAATTTTGGATTTGACTTTCAGGTGTTTTATAGCATTCATTTTCAAAAGTAAAAACCGGATTTTTTTAAGGCTTATTATGCATTCGAAGATTCGAAACGTAGCGATTCTAACTGCAAAAGTGACAACATCGCAACTACTAAGACAAAAAAAATCATGATTCTTTATTATTGTCTTTTTAAAAAACATTTTTACCTGACAAATAAAGGCTTCCACCATTCTGTTCACTAATTAAATCGATAATTAAAAGAACAGGAGAAAGGGGCCAGAAGTCGCTTATACATTACATCTAATTTGCTATACATTCTACTTCCTCGTTTAATACACTATTCATTTTTTCAAAATGCTCTTTTGGATTAAACATTTTATAAGAACACGAAATATCACCAGGGATGTAATAAAACTTTTTAGCTTTGAGATACTTCCTGGTTTAGTATTGTATGTAAGCTATATCATGAAGGTGAGAGAGATGACAAAAACCGCTCGGCGTGTTCAATCATGAAGGACAGTAAAATCAATACTTTTAAAATAACATGAATTTTTAGCTGAGAGGTACGGTAAACTAACTCGATAAACGAAAAAGTTGCCTTAATGTTTCTTTTACAGCTTGCCTTACTTCTCTGATCTTCCAACCGTAAAGCAATGGGTTAAAGGACGAGTTTAGATAAACCAAAGTAGCCGTAAATTGCGAAGCAAGCCAAACCGAAGAAGACACCCTCCCTCTTTGAGATGCCATTATTATGGCGGTAATAAAGAACGGCAGATAGCAAGCAACCAATGTTACCTGCACCCACAGTGCACTGTACACTGCCTTTCTGTATCGAGCTGTGTTTAGGGTAACGGCTTGGCTCGGTTGCCCTGTGTGGTTACGACGAAGAGTAATAAAGATTTTTGTGTATGAAAAAAGAGAGATTGAAAGACATACAAGGATTACGGTGCCATACAGCCTTGATGGAACATGACTCTGAGGATTCCAAAAGTAGATTAATGAGCATAATGCGAAGACTATGGACAAAATCCACATGGCAGCTACAATTAAATATGTTCTCCTCAAAGTTACAACTTGTCTGTATCTAAGTCCAAGCACAAGAGCGAGAAGTCTGTCCACGCTTAATGCGGCGAGTGTAAATAAAGAAACCGCACATACAAGGAAACCTGACATAAAATTTGTTAAACTTGCGAAATAGCAAATATTCCATTTTTCGTTCAGCATCGAAATCCAAGCAACAACATCCAGAGGCTCCACAATGATACCAACACAGAGATCAGTTATCGCTAGGTTACGATACAGCAGTTTGGACGCCGGATGAAGTGAAAATTCTTTGTGTAAGGCAACTAAGATCAGAGTGTTCCCAAGAAATGCAGTCAAAGAGAAAAAGATATTTATTGCCGGAAGAAAGATCAGCTCACCATGCACTTCTTCAGTAAATTCTGCCGAGCAGGACTGTTGTAGGATTGTCTTATCTTCAGTAATATTGCTTAGTTCCGCCATTTCCGTGTGGTTGGAAGATGAACTGACCACCTGTAAGTTCGCGCTTTTTTCCCGCCTGTATTTTTTCCTATTTTGCTGATTGAGAGACTAATGATGCTTTGTTTATTTATTCCAATTGCTATTATAAAGATCAACAAAAGGAGCCAAATTTTGCATTGCAGCTTTTAAAGTTTAGAAGCTGGGGGAGCATTAAATAACAAAACAAAATTTACTTAATAAGGTGTAGAGTGTAAATTTCTACAAGGAAGGCTCAGCTTGAATTGGACACAATGTCGATTTTCAGAATCTCTTTTCGGATCTTTGTTGCGTATAATATTCATTGCAACCAGAAATTCTAATCAGAAATTCTAATCAGTAAATATCAAAAAGGCGTGTCTTAAGTAACATTCTTCAAACGATTAAAGAATAATGTTTGTGTGTTTCAATTAAATTGCTGGCATTGTCAGGTATATAAACATTAATCGCAGGAGGAGGCGTAGAGAGAAGCCTTTAATGGTACAAACTATTAACCGGTCCAGGTGCGGGTAGTTTGTAATTTTTTTTTGTTGTTATTGTAAAAGCCGAAAATTGAAAAAGCGATGAAAACTAGTTTTAATTGAGAGAACTAAGATCCAAAAACCATGGGTATAGACAACTTAGCTAAGTATTAATAAAATGTTTTCACTCTCAAAGAATCAACATCATCTTTTGCTAAAATTATAACGCATGTCATTTTTTTTAATAACGGAACAGCCTTAGTCAGTATAGACACCTGGCTGCTATTTATGTTAATATACGTTTATGACGAGTTAAAATAAAAATTCATAACATGCAGACTTTTGTTCGTATTCTTACTTTCATTTCCTGACCTTTTTCGCTTTTTTTTTTTTTTTTCAAAAATACAAGTGGGAAAGCAAAAGAAACGGGGGAAGTAGCGAAAGGATTTGTGAGAAACACATTTAGGTTGTTTAAGAGAGAGGTTGTTTATTATATCTCAGAGAGAGGTGGGTTTGGGGGAGGAAGGTAGATTTTTGAAAATGTACAAAATGTGAGAGGATTGTTGAACCAAATTAAAATTGAAGCAAATTCACGTTTCCTTCAATAGTAGACAAAAAAATCGCGCTTTTGTGGTTCTTTCTTGCAACAAACAGGCGACCTCGAGCTCGACCTCTTCAATTCTGTTGTGTCCCTTCTTTTAACCTCCGCACAACACACTCCAGCGATAACAAGATTTCAATATTACTAAGACACTTACTAAAGAAAAGATTAATACTTTTCCTTCTTTACTTTTTCTCGAACTGTACACCTTTTTGCATGCTACTACGCGTTGAGAGACGCGCCCTACCCAGTCACATGCCTCTTTGCTACATTTAGTAGCCACCGTGGTCATCAATGGTACAAACGCAGGGTCAAAGAGGCGATTTACATCAGAATTCACACCCGTACAAAATTAACAGGGACCGTGGAATAGAACTTCTAGCAGAAAGCATGGATGCCAACCAGGAATTGGCCAGTGACGGTCCGTGGGCGTCTTTCCAGAAAACTGAGAATTGATCAGTGTGGGAGATCCGAGTAGTTATATCAGGGATGAATTCTTGTAGCCACTGGTTCGAGGTTTGCCGGCTACGTCTCTCTTCAGCAACATCCGATCTTACGATCCCTATCGAATCAGTGACGATAAAATCCACCGTTAGGATTCAGTGCAAACATCTGGTTCTTTCCACCAGTATAGCGTTACCGCGGAAGAGGCCCTTCCGCTCTCACATGTCAGACGTTGGAAAATTACGTTTTTACCGGTCGAAACCGATCGCTGACCAGATGATCGGAGCGGTTTTCTGCGATTCTGTTCGGAGACGGTCTTTTGGACACGGAATGCGTGTACCAAGACACGTCGCCTCTGTCGCCACCAGGAATAGAACTTAGGTTTATTGTTTTATTGTTTTAAAAAGTCCCATTCCATTCATGAAAATGAATTTTCTCTTGACCGTTAAATTATCATAATTTAAAAGACAGGACTAATGGTTGTCAAACTTTTCTGCCAAATTTACCGAACCTATTATCAGTATTTTAATACTAGACTAGTTAATAGTCGATTAAGAGCATGAAAAGTTCGACGCAAGGATCGTCAATCAGGATCGACAGATTTGTATTAGAATCAACTTCAAATTCGAATGTGCTTGACGAAAAAGTAAAGTAAGGTAAATAACGTATTTCCTTTAATTAAAGGCCGGGGGCGATTATTTTTTCCCTCGCACCGAAAGGGGGCTATTATTCGAGGGAGGCGATTATATCAAATAGTGCTCACTGGAACTTGAGCCCATTAAATAAAAAGCTAATCACATCACGGGCTTTTAAGAAAAAAAGAAGATCGCGAGGAAAGGGAGGAGAGGCGATAATTTGAGGGAGGCGATTATTGTCTGTTACCTTCTGTTGAAGTTGCCTCTCTAGAGCCTTTTTAAAGCAAAAAGTTAAAAACTGCTGTTTTCGAATTTTATTAACCACTTCGTTTTGTGCATGCCTTTTCAATTACTATACAATTCTTTTACATTGAGAAATTATCATGACACATGTATGTTGAAAAGTGTTTCGAGATGGCAAGAGATACTACAATAAAGTAAATAGAGATATTTACAAGATGACACGGCCATAACTATATATATACAAATCTTGAAACTCTAGAAAACGAACCTATGTCTTAAATATTATTTGATATGATCTATGCGTGTAAAACATATTAATTCATAAATTACAGAGGACTTTAAAGTTGTTTTTCTTCTAGCCTGGCTCCTTCTATCTTTGTTCGTACTCCGCTGCAGTTCATTGTTAGCTCGGCGTGTGCCATTTTCAATCGATTGATTTTCTCTCGTAGATCGTCACTCTAAAAACGGAAAACGAAACTTTCATCAGTAGTTACTCCTGGCTGGCATGGAGGAAGGGAGGAAGGTAACCTGTGCCAGGCTCTCAGATAGTATAGTGGGGACGTATTAAAATGAGCAAAGCGAAATAAGGCGCACGCGACTTGGGAATGATGCCTTGAGTGTTCTAAGTGAAAAAAGCTGAAAAAATTTGTTGCCTTTGAATTTGTAAACAAGGTCGAGACGAACGGTTAAACAAGCAATCATTCAATCAGTCAGTCAGTCAGTCAACCAATCAATCAATAAATTAATTAATTGATCGATTAATGAATTAATCATTTATCAACCAATTAATCAAGGCAAAACCGCGAGGGCAATGGGGAATGGACAATGAGGCTTCCCCGCTCGCGAATGCTCCCCAACAATCCGCCATTTATGCAGGTTACCTGAGTGAGTATCAAACACTGATGATTTCTTCTTCTATGTACACTACCGTTACCCTCTTTGCCTGGTTTTGACAAGTCTTCCAGATGTTTTCAAGCCCTTGATGGGTTAAAAAGTTTCCTTTAATCAGAACCAGTCAATTTGGAGAGGTAAGCGTGTAGTTTCAAAGAAGTACAAAATAAAACCTTTCAAATGCGCGAAAATGCCTTAAAAATATCTTGGATTTTAATTGGTTTTGCATTACTTTGATTGGGAACCCATCGAAACCTGTGAAAAATATCAAAACCATTGTGGAGTGGTAAACTCAGAGAGCGTGCTCTCTGTAAATACCTGCTCTTTTCTTTGCTCATAATCTCTAAGTAACGGTTCGTTTCCAAGAAGTCCACACTTCTGTCGAAGTTTGACATTTTCTATTCGCAGAGCATCTCGAACTTGCTTTGTTCGTGTAAGAATGTCTCGTTTCTGAAAAGGAAAAGGAAAAGGAAAAGAAATAGCTATCAGCAAATACCAAACAGCAAACAGCATACATATGACATCAGGCATGAATAGCCCCTTTTTTTTCATACTGAACGCGGAGTATGGAGAAAAAGATCGGGGAAGTCATTACGTAACGTTGCAAAGGTAGCAAAATTTCTGGATGACAACAAACCGAAAAACGTCACTTAAAACTGTTTTAGAGTTCATCGATCTCGTTCTGTTTCAATTAATTTGTCAAATTTTGGCTAAATTTTTTGGAGTTAAGTCCGAAAGGACCGAATTTGAGTTTACAAAAGGAAAAAAAAACATTGTGTGGTGTTTACCTAATTTATAAAGCGGACACGTGAAATTAGGAAGTTTCACGTCGTAGTCGTGCTACGAAGGTTAAGAAATATCCACAAGGGCAATTGTCACTGAAAAAGTCTCAAGCAAACTGAAATGAATTCTGGTAGATGCAGTCAAATGACGTCATCATGAAAATGGCCAATAGAGAGGAGAAGTGTGACGTCACGTTACCATGGTAGAAAAATTTCTGGATGGCGACGGCAACGAGAACGGCAAAAAAGCAATAAGTTTATATTAACAACACAACAACTCTGCACGTGCGTCACGCTTCTGTACATTTCTTTGCCGTCGTTGCACGACTGCGACAATCACATGAAACTTCCATATTTCACGCGCCCGCTTTATGGAGTAGGTGACCACAACACAAAAAACGTTCTTTTTCGAAACATAGATACGGTCCTTTTGGATTTAACCTCAGAAAAGTTCGCCAATATTTGATAAAAAATTGAAATTGAGTAACATCGGTGAAGTTTGAAACAGTGTGACTTTCGGTTTGTTGTCATCCAGAAAAATTGCTACCATGCCAACGTGACGTAACGACTTCTCCTTTCAGGGGCTTGTTACAGGTGCTGAAGAGAGACTCACCTGAGCTGCATGAGCCTCGACTGTTCTTAAACTGCTTCTCTGTTCGCTGTTCTCAGCCTGTACAAACTGCAACTTCTCCTTCAGATGCGTCAAAACTTGTACTGTGGTGGTGATTTTCTTGCGGAGTTTTAACAGCTCCTATTCAACACAAGAGGGGAAGCAATTTATTTTAAAGTACGGCTTTTTTGTGGAAACGGTGTTTATAACACAGATAAGGTTTGGTACATGAAAAGATTAACAGCAACAGCAACAACAAACAAGAACCTCGTGAAAGTCTGCCCTGGTACGTAACAGAGGTACTTTATAAAAATATTAGTACATTTTTAGGGCGAATACCTCCTATTTCAAAACTACTTACACGCACATTAAATTTTTGAGTTATAACTGATTACTGACGCGAATATGGGCCGTGAATAGGGCCACCAGGGAAATGAAAGTTAGCGATAAATGTTGCCTTTTTTACTTTGTTTCTACGGGGTAAATTCATTTTTGTAATTTAGATCTTGAATTCAACTTCGACTTAGGAAAGAAGAAGGTTTTAATGACAAAGTTCACCTCATTCCTCTCCTCGATTTTTTCGTTGTATGTCTGGTTTTCAATCTTGAGCTGTTCAAAATCTATTAAATGTAAACCCTCAGCCAGTTCTTCCTACACAACAAGAAAAAATAAATAGTTAATAATAACAATTTGCACGACTTTCCTGTAACATAATGTAATTTCATTATCAGTTCCCAGCTACTCTAGTTTATGGTAAAATGTAAAACGAGAAGCTTTCTAAGATTTATGATTACTATATTTCTAGGAATTTTATCTTACCTTGGCTTTCAGCTGCATTTCTCTCTTTTTTAGTCGGTTTTTCAGCTTAATATTTTCCAGGCGAACCTTAAAACAAAAGTAGCCGAAAAGCATTAATAACGACACAAATCAAAACGCATTAAATTTAAGCATGCAAAATAATCGTAACATTAGCAAAAGTGATCCTGCATCATAAATCTTAATCTGGATCATTCCAAGGGAACGCACTCATAGTCCCACGATGAAACAGAAAGTTATTCAGCATAATTCTGTGAAATTTCCCACGTAAAAGACGCCTTGCACGAGATGAGTTACGAGTTCTGCCGAAAAACACTGGGCACACAGGCTCACAACAGCCTACTGGCAGCCAACTGATAAGGATTTGTACGGGAATTTATCGTAAGATCAATGAAACGGTTAAAATGTACATAAACAGCTATTAAAGGGTGCATGCCTCCTAAAAGAGTTGTGCCTGTTGTTTGCTCACTGTTTCCTGCCCTATAAACGTCATTTTAGCAAGTTTTAACGTTTTGGTTTCTCACCTTGTCCTATTATAAACGTTAAAACTTGCCAAAGTGACGTTTATACGGCTGGAAACAGTAAGAAAACAACAGACACAATTCTTTATGCGGTATGTATACCGTAATAGCTGTTTATGTACATTTTCACCGTTTCATCGATCTTACAATAAATTCCCACACAAATACTTTTAATTTGGCTTTCAGTAGGCTGCTGTAAGTCTGAAACCCCTATGCGGAAAACAAACTTGAGTGTGACCGCGTTTAAATAAGCACCGCCACAAATGTACGGCAGATGAGTTTGGCGAGAAATGGTTTTCTCACGGTGTGTTACAGTAAACTTGTAGGGAAAGTCTGTTCTCCAGTAATCATTAGATTTTTGCTAGGGTTCTAACCCTAGTAAAACTTTGTTGAATACTGGAGACCTTTAGTTTCCAGGACGAGTGCGTAACTTAGATATTAAATTCCTTTTTGTATTTTCTCAAAAAATAGAAAGCTCCAAAAGCTTCATTGTAACTATTTTCACATAAAAAAATTAGAATGGTTACTTCTAATGAAGGAGTTTAAGATCTCTCCCGATCGCAAAGTAATAAAATTTCTAACATTTGATAACTTGTTTCCGCCACTATTAAACGACATTCCCGTAGTAGAATGACGACGGCTATCACTGGTTAACGCAGGCGCACTACTTAGTGTTGGGTAATCTCCTTCTCGCACTCGTTCTCGTCTTAGATTCTAAAGAACGGATTTTACCTATCAAATAACCAGGACTACTATTAAACGTTTCTTTCATTCTTTCTTGATGAATACAACGGTTCCTGTTGCAAAAACTTAATAAGTCACCTGCATGACTTCTTGCTCTTTTTTGAGTTCCATCATCTGGTACTGTTCAAGATCCTTCAGCAGGAAGAAAAAAGTTGTTCTTAGAACGATGAAAGAGAAATATCCTGACTGATATACCATGATTTTATCAGTATGGTGAGGTGACTTGTTAAATAACACGTTAGCAAAAGTGAAGCAAAAGTTAAAATGCACACGAAGTCTACGCAAAATCTAGTCTTTTAGTATTTTTGTATTCCTTGTTGTTTTGATTTGTTTTCACCTTGTGCGAAATGACAAGCATATGCTACCAGGATATCAGTTTTCAAGATTGATTCACGGACCATGACCTGTAGCGTGGAATTTGGTCATGGTTGGACCAGACTAAGGGCCTGTTTACATGGAGGTGGGGGACCCCAGGTAGGTGAGGTAACCCGCTTAGGTGGGGTAACCCGCCTGTCCATATAATCTCTCATTTTCATTTGATCACGTTTACATGATAGGTGGGGTGACCCGCCAAGGCGGGTAGCCCGGTCTACCAGACCGGGTTACCCTCTCAGCCGGGGTCACAATTTGTCATGTAAACGTTTCAAGGTGGGGTAACCCGCCTGGCCGGGGTCGGATTCGTGATACATCAAATTCGCGCAAAATTCACTTTCGCGGTGTCTTTGCATTATGATTAAAGTTAACAATAGAAAGCTATTGCACTGACGGGTTGCAGCAAGAGCAACAAGTGAGTGAAAAAGTGCATTAATCGCCAAAACTCGTGGTTTGCCAGCATTTTTCTTGTTTACGTGCTTAGCGACCATTCAATAATCTTGAGAAAGTGCACCCCGGGAAGGCGGGGTTGTAAGATTGCATGTAAAGGCGGGTTATTTTTTTACCTCACCTAAGCGGGTTACCTCACCTACCTGGGGCCCCCCACCTCCATGTAAACAGGCCCTAAGAGAAGTCGTCCTTCCTTTTCCACAGGGATGGTTGAGTGAGCAAAATATGCGAACGCGCGTGAAAATCACCAAACGCAAGGAGTGTGTCCCCTCCCTCGCAGGTGGTTATTTTCACGCGCACACGCGTATTTCTCCCACCCTAATATCTGTGAGGAAAATGAGATCTATGGTTGGCCGGCGCGTATGTACTCGAAAGAGATAGGGAAAGAGGAATTTCGGGAAGCGCGGCCTTCGTGTTCTAGTTAGTAGGGAGCTTAAAGGTGATATTACACAGGACGATTCGCAACGACTATTTTTGGCGCAACACAGCGTTGCATACAATGCTGGAACAATGTTGTAACCATTCGAAACAATGACACAGCAATGTTGCAACGCTGTGTTGCGCTAAAAATTGTCGTTGCGAATCGTCTCGTGTAACATCAACATCGACGGCGACGGCTACGAAAAGGTCACTTACGACGTGAATTCGCGCTGCCTCAAAATTTATCGCACTTATTCCATCTCGATCGTTCAATTCGTCAAATGTTGGCAAATGTTTTTTTGGATTTGAATTTTAAAGGACTGTATCAAAATTCAAGAAAAGAAAAGGAAAGTTGTCGTCCTGTGTTCACGTCCTCGACAAAACGTAAAACTAGGCATTTTCACGTGCTAAGAAATGTACCAAAAAGCGTGATGTACGTGCAAAGTTGTTGCTTTGCCAATGAAACCTGTTGCTTTTTTGCCGTTCTCGTTGCCGTCGCCGTCGCCTTTCCTTAAGCACCCTAGTGAAGAATAGTGTAAGATGAATGACAGAAGAAAAAAAGGGAGAATGTTTCATACTATCTCTTTGTAACGCTTATCTTACTTTAGGAGGAATGGCTTTCCCAGACCGACTGTTGATTGCCTGCTTTGCAACGTCCATTTTGAACAGCATAAAGTTGTCACTGAAAACAGACAGAGAGAGATTTAATACATCAAACACACTCAGACACCAAAAATTGGGATACAGGGCCACCTGTACATGGCCACGAAGAATTCAACAATGACTAATGTGTAAATGTGATGTCACTGCGGCCATCATTTGTCTTTTTGCCGTGGTCTAAAATCAGGGGCACCCAACGAGGATATGGTTCAAAACCACTTAACATACCATTGTTGAACGTATTTTAGTATTCAAACGGTAGATATAGGCATATTTTTATCCCCTAAAAACTTTTCATCTGTTCGGATTTCCTAGCTAAAGTCTAGCGATCCGAAAATTATAGGGATAAAAACCTACCTTCTCGAAAGTTTCAGCCAGGAAAAGGCTCCCTAAAATTCTAGGTGGCCTTTTTTAGGGTCAAAATCCGTTAAAAATGGGTAATTATGCCATTCTGTAGATGTTCGAAAATCCTAGGAGAGGCAGGCAAGCAAAAAATTTTACAACAAATGCTCCGAAAATTCTAGATCTCAAATCGTCTTCCGAACAGATATTTTCCCGAAAATTGCCGTTGGGTGCCCCTGTAAAATCCCATCCCCTCGTTTCTCTTGAAAAGATCTAACATTTATTTCTGTCTACACGTAGATCAACTTCAGTCTTTAGTCATTATTTAACAAAATCACTAAAGAGACGCCAAAAAACAGGGGCACCCAACGCAAATTTCGCAAAATATCTGTTCGGAAGACGATTTGAGATCTAGAATTTTCGGAACATTTGTTGTAAAATTTCTTGATTGCCTGCCTCTCCTATGCTTTTCGAACATCTAGAACATAGTGTAATTGCCCATTTTTAACGGATTTTCACCCTTACATTGTAAAAGGCCACCTACAATTTTCGGGAGCCTTTTTTCTGGCTGCAATTTTCGAAAAGGTAAGTTTTGATCTCTACAATTTTCGGATCACTAGGCTTTCAGCTAGGAAATCCGAACAGATGAAAAATTTTGGGGGAATAAAAATATGCCCATATCTACCGTTTAAATACTAGAATGCGTTTAACAGTGCTATGTTTAAGTGGTTTTGAACTATATTCTCGTTGGGTGCGGCTGAAAAAATACATTTGTTATTGTGTTTGTAATGGAAAGGAGTACATACCTGGATCTGTTAACAATTTCCTGCTTCTCTTTGCATTTTGCTTTCAGATCCTCAATTTGTTCTTCATAGCTTTCTTTTTCCCGTCCTTCTTCATTCTGAAGTTCTTCGAGGTTTGCTGGAATGTGAAAGAAATCAGTTTATAAATGAACACTTTGTATTCTGCAAGAAAGGTGTTAGCAACACGTTCTATAACCTCCTTTGCAAAAGAACCTCTGTTCAGGGAATGTAGTTAACAAAACATCATTCCTCAAAATGATTGTGTTGGTTGGATTCTTTAAAAGTTAGCACACAGTACGTCAAAATGCGTCGATACGTCAATAGCCGCGGAAACCTTTTTATAAAATGCGAAGACGGTAACGTCCGCGAAAACGTCGTTAAGAACGTGAATTCGCGTTTTTTCAATCTTTTTTCAATCTTATTCCGAGTCAGTTACTATCTCAAATGTAAAGGAACCCTCTTGGAGTTGAATTCCTAAGAGCCTTATCTACGTTCAGAAAGAGAAAGAAAATTTTGTCTTTGCTTGAAATTAGGTATTTTCAAGTCGTGGCCGTGCAGTGACGGCATGATGCGCGTGCAGAGTTTGTTGTTTCGCTTGTTAATATAAGTGTGGTCACACTAGACGTCTTCCCCAAGGATCCCTATGGGGAAGCAGTTTGGGTTGGGTTCGCTCTGGGTTTTAATACTTTCATGGCTGCGGTCACACAACGATAAATTGCCCAAGGGGTAGAGCCGCTTTGGATTTTTATTAACCCAAAGAAATTACCTCGGGAACTTTTTTGTTCTTTTTGACGTATCTATGGAAATTTCCCTGAGGCAATTTCACCTTGGGGAAATTGGCCACACACAAAAAGTTGCTTCTCCTAAGGCAACAGCTATTTTCCTATGGGTAAATCGCGAGTGTGACCGCACCTATTAAAGCCTATTGCTTTTTTGACGTGCTCGTTGCCGTCGCCGTGGTCGGATCTTAAGGTCTCTAATGTTTCATTGTTCAAAACGTACACATATATTTCAGATATCTTTGTTCCTGATCAGTCACGTTCTTTTCAATCTCTTGCTGCCGTTCATCACTCTGAAAGGAAAACACAGAAAATAATTAAAGATAATATTTTTAGACTTTTATTCAAAAACTCAATAATAATTCATATAATTCGTAAAGAAAAAACAAAAGAAATTATGTTTAACGAGTGTCTTTATATCTCATAAATACATAGTCTGCTACACAGCCGTTTTTAGTGTCGTCACTTAACGCTCCTCCCCACTAACGGCCGTTTGTGGGGAGGAGCGTTGCGTGACGACACTAAAAACGGCTGTGTAGCAGACTAATAAAGACACGGCTAAACTTTATGTCCCATCTTTTTTACCAAAATAACCCCAAATCTAAATATTAGTGCAAGAATGAGTTGATCTACAGGAGAGATTTTGAAGCTGTTCAAAAAACACGCGGCCATGCATTATCAGGTTTAAAACTCTCGGTTTTGCCTCGAGTTTTTAAACCTGGTAATGCACAGATTTTTAGTAACTCGAAAATTCACGAAAACAATGGAGACCAATGGATAGATTACAAAAGCTGAAAGAATATTAGAGCTAAAAGGGGAAGTGTTAACTGCAGACAATTTTCATCAGCTCTATGAAATTTAAACACATTCATGCATCAACCAATCATAGCCACCTGTGTGGAAGTGCAAATGGGTAAAGGACTTGGAGTCGATAGTGGGGAAAGCGGATCAGCAAAAGTTGCACAAGAACTGTGAGATACTTCCAAGCGCCTGCTACGCAGGCTAACTGTGAGAGGGCTGGGGAGAGATGGAGAGGTGAACCCTGTATTTGTTTCCAATATCTCATTCCAACAACAGGTATACCGACTCCAAGTACATCCTACGATTGGTCAATTGTGAAAGGTTACTTCAAGATTTATGTCAATCATTTGGCTATGGAGGTGAAGAGTCTAACAAACATGTCAAGCACGTGAAACCCTCCCCAGCTTTTGACATTTTGACATAAGAATTGTTTTTTCAGGAATTGGGGAGGGTAGTAAAGGCTCTCCGCTTCTCTCTTCCTGCCATTTTTGGCTCATTCGCTATTTCACTTCTCACTTGCTTTTTTTGCTTGTCTGCACTGACTGAGAGCCTGGTACAGGCTAAAGGACTTTAGGAGTCTGTGCCCATTTTACATAGGCAGAATAATCATGAAGTATTATTTCTTTTAAAAATTACCTTTTTCTTTTTGAAATATTCTGCTAATTTGTGCTGTAGCTGAGCATTTAATGACTGTAAGGTGGATCTCTCCTCCAAAGCTTGCTGCAAATGAGTCAATAGTATTACCAGTTTGACATTAACAAACCTCTATAAACCTTTGATTTTGTTTTCTTGTTTTTTTGCCGTTAAACCATTACATTTCAGACACGTCAAAATTCAAATACCAAAAATAAACGATCTACAAAGTGGTAACAGAATAAAACAAATTTGTACAATGTACAATAGATTTTACAACAAGCAAAAAAGACGTTTTTGGCTAAGGTTTTCAACAAGGACAATTATCAAAGTTTATTATGCATTTAACTTGACTAGTCTAGACTCTACTGATGTCTTCTAGGCAACAAACCATGCTAGGAGACCATGAAATGGTCTTCTAGCACAGCTTTTTCCAGTTTTTTTTTCCTACTTCATATGCGGAACAAAAATGTGCCAGTAAAAGAAAAGGTTTTATTGCTATTTACTTACTTGATAGCGTTCAATGAGCTCCGCTCTATTGTAAATAGGCATCTCTGGTTCTGATTCTTCATCTATCTCCATTTCATCATACCTCATAGGATCTGGTAAAAGAATGTGCAAAAACATTCAGACACACACAATTCATGTAACATAAAGTAATTCCCACATTCCTGGGTGTGTCTACTGGTAATCTTTAAAACTCAAGGCCAATTTTTTTCACAACAAGAAACTTTGCACATATCATAAATTGTACGTAATGAATATTATTTTCGTCCATAAAATTATATTATAGATGTGTTTAGAAATCTTCTAGAAAGAGCCCCCTGTCATTTAATTCTCAAAAGCGACCACTAAAGCCTTCATTTTGCTTGCTTATGGCAGGTTCAATTGTATCATGCACAGTCATTTTCATAAAATTACCTGATTCTATGTAAGACTCGAGTGGTTCTACGTCAGTGGTTGGTTCAGGGGACTGGGACACAGGAGGTGGGGGTGTGGCTGATGCATCTGGCTCCTCCTGCTTGGCGTCATTATCTACAACAGTTTGATCTCCTGTGGGCGTCCCCTCACGGGATAATGGCTGCGCCAACTCCACTGTAGGACCTTCATCAGCCTCTGGTATAGCATCATTCTAAAAATTAAATCACAGGTATATTACATGACAGCCCTTACAAAGAACTTGTAAAATGAAATGTATTAAGAGCCTCATTCAAATAACATTATATGTCATAAAGGGTCACACAATTTTTTTGTCTTGTTCTTCAATTATTTATAAAAATAAGGATTCCCCAAGAAAGCACAATAATACTCGAGAGTTATCTGAACTTTGATACGTCTAGAATGAACTGTAAAATTAATGTACTAAACACCTCAGAGCTCTTAAGAATTTGTGTCAAAAGCTTTCCTGCATTTCAGATCAAACCGGAATTTGTGGGTTAATTATTCAAGAGAAACTCCACACTCGCCAACAGACATGAGGAGAAGGGTTTGATGGACCTGGAAATCTGTGTAGAGGTACTTGCTGCTCAAAATACCATGTCACACTTTAGGTGGTGGTAAGAGGTGGATAATTCTGAAACAGTCCAATTTGGTAATATTGTTGGTTTGGGAAGAGGGGGAGACTGGAGTGCTGGAGAGTCTTAAAGGAAAGAAGGAAACTATAAGCAACAGACTTGGACTACCCACCTACTCCTCCCTAGACCCAATGTTTAGCTGTATCGGAGAACTTAGTGTATACCATTGGGTTGGGGGAAGGGTGGGTAGGAAGAATCTATACTGTTGCATTAATTAGGATTTTAAACCCAGGCTACTTTTCATGGTGAGAAGTTGGCGCTACATTCACTATGAAAGTGAAGAATGATCAACGCAGTAAATTTTCCAATTTAAGCAATTGGAAAGAAAAAGCCTGAAAAAATCAGGGCTTCAAAGGGATTTGAACCTGTGACCTCCCCGTTACCGGTGCATTGCTCTACCAACTGAGCTATGAAGCCACACATTGGGAGCGAGGTCACTATGCTACACTTGCTTCCATGACCTGAATTCTGCATAAAAATATAAAAGCTTTCCCTGAGTCTGTTTTTTAAAAAATGGCTGTTTTGACTGATTTTGAAGTTACAGAGTATCACAATTATTTGAATTTTGCAGTGTATAGAATGATTATTAATCACGACCTTAATAATTCAGTATCATAATAGAATAAGGGCACCTTTATACACTTTATATTACCTCTGGAATGGGTGCATTTTCATCTGTTTGCTCCTCAATTTGCTGTAAGAAATAAACAAAACAATAAAATAATACACCTGTAGAATTGTGTTGGTTAATATTTCTACATCACTAGCACTTAATAAAAATGAGGAGAGCATTAAAAAAAACTTGATTCAAACTGATCATAACAAGGTTGCAAAACTCAAAAATGACATTCATCTTTGTCATTTCCGAACATGAAGTGACCAGAACTTCTTAACACATGTGACCCACCCGTTGACCAAATTATAAGTCAGTAATGCTCTGACATCATTGGAGAGAGAATTTAAGGAGAGTCAAAAAATAAAAACACTTTCAGTTTACTGCAGTATTTTATTGGTTGAGTCTCTCTTAAGAAACCAAAGTTGGCCCATTGCCAATCTGCTTCTATTCTTTTGGCTCTCTTTAACTCTATAGGGCAAACACTTAACAGTGTAAGTGTTTGTTCCTTTAGTGTCCATTTTATAAAGATTTGACCAAAATAGATTTAATTTCAGATCATTTGATTGCCCTTTTGAAAAAACAGGAAATGAGGGACAACAAAAACAACTCACCTCAAAATTATCCTGCCCTTCCTGAGCTGGTTTAGCTTCATCTTCCACATTTGGCTTCTCTCCCTCCCCTCCCTCTCCTTCTCCTTGTATTTGACCAGTCCCATCTCCCTCAGCCACAACACTTGCAGCCTCAGCAACCCCTCCCTCTGGTGACACCTCATCAACAGGCTGTGAGGGTGATTCTTCAGTGACAGCATCTCCTGAAGGGGGATTCTCTGCATCAGCATTTACTGGTTGAGCATCTGTAACTTCAGGCTGTGGAGGTGAAGCAACTTCTGCTGTTTCAGCAACATTTTCCTGTGCAATGAATATTACATTATTTTGTGTTAGAGTCAAAAAAGGGAGAAATATCCACCAGATGGAGATTCAGGAAACAACCATTTTGGGATTACAGAATCACCAATGGTGCATGGTTGTAAGGAGTCTGGTTTGTGTATCCCAGGAAAAACCATAAAAGTTTAAGTCCTGAAAGTGCCGTTTTCTTAAACTCCAAACATCAGGAGACGTACAATATTCAAAAGTTGGATGACGCTATCCACCTGGCCCTGGTTGCTCAAAAGATGGATAGCGTTATCCGTCAAGGTCCAGTTGTTCAAAAGGTGGATAACGCTATCTGCCGGATAAATCACTATCCAGTGGATAATGCAATTGGTTTTTGCAATACTTGTCCACTGGATAGTGATTTATCTGCCCGAAGTTGTTCAAAAGGTGGACAACGCTATCGATCGGATAAATCTCTATCCACTGGATAGCGCAATAATAATAATTAATTATTGGTTTCCCTAATACTTGTCCTTTGGATAGTGATTTATCCGGTGGACATTGCTATCCATCTTTTGAACAACCGGGGCCAGGTGGAAAGTGCTATCCAACTTTTGAACAAACAGGGCCAGATAAATCGCTATCCATCGGATAAGTATTTGGGAAACCAATTGCGCTATCCAGTGGATAGTGGTTTATCCAGCCGATAAGATAGTAGTAGGAAGACCAATATTGCATTATCTACTGGATAGTTTTATCCACCCCTTTTTGAACAACTGGGGCCTGACTGTTTCTTGTAAAATGAAGAAAACCAGTATGGATCCAAACCTGGTCACCACAAACAGTTTGAACTTTAATACGTCCTTATCTATCTAATACACTGTTTAAATACTACAGCTTATATAATGAGTTGTCAACTTTTTTCGAAATCGGTTATAATTATTTGTCAAAGACTAGCGGCTAAATACAGGAATTACACCGACCTGTGAACTTGGAAGATAAAAAGTAGTATTTCAGTGGTGATGCTACGTTAGCCTGTTCTGTTGTTAAGTCTTTTAACATTACAGTTTTACGATAAGGACGGTCCACAACAAAACATCAAAAATCTCTCAAGGGCAATAAACAGTATAGTATTATTTTAATTTAAGTCCTCTGGCTTTCGTTGTGTTGTAAAAGCTCGGGCTCAACCATCATAAATCAGATAACTTTGCTGATTATCTACCGTTACGGCTATAAAACCTTTATCAGAACTCTAGTTTGTATAAACACTGAGCTTTGGTATGATTCGGTCGTCCAAAATCGCGCGCCAGTTGAAGCACTAGAAGGAGTGTTTTTTATTCAAAGCCTTGTCTATTGTAAGCGAAAAAACTAAGTTATATGAAGCAAGTAAAAGAAGCAGCTTTGAACAACTAAACGTTTAAGCTAACATCCCGATGATGGCTAAAAATCAAGTGGAATATTCTCACCGTATTTTCTTGTGCAGGGTCCGCCATGTTTTTTCATTTGTCCTTCTTTGTTGCTGACTGCTTTGACTGCTTAGCAACCTCATCAACTCCTCACCAGTTCCACTCCTGAAAATACATACGCGTGGACTGGGTTCACTATACAAAAGCGCGATGTTTCGGCGCGAATTTTTTAAAAGTTTGGGCGCGCTTTTCTCATTAACGAAACCTTCATCAACGCTTCTTTCCTACGCGCAAGGAACAAAGACGTGTAAAATGGCTTTGGTGACAATTCCAGGCATGGAAGTCCATGGCGTAACGAATATAAAAGGTCAAATTCAGGTAATGTGATGTTCAAGATGGCGACTTTAGTAATCTTATTTGTGCAACCTGAAATTTACACGCTTGCCCTTTGTCTTCTTATCTTGATTGTAGGTTATCTTTGGTCCAATGTTTTCCGGAAAAACGTAAGCTTCGTTCTTGCCATTTTATAATGAAATGTGTGGCTTATTAGTTGATAAATCCGTGTCTTTGTAAAGGCCCATAGCTTTGGCTATTGTGTTACTTCAATGTAAAGGTAAGCTTATGTTAGGCGTTCATCGTTTATTCATCTTCTTTCATTCAGAACTGAACTGCTGAGAAGAATTAAGCGATACCAAGTCGCAAACCATTCGTGTATGGTGATTAAATACGAAAAAGACAACCGCTACGAAGCTGATGGGGTAGCCACACACGATAGGTGAGAAAAGAGAACTGCTTATATGTAATAGATGGCGAATATCATGCGAGACTCGTGCGGGGCTCACAAGAGAGAGAGACGTCTATTAGGGTGATGCTCTAATCAAATGCAATTTGCTTCCTCAGTGGATTTCTGGGTATCAAGTGAAAAACATAATCCAATTTTTTTAATATTCTATAAAGCCCACGTTTTCTGTGTTCAAATATGAGAACAATAACTTTATAACTTTATTATGCATCAGTCAATTCCAGCTGCGCCCAATCTGCCTTTTTTCCAGTAAAACCTTCTGTGTAGTTGTATTCTGATACGAAACTGTGTGCGTGTCAAAAGCGCAGGAATTGCCCCGGGGCTGGCAAATGCCTGGTCCCCAGGCAGTGCAAAATTTGCAAATGCCCCACCCCTGGGACTGACAAGGTGGGCAAATGTCCCGCAGTAGCTGGGGGGGGGGGTGGCTGGGCACAGCTGGAATTCACTGATGCATTATTCCATCGTTCATATAGGTACAGACTCAGTAAAGCCAAAGCTGGGGGCTTATTCGGCCTGTGGTCCGAATGAGGGAAATTATTTTACAGAGAGAAGAAGACTGTATGCTAAATTACGAAAACTGAAACAAGATACACACCTAACATTAAGTAAGCTTACATGCATGCAGTCCTGTAACAGAGACAAAACTATTGACAAATAAACTAACAATAAACCTATGAGAATCCTGCACTTTTTAAAGTTAGTGGCAGTAAGGCTGTTATGGACAGTCAAGGGGATATCATTCTAAACAATTGGGGGTTGAGAACTAATAGCAAATTCATACATGAGGGACATTTTATGCAAGTTAAAACGAGAACGAGTGAGATAATCATGAAAATCATGATTAAAGTGGAGGAGCGAGGAATGAGAGACAGGTAGAAGGTGATTAAAATGTGAGAAAACAAAACAAGAAACATGGAATTTATAGAGTGAATAAAGAACAATGTGAGAACCAAGCTGAATGTGTCCCTTCATGCCTCCTTTACCTGACCACATCTACTGCACATTAGTTGCAAAAAGTGGTTAAAAAAAATCTGGAAAAATTGCATCATTAATGCCACAAATGTGTGTCATTTTCATTGCAGACAAACCCTTAGAGCATCTGCTTGCTCCGTTTTAGCCCATATCAAACAAAAAGCTATGGATTATTCTGTTCTAGGAATTGATGAAGGCCAATTTGTAAGTTATTACATTGTGTTGTCCAATATTTTATGTCCACCAACCATTTTATAAAAGGGTGATTTTGAAAAAGTTAAGTTTGGAGCACTGACATCTAAAACTGAGATGGGTGCCCTTAATAGTTAGCACTCACTATTGCAAAGATCTTGGAGAAAAATAAGAGACTATAAACAGTCTGTCTCCATTACTAGGACAAACAACCACTTGAAATTTCTAACCTTTTTGCACCTTGATTTATTTGACCTGAGTAAAATATGCTTGCTGATGCTTAATGAGTAAAGGATCTTACAATCTGTGATTACATAAGTCATTAAGAGTGTGCAATCATCAGTGCATCAGTTCAATAACAATTGAATAGGGTTTCACAGTATATCCTATGTAGCTGATCTTTTAAAATGCTTGTTGGGTGAAAAACCTATAGTACACTGCAGGTTACTTCTCTTGTCGGGAGAACGTTACTTCAACTCAGTCACTGGGCTAGAAGCATGGTCAAAAGGCCCACCCTAAGCTTGTTGATTATTTTAAGAACAAGAAGTTCAGCCCTTTATTAAAACACCTCACCAACACTTGTACCCTGCTCCTGAAATTTCTGAATATCTCAAATCCTGGGTGCTGAACACAGTACTTGGAAGAAGTCAAATCACAGACTAGGCCTGAGGAACACCTTGATCGATTACATTACATAACACAATGTTTCTACTCTTAATTAAGTTTCCAGACATTGTAGAGTTCTCAGAAGAAATGGCAAGTCTTGGAAAAATTGTTATAATTGCTGCATTGGATGGCACCTTCCAAAGAAAGGTTGTAATAATATTATTAGATTGATGGCTACGTGCATTTAGGTGTTTGACTGTTTACACTGAACCAAGCTGTTGTATAAAGATTTGGACTCCTACCTGTTCAAAAATTGGAACGCTAAAATCAAGGTCAAATTTTAAGCTGGTTTAAAACTGGTAAAAAAATTGATCGGCGTGTTGTAAATACCTTCACCATCTAATTGAAAGTTTTGGATGTATGGTAACTCAGATGGGAGATGTAATTTTGGAATTGTTAAGTCAAGCGCTAATTAGCCTGCGTTGCAGACTGTCTTTAAATCCCTGATATGCTACGTTGTCTATCTGGGTCTCAAGTGACTAGTCTGGCTGCAAAGCAGGCTAAGTAGTAGTGCCCTGTGTAGGGGGTAAATCCTGACAATATCCAAATTTCATCAACAGGAAGGTTATGAGAACTAATAAAATGACCCAAAACAGGAAAAAATACTTTTGGTTCTATCAAACGCCCTCAACTAAATGTAATTCATAGGGTTATACATAGAGACCACCAGTGATTTTGTTACCCTGTTTCCTTCGTCCCTGACACATAAAAATCCCTAAAGATGCAAAATAATTTATGGCATGCGTCCTGTAGGATGCAAAGATCGATTGATCGATCTGAACATGTGTATATGGAGAAATATCTGGCCTGTTCGTGTAGTTTCTGTGGAAGTTATTATGGCTGTTGTTTAACGATGAATATTTCTTTTAGCCTTTGTGGTGCTTTAGAATAGAAGGACTATATTTTAATTTCAGTATACTGTATTACAGAGTTAAATTTGGAGTCTGTCTTCAGATTAACTGTCTGGTTACATAAAGACCCAAGCATTTTCAATTTCAGACTCCTTTTTTTAACCATGACTCATTGGTTCTCATGCCCAGGACTGGGACTCATCATTTTTCACAAGATGATCGAGTCCCAGGACTCACCATAACTATATTTGCAACAAAATGACTGAGATCAGTCTGGAGAAATTGTTTGCGGATATTGGGGCTTAAAGGTAACTTGATTAGCCTCTGTAAAGAGATTCAAAAGCTGATGTTTCAAGCGCTACAAGTCTATCATCTTAGTAACAATTTGCTCCAATGAAGGGCTGACACCTCACCGCATTGTGATATCACCAGTTCTTGCTTTTCTGATAGAGCCTTGCTGAGATTAGTTTTTACAAAAAATGCCTTCAAATTCTAGGCTCATTAAAGTAAGTTCTTGCAATATTTTTAGTTTAATGGCAGTATTGTTTTTAATCTTTGTAGGCATTTGGAGGAGTATTGAATCTTGTTCCCTTAGCTGAAAGTGTTGTCAAACTCAATGCAGTTTGTATGCATTGCTATCAGGATGCTGCCTTTACAAAAAGACTGGGATCAGAAAAAATGGTGGGAACAATAAACTTACTGTAAAAACCTGCGTGTATATATAAGGACCCCATGGTGGTTTAAGAACCAGCAGGCAGAAATTTGCCCTTTTAATAACCAAAAATATAAGGCTGCCTGTTAACCTGTGGGTTACAGTTAAATTCTGATTTATACATTTAACGCAAGGAGTTTTACATTGAGATTTCAATTTTATGTTCCCAGAAAATAACTTTATTTATTAACTTTAATCAGTATATATTTTTTCATTAACTCTTGTCTTTGAGATAACACTACACACATTCTTAATCACTTTTTTGATTAATATGGGACATGTGAGCACCACGAAACTCAAGTCTACTTATTTCTCTGGTAGTTAACAATCTCCTTAACCCTTTAAGACCCAATAGTGACAGACAACAATTTTCTCCTAACAATATCCATACACTGTCAAGAGATAAAGTTGTGAGAATTGATAAAATGATCATCACAGAGAAAATTCCATGACCTTTTATCAAATTCTCTCAACTAATTCTTAAAGGAGATGTATGGAGATCAGTTTGGAGAATTTGTCGGTGGATATTGGGGCTTAAAAGGGTTAATAGAAATTAAGAACCTAATTAACAACCTATTTGGACTAAATTTGTAATAACTACCCTAAAATGAAAGAACCATAAGGTGCGCAGTCCAGTGACATTTTCCATTCTTGCATGCATGTAGTATTTTTTCCAGTTATTCTACCGACCATAAAATTGCACTATTGGGAATTTAAAACATAAAATTTGGGATACCCACTATTTGTCTCACATGTATTTTTAGAGTTGTCCAAAATTTTGGCACAAGATAGGTCGGTAGACATGACCCTGAGCTGTAAAGAGCCTATTTTTGTATTACAAATCTTGCTATGCTTGGACCTGCCACCTTTAGCCTCAGAATTAATCAAACACCTGTAATGTGCAAGATTTGCCCTCAAATTGTAGATCAAAGACTTTGAAGTTTTAACTGTGTTTTTCTTTTAATCCACAGTGATTCAGAGAGTACGGGAGGTGTACCATAGTTGATTCTTTTATGTTAGCAAATTTATTGTGGGCCTCCCTCTTTTTTCACCCTGAACCAATCTTAGCGGTAGCGCACTTGCTAACAATATTTTTTACATCTTTCATTTTATTTCAGGTTGAAGTTATAGGTGGGGCTGATAAATACATGGCAGTGTGTAGAGATTGTTACCATTTTTCTTCTGTCCATGAAGTGCTTTCAGGTGCTCCAGTTAAAAATGGCTTTTATTAGAAGCAACAGTTCTTTTATAGAAACTATAAGTCAATTGCACAGTTTGTATATATGCTTTATTTTTACATCTTAATGCAAACAGATGTATCTGATCAGTATAACCATCTCTAGTTCTACCATTACATGCCCTGCAAGCAGAGGTTTCTCTCTTGCATGGCTTTTAGCATTTTACGGAGTTCTTCGCGTGGCTTCTTTGTCGTGTAGTCTCACAGGGTGTCAACAAACCAACTATGCGACAAACACGACTTCGTAAACGCAAAAAACCAAGCAACAGAGAAACCTCTGTTTCCAGGGTAACCGATACAAGGCTGTGCTCAAAGAAAAATTGTAGGGAGCCCTGTGCTCTGAACCTGTGAAATCCAGGGTGCCCAGCATAGGATTTCTATGAAAAAATGTAAGATTCCTTAGTTGCCCAAGAGCAAAAGTAAGGTGCCAGGAGCAACCAGGTGCTGCTAGGGCACAGCCTTGTATTGTAAATGTATAAAAGGTAGAAAATGTGAGTAAGAGTCAGATTCACAAGTTCACATAATAAGAATATTGTGGGGTGGCTTAGGGGTAACCATTATTTATATACATTTCACTGGGATTAAAAAATTGGACTGAAAGCATTAATTCAACAAAGTAAAGTGGTCACAAAGATCCTAACTGTTTATAGTAAAATTTTAAAAATTATGTCATACAGAAACCATAACTATTTTTAATGCATAATGATTTTTTCCAGGGCTGTTAGCATCAAACTTTAAACATTTAGCTGTTTCATACATAATGCTTGTTACAAAACAGTCTAGAGAGTGGAAAATATAAAAATGTCATGATCCCTCAACCATGGAAGCACATGCATGAGCCCTGAAATTGCATGTAGGCCAACTTTTTTCTTAGTTTTGAAAATTTTAAAAATAACTATCTTTTTAATATTTTTGTTTTTGTTCACTACTGTGAAAGTAATGTTTCCTTATAATTGGTGCATTTTTGCCATTGACCTATTTTCATTGACTCATTGGCCACAGCATAAAATGCCACTGTTGGTTGAGTTTTTAACAAGCCTTTTAATAGCTGAATTTAAGATTAATAAAATTGTAATTTTTCGAAACTTTCTTTATTTGTGGAAAAGTCTTTGTATGGGTAATAAATAACTTTTCAAAGTCACAATATATTATTGCAGATACATTAACATTAAGTGTTGTAATCAGTTTTTATCTTTCAAAGTAAAGCTCTTCATAATTCTCGTAAAACAATTTACATTATTAATATTGCACTTTTAATAGATATTATTGTAATATTATTATCATAGTTTCCTGCACTGTTCAAAAGATTTATTGAAGAGAAATGACAATAATTAGCAGTCAAATGAAATTGCTTTCGCTTGGATATTTGGATTTTTTTAGCTGAAAGATGATTACATTATTAAAATAACCATGGACTGATGTCTGTTTCATTTCCTAGTTACGGTATTTCCTCAAATAATAGCCATCCCTCGGTTAATCACCTCCCTTGAATAATTCGTCCCCCTTAAACAGAAATATTTAAAATAATCACTGCCCTCACCTCTCTCACCATCTTCTCTTCTTTTTACCCCCTCCCTGTCAAGTTAAAGTGCAATGGGATCAGGCAAAACTGATCGGTGACGATTCAAGCTCTGAAAATTAATCAAGGAACTAAATTTGGAATGCTTAAAAAGGCCATGTTCGGTTTATTTGATGTAATATTTTGATTTTATGGGAAAATAAAACAACTTAGATTTAGGGCACGACTTCCAGAGAGCAATATTATTTTGAAATAATAGCCCCCTTTTTGTGCAAAAAAAAGAAAAGAAATAATCGCCCCCTGCTCTTATTTGAGAAAATATCGTACTTTGTATGGTAGACACCAAGGCTTCATTTATATCCCTTTTACAACAGCTCTTACATAACCAAGTTTGATGTCCATACTGTAAGTTCCTTTCTGAGCTTCTTTGTGGGCCAAGTGTAGTCACGCCATAAATCTGAGGTTCAGTACCGGTAACTTAAAGTATAGAGCAAAAAAATGAGGTCTCTGAGAGGGGCAGGGAAGTTTTCAAGTCAAGTGGAACAGCCATTAATGATTGCGCATCAAATCATTAACATTAGGTAACTAGATGGCTTAGTTGATATTAAAATTATTGTTTGAGTTGTCAAACCATTTGTTTAATGCTTGGCCCTTTCACCCCATGGCCAATTGCGGAGAAATATGAACAAAATCCTTTGGTGTTACCGTTTAAAGGAAACCTCTTGGGCAGAGCTTTAACACAGTAGTATTCAATTCTCAGGATTTTACAAAAAGAAATTTGAATTAGTTTTCTTTAAGGAGTGATGGGGTTAAACCAGCTCAAGTCCACAACTACATAGAAAAAGAAATATTTATAAAGGTTTTGTCCAAACTGTGATAAAAAAAACCTTGCATTTAGCTGGCTGCACAGTGACATACTGCCTGATGGTTTGTGCAACCTTGAGAGGTCTTGAATTTTAGCAGAAAGCATACTAACTGATAGAACTTAGAAGCACTAAGAAGTTAGAATGTGTTCAATGCAATTTAAAAGTGTTTTCTTGGGGGAGACATGGAATCCTGGGTAGAAGCCAAGGAATAATCTCTTGAAGCAAGAAACAGATTAACCAACAACAAAGTCAACTGAAAGCAGAAACACTCTGGAATGATAAATAAACCCTGGGTCACATTAATTTTGTGGAACGTTTAAGTCACAGCAGGCAATACTGTATGAGAAGAATCAAGTTCTTATTTTCGTGGAAGCAGGGTGTGAAAACAAGGTTGTGTAGTGTTGAGTGTTTTGCAAATGAAAAGTGTTATATATTAATTTCGGCACCAACACCGTGGCAACGCTCTCCCCTGTAAACATTGTACTTCCCTGTGCACCATATATAAAACATGGTGCAAATGATCAGGGGCACCCAACAACTGTTTCCTCATAAATACATTGAAAACACTTTTTAGGCTATCCAGGTGAAATTATTTTAATGTTTTGCGAAAGTGAGAATTTTTCTAATTCCTCTCTCCATCGCTTTTTTGAATCTGAAAATTGTACGTTTCCTTTTTACCACGAAAAATAGCCAGACCTGGGGAGTAAAATGTGAAAAATTCAACTTCAGAAAATAAAATCGTAGGGAATTTAATAGGTAAGCTTTGAAAATTTTATCGGACATTAATGGAACAGTCACCTAGAAATTTGTAGCCGTCCTCAAATAATAGAAAAATTTATTTGCTTCTCCAAACAGATACTTTAGAGAAAACAGTCATTAGGTGTCCCTGAATGACGGGGGATGAAAAGGGAAGCAGAGCAGAACCTTAAATATGGAGTTCAATATCACAGAGGGTAAAACAAGAAAAGAAAAGAGACAAATAATGGTGCAGCATTTCACCTTCAAAAGGTTACTTTAATGTCCAGTACCATCAGCTGCACACATTTTCAAGACAGGCCAAGCTTTTAAAATAATTTACCATTCAAACCACGCGTGCCCTCAAAAGCCTGCAGAAAATCTTGTATGCATCTTGCAAACAAATTCTTTCAATAAGTTACTATTATCAAATTTTTTCAGTGCACCCACAAATCGGGAGTTGTCTACACATAATTTTATGAAATTGAGACTGAGGTACTCATTAATGTCATCACTCAAATGCAAAGCAAAAAACAGACTGCAAACTGCATAGAGAATGATCAAGATTGGTTTTAAGTACTTTACGGAAATTTAGCCAGACTTCTAACAATAAAAACGAAATGCACAATCTGTTGTTTAAATTTTACAGAAATTGCAGGCATCCAAGACTAGCACTCGTAAGTCATTAATCACACCGTTACTGCTAGGCAGTTGTGCTTTTTTCCTCCATGGAACAATGCCTACAAAACTTAAAGTTCAAATCAGTATAACTTGCCATCTTAGAAGACCAAAAGGGACAAAACTTTGCAGTTTGCTTCATTTTCTTCTTTACATAAAATTGTTTTCTACTATAAGGCACTTGCAAACTAAGATTTTAAGAAAATGTGGGACAACAAGGTCTTTAATAAATAGATGCAATTTCTTCAGGTATTACATTTTAGACATTGCTAATAGACTGACATTTTTTTGAGAATGAGTTGCACACAAACCTCCGAGTAAAACTCACTCTTATTATAAGAGAATCTGAAGTTAAATCTTAGTTTGACTGACACCCTAACCTGCGAAAGCCCTGTCTTTCATGAAACATGGCATTCAGTCTATTTTATAAAGGCTGGTTTCTGTACTCTAAAATAATAATCCATTTTAAAATTTCAATTTGACCATCATACCTCATTTGCCAGTTAATTATTAAGTTAGCTTTGGATTTTCGAAGAATACCAAAAACATAACACTGTCCCATTTCATCTCTAAATGACCCAATTAAGAAAGAAATGTACAAGAAATTTGTCTCCATTGGGGATTAAAGGGTAAACCATGATAAGCTCATGTTCATTTAAAAGAAATTGAACCGCCCTTGACAAACAACTCCCAAAACAGACAGGTCTCAGCAAAAACAAAAATTGCAATAAATGATTTTCCAGACTGAATGTCTTTGCCAGAGCAGGTGAAAAACCTTTTTCATAATGTAATAATCAATAGTATTGTTATTATAGACAGGTTGAGAGCCTGAGAAAACAACTGAAATTTCGCTGTTCCACCACTGACTGCTTTTGGTGTGGAATGAGGCCAGGGGAACAACTACAGAAATTCCATACTGATGACAAGTCACAACCAAGACGGGTCGTGATTCTGATTGGTTGAAGCAAGGGTTTTTGACACACAACTCTTCCTTCCTCTCATGCTAAATATAAGAGATTTGCAAGATCTCTATCTATGGAAGGTTTTAGGCGAAACTTTGCTGACATCAATGTCTGCATTTTTGCTCATTAGCATATGACTTAACCCATAGAAGGTGTGACCGCATGCACATATTAAATTCAAAAGTTGAAAGAGTTGGTTAATTTGAACAATTTGTGCAATTTTCAGCTCTTTACAAGCAATAACAAAGGAAATAGCAGCCATTGAAAACTGTGCAGATTGCTGGGAGACCAAATTGTAATGAGCCCATACATGTGCATTCTTTGTAAAGTTTCGAGTTTTTCAAAGATAAAATATTGGTACATTGGGCTCAAAACTTTCACAGATAACTGAAATTCTCGCATTCTTTCAATATTCAGAGAGTTTGCTTTAATCACACGACGAAATGCACATGCCAATGAGACAAAAATATGTAAACAAAGATTCGCCTCTAGGGGGTGTATAAGTAATAAAATTACTAATAATTACTAATACCCTCTCTACGTTCTTATTGCACCCTTCTAACATTCAATAACGACATATTGGGTACACAAAAATGTAACCTATACTTCGAAAAACTATGATATAACCTTAGTCAGTACATGAAATCAACTTTTGTCACTGCAGCCTCCAACTAATTTTGCACGTCAAGCATATCATAACCATGTTTTAATGAGTATAATGAATCAAACTATGACTTATAATAATTTAAAAATAGAAACATAATGATCTGTGTTTAATTAGATCTTCGTCTTTTACTTGTAACTATGTCATATGCACAGGTTAAGTTTTTCCAAGGAAAGAAGTAGTTTTTGAGAAAAAAAAGTTTAGAGATTTGTGGAATCACTTGAAATAAGGGGCACAGTTCATTTTCTATGGATTGTCTGACACGTATATCTTATAGTGGAGGAAAAGGTTTGGGCTGCTATTTTTGAAAGGAAAATGACAATAATTATTGATTTTTGTGCCTTTGCCGGTATGTAAATTGATATTTCACAATTACATTATACAATGTTATTTTTGAAAAAGAAAAGATATCACAAACATTGGGCATAGTAAGAAATATTAATTTTGATCTTCTAGTACTTGAAGTTTCCAAAAAAATTCTTAACTGACCTTTACTTTCAAATAACGATTTTAGAGTCATAAACTTAGAAATAATTAACTCAACAAATGAAATTGTCTTCTCCATAAGGCGAATTACCGCTTGTTCTTGTACATTCCCTCTGCATCTGCTAAGTATTAGATACCTCAGTTCAAAGCCATAAGTTAACTGAAGAGCCATTTGCTTACTTGCATGTGACCAAAAATAATGTTGCTAACACATCTTGAGTGAGAGAGGTGTTTGCCAAGGCTAGTTATTTCCGACACCTTTTAACATTTCCCCTTGCGCTGTTAGTTTACGGTACATTTAACAACGCATGCTAAACCCTTCTACGTTTTGAGGCAACTGTATACACATTTTATATAATCATACCCATAGGAGCACCAATTTCTCCATTCAGCAGTGTAGATCCAGCCTACTTTCTCCATAAAATAACATCTTGCTTATAATGTCAATGTGTCTGCATATTCCAGCATAATCTGTAGTGTCATTAGTCTGGTAACAACAAAAGCTCTCCAATTCATCTGCAACAGTAAGTCAACCATAGTTTTTGACCTGCCTGCACAGCTCTGCACTTTAAGCAGCTTGTTGCGTTTGCCAGTGGAATCATGTTTACAGTCATGTTCAATGCTGTGATGTGACTGTTTTGATTGTCCATGTTGCTTCACTACTGGTAGACTGTATGATGTACATATTCACCACTAGCAAGCATTAGCCAAATTCCTGCAGTCTCTTTAACCTCTGAACATAGAGAGGTATAGTCTAGGACACTATACCACGAAAGTGTGAATGGACAATGATGACATCAAAGCACTTTTGTAAATATAGAATCCAGTGTTTTCTATCAGGTGACTTGATACATGAATGTAGACTGAAGCATTTCATGCTTTATGCACCTCTGCAGAAACTAGTCTAACCTTGTTTTCTTTCCTTCTGTAACTACAAACTGCATACAGTCACTTTGTATTACTCACAACCAGTCACCAGTATAACCTGGTTTCACACTGGTAGGTTAATGCGTTTCTAAATGCTAGAGTTTCTCTTGGTTATTACTCTCTACAGGTCTGTTTTGCCATACAACATTTTGCTGTTGCACCAATTTTTGGCGTTTGATATCTGGTTCATTGTCGGTACTTGCTGGGGCTTGAGTTGTGCTAAGTGCTCGCTTGGCGCCATTCATTGCCATGGAAACAGCTGCAGTAGTGGCAGCCGGTGAAAGCACTCCCAATGGAGATGTTTCAGGAGTAAGTGATGCAGTTGTTACTAGGGGGAGTGGCAAAGGGTTGGGAACTTTAACTACTTGTGGTTTAGAAGCAGCTTCCTGGGTTGGTCCAGTCGGTGAGACCCCAGGGGTTGGGATGGGTGTAAGCAGGCCACCTGAAATACAGACAGATCAATAGTTTTTTTCAGAGCAAATAAAATTCCATAACAATTCAACATCCAACCTACTGAAATGACAAAGTCATATGGTCAGACACAAACTTCTAACCAAGGGAAAAACAAATGGCTCATCATGGAAGAGGACTCGGTTAGCGATAATTTCAGTTAGCAGTGCTCCATCTTGTCTTTTTCTCCAAGTATTTCCTAAATTAGTAAGTTCTGTACCAGTAAAATGGAATTGCTCGATCATCAAGCAGTAGAACTTTACAGATGAACCCAATAATAATAATCACCAACGTCAGGCCTGAAAAACCTAGTTGTACATGTACTAACAAGGTGGTCATATTAGTTAACATGGTTTTTAGGAAACAAAAAGAAGGGTGTCCCAGAGCAGAATATTAATTTTGTGGTAGCACTTTTGATGCTTCCCGTCATTTCCCAATAAAATGGTCTTTGAAACTTCTTCATTTCTCTACTTGTCTTCCCTAATTTTCTTTTCACAGGATTAGCCCTGTGCTTAGTAGCAGTAAAAAGGATGTGGATCACATGGGCCATTAGTGGTGATTTAGATGTAATGTAATGTTTACCTGAGCTTTGAACAGCTGTCCCAGATATGACCTGTGAAGGAGGCGGTTGTTTTACTAAATGCACAGCCAATGGTAAGGTAGTAACTGCTAATTTTGTTTCCAGCTGTGTTGCATTCTCTATGGGTGACTCCTCTCCAGACGACTGAGAAAAACCATTTTTCTCCGAATCAGCCCCCTCACCTTCCTTAACCGTTGGCAAGGAAGACTTGATCACACTCACAGCCAGAGGGGGTGCTACTATCTGGGCAGCAGCGATTGACTGGAAGGAGACAGCTGATTTAACGATAGCTGCTGCCGCCTGAGGTACTGTAGGAACAGGAGGGGGTAATCCTGCTGGTGGGATGGCTGGAGGTGATGTGGGAGTTGGTTTGGCTTGAGATATAATACCATCTGGTGTCTGGGCGACTGTTTTAGTAGGTGAATTTTCCTGTGGTGTGTGACCTATAGGAGCAGTGGGAGCATGGAACTGAAGTCCGTGTGTTGGTGAGGCAGGTGCGGATCTGTGTTAAAAAAATAAGTAATTTATTTAACATCACCTCTTGATGGAATCATGTTACTAAAGGTGCCATTGATGTAGAAAAAAATGCTTTGAAATAGACTAAATGGATGTGTTAATGCTGTGAGCTACAAGGACAAAAGAAATACTCTTACATATGGGTGTACAGACTGACAGACAGACTTACAAAGACATTGATGGCCAGTTCACACAAAAAACTAAAACCATGCAACATCGTCAGTTGTCTCACCTGCATGATAACTGAGAAAATGGCGGCCTAAAACAGGGCACTCCTCTTTGGCGTCTTTTACGGAATGCTTGCTCTGCCAGCTTCTGCTCGCATGATGGGTCAATCCGCCAGAAAGAACCTTTACCGGGTTCATCCTGTGCACGTGGCACTTTTACAAAGTAACGGTTCAGGGATAAGTTGTGACGAATGGAATTCTACAAATAGACAAAAACTTCCTTGGTTCATCATTCACTGAAATTAAGGATTATGAGTTGGCAGTTTGGTCCTCACAAAAGGCCTTAATAGGGACCTTAAGATCCGACGACGGCGACGGCAACGGGAACTTCAAAAAAACAATAGGTTAATATTAGCAAAACAACAACTTTGCACGTGATCACGCTTTTTTGTACATTTCTTTGCCATCACTGCACGACTACGACGAGAAAATGCCTAATTTCACGTTTTATGGAGGATGTAAACAAGCTACTATGAAATTTTCTTTCTCTTTCTGAACTCGGATTTGGTTTTTCAGGAATGTAGCTCCAGGAGAGTTCGCCTACATTTGACAAAGTAAGTGAGTTGGAACTGTCACGATGAAGATTGAATGAACGCGAATTCACTTTTTAAGCAATGTTTTCACTGCCGTCGCCGTCCTCGGATCTTAAGGTCCCTAATAATAAGAAAGCTACTACAACTACATATGTTGCTAGTTGTGCATAAGTGAGCACCAGCCTTTAATTTGCAGTAAACCAATTTACGTGGGATATTTACCTAACATTAAATTTTTAATCCACAGTACTGACCTGCCAGCCTTTGTCAGCACTACGATAATATGGGTAGTTCTTGGTTATATGAGTGTAAATACCACTCAATGTTAGCTGCTTATCATGGGCAGACAGGATAGCCTGGACTATCAACTGCGCATAAGAAAATGGTGGCTTTCCATCATCCTTGTTTCCTCCATCTCCTCCTCCAGGGTTGGGTTTTTCCTCCTCGGCTAAAGCTTGGGCGTCCTGAGCGGCTAATTCTGCCACAGCATGCAAGTTTGGAGCGTAAATGTGATTGGAATCCCCGCGGGGACTGGCGGGACATGAGTTGGGTACACTATAATTATGCAAAGAAAACAGTCAATGAATAACAACACACGAAACTAAACTCTGAATAAGTCTGTCTGCAAAACAACACAGAAAACCTTGTTTTGGCCCCTCCATCTGTGTACCATGATTTGAAAAACTGTTTAAAGGCAATCTCCCCCCCCCCTATTCGGTTGTTGTAAATTCATTGAAACTTCCATTTCTACTTCTAACGAAGGGAAAGACCACTATATACAGTAACCAAGCATTTGGCAAGAATATCCTTGTTTTTGGCTTTTGATAGTCTTCTGTGTGACTGTTTAACAATTTTGGTTACACCATCCATTGTTGCACGTAAGTAACACAAAGAACATTCCAAATGATGGTGTTAATAATGACAGAAAAATAAATAGAAATAGCCATATTTAACATTTATTTTTCAAGTGTAAGAAACAATTAATTCAAAAAAATTAAACACTTAATTTGATATAACTATGGCAGTTGCCTGTATGAAGCAGTTTTACGTTAACTATGAAAGGTCAATGTACTGACTGGACTGCTACCCACACCACATTAGTACTAAGAAAAACACTGATGAAGTGGCATTATGGTAATGAAGATGAAGTAGGCTTTTGTTCATCTAAATGAGCTTAAAATAATTTCTTGCTCAAGCCACCAAATTCGGGACATAACACGTCTGTTAAATTTCACAATTTGTGCAAGCCTGACAGAGATGCCAGCCATCATTTTTCAAGCAAAATCGTTACCAGATACAATTTCCAGGATACTAAAAACAGCATGTCACAATAATCAATGGTTCTTAGAAGTCTTGGGCAGTTGAAACTCCAAACCATGACTCACTGGAATTTAGAGATATCTCGATGAAATTGTTATTTATATATATGATTACAAAATTACACTGTTTTCCATTTGCAATGCTTGCTTTTTTCCCCAAGAAAACAAGCTGAGAAAATTATTACAAACAATTTCTTGAGCTCTAACAGCACCTGAATTAAACAATAAGTACTGTGCAATCATTTTTACACTGCTTTTATTAGAGGTTTTGAAGAAATAACATGACTGTGCAAGGTAAGATTTGTTTGAAACTATTCACACAAATGAACTCGTAAGTATCAAGCAGTGGTCAAAACACGCTGTTTTTTAACGGAGAAATTTTAACTAACAACATCGACCTACTGTTTTTTTATGTACTGATCTTGTACAAAACAAAGCAATCAAAAATAAAAACACACGTAGACGCCGCTCAACTCTTATTTTTAAACGCGTGCCCAGGAAATAATTGTACAAACTATTTAAAACATCTGTACAAAATTATTTTGTGCCAGAAGGAAAAGATATATGTCTTTGTTTGCAAGTAAACAAAAAACGCCAGCAATCTCGAAGAATATTTAAGCTAAATTTTAAGCCACACGGCAATCGACAAAATAAAGTAGCCAGTATTTTTATGTATAACGTTTAGGATTTCTTTTCCTTTTAACTGTTTTGATTTTGCTTCAAAACTTTCCATTATTGCCAAACAAAATAAACATTGCCATGCGCAGACTAAACAAGACACGATGGATTTGAAATTGGCGTAGGTCGGAAATAATTTCCATAACATGCGGATTGCGAAACACGGAATCAGTGGCTAATCTATATATTTTCACCGATTTCTCTTCAAAGTAAGCGCAAAGTACAATTATCACTTTTTATTTCAGCAAACGTCAGAAAATTGAGTTATAGAAGGAACTGAGTTGAACGAAAGCAAGAGAGTTTTATAAGCCAGAGGCACGTAGCCAGCTTCTGCAACAAGAGAGGGCAGCGAATCGAACTTTCCCAATTAAACACGTGGTGACAGTAATAAATAAAATTTATCTTGCTTGTGTCTCAACAAAATTTCTTCAATCTATCAAAAGAAATTGCTTTTGCGAAAAAAGGCTTAATAAGATCACGAATAAGAAACTACTGTTATCCCAAACTATTTTTTACATGCACGCATGCATAAAAATAAACAAGTGGTTTACTCGGCCAAGGGTAAGCTTATATCAGTTTCGATATAAGCGACCACAAGAGTTTTTCCACGGTTATACCAGGTCACAGTTAAATAATAAAGAACCTGCGAGGTCAAAACATGCGTGTGTAAAATTATTGAAAATAGAACTAAGCTCACAAAAAATCTGAAAAGTTCACGGTTGACTCAATTCACTGTGACCCCGGGAGCTGAGTTCAATGACAAATCGCGTCAAACAACAAGAACATTTCAGTACCTTATGGTTCCCGTTGGAGACGGGACTGGCGAAGTGAGGTTTGCATCTGACTGTGGGATGTTTATTCGGAGCGGTGGTAGCAGCTTTGTTCTTGGCGGACTTGGTACACGTTTGGGGGTCTTGTCACTTACCAAAGACGTAAACCGAACTTTCACATTTGTGGACGGAAATCGCAGCACACAACTGAAAGAAATCAACAATTAACATTCTTTGCCATGTAAGAGAAAGAATAAAGTTAACATTGGCTGCATAAAATATTGCTCAACAAAGTTTAAAGTTTGTATACATACGCGTAAGGCAATTTTAACGGAGGTGCTCCCCGTCTGTGGAAAACACCGTCAACAAATATCCCGTTCTTGCCATTGCAACTGAGAAAGAAGTCTGGATTTTCATATTTCAGCTGCAAGTGCTTCCTTGAAACAAAACTTGAATGCCCCATGTTGACGTCCACGCTGCCAAGACTGCTGTTTCGACCGATAATAATCAAGCTCTGTCGAACCAAATATTCAAACTCACGACCTTCTAGTTTAGCTATAGGAGTAACGGTGTTGACACCGGACCACAGTTGTCTTGCAGGGTTAACAGCGCCTGATTTTAGGGCCAGTAGTGCATAAGCATCGCTCTCCTGATCTTGACTTGGCGAAGACATCATCAAATGACAGCCACGATTCCAAATTCCCTTGCGTAGCAGAAGAAAAAGGATCAAAGCAAAACAACAACACGAGGAGAAACATACGGGAAAGTCGGCAAAATAATGATCGCCAAATTTGGTCATCAAAACCAAATTTGGAAGTGCCGGGTTTGCGCGCACGGGCTAGTCTGTTGTCAAGCGAATGATTGCTCAAGACCAGCGAAATGAGAAGAAAAGAAAATCAGCTGGAAATAGAAAATAAAAACAAATCAATTTCGTTTTTTTTATACTTTGTTCCCCTGCATCTCGTCATGTCCAGATGCTGACGAAACGCCTGAGTACCCTTCGAACGGAAAAGTCATCTTTGCTCACAAAATTAACTGTGGAGCCTGTAAAGCCCTGGTTGCCCCAGTTGTTCAGTAGCTGGATAGTGCTATCCACCTTAAGAACAACTGGCGCCTGCTTTTTACTCATGTTTACTTTAAACTATATTTGTACGTTTTACTTCCTTACCGACGCGACCCAGTGTACTTAACTTATTAACCTCTTCGGTTAATTTACCCTTAATATTTCATTTGTTATGTTAGAATTTTTAGATAGCTAATATGTAATTAGTTAGTTATATTGTATTGACTGCAAACAGATTTTGTAAATAGATTTTGTAGCATGATTTGTAAAGCGTCATGGACAGTTCGTGAAATGACGCTATATAAATATGAAACTTATAATTAACTTATTATTATTGTTATTATTTCAATTATTATGATTATTAGTTAACTGGTTCATTATATTATGAATTCGATATGAAAAGACAAAGTCCACGAGTATTCTGCAGCGTAGAAATTCAAGAGAAACTGTCGATGCCGATGCATGCATCCTTCCCGCTCTTGTTTTAGGGAGCTTAGGCCTGTACGCAAACGTCGTGCTACTTCCGTGCTAAGCTGGCTCGACTGTAGCTCGACTGCAGCACCACACTAGCACGACTTGGTTTCCGACGTCGAATCCTGATTAAGTCGAATAGAACGGCTGTTGCCGAAAACGAAACACAAAAATAAAGAAAAGGTTTAGCAAACTTTAAAATGTATTCCAATGTATTTATAATTTATGAATTGAGTTCGGCACGGCGGTAGCACGACGTTTGAAACCAAGTCGAGCTACTGCTGTGTAGTACGGCAAGGCTTGCCATGCTACACGGCAGTAGCACGACTTGGTTTCAAACGTCGCGCTACTGCCGTGCTAAAGTCGAATTTAATTCGATCGATTGAGTTCGGTACGGTAGTAGCACGACGTTTGGAACGGGCCTTAATCAAGGGCTATAGCCGGCGTCGAGTCAGCGACGAGAACGGAGAAATGCAAAAAACAAGTTTATACTCCACACGCGATTATGCTTTAAGAGGTAAATTTTTGTAAAGACTTTCACGTAAACGCAGATAATGTTATTTGAGGCAGAATTTGAAAAATGAAATAACTAATAATTAACCTCTTCGAATATAGAGCCCCCTCTCTACTTAGGACCCGTTTGCCTAAGCAGGTTACTTCATCTACCTGAGGTTACCACCAGCATGTAAACAGCCCCCTGGAATGGTAAATAAGCATCTACTTAATGAATGATCTGATGATCTGCCCCCCCCCCCCTTTATTACATACCAGAAGTTCAATTCAAATTTGATAATTTCTCGCGAGATTTAATTTTAAAGTACCTATAATTAGTATAAATGACTGATTTGGCTGCGCTTTTAAACTTTACTTTCCGAGATCTTTCGGGAGAAATGTATGGGAGAAAATCTCTTAAATGCATAACTTCTTTGCAGTTTCTGATCGTCCAAAGTTCGTATAACTCTCGCAACCGCCTCGGTATGTCATGTTTATAAGTGCCAAGTATAATTGGTCACGGGAAAAGCGAAACAATATGTGCTAGGGTTTCGATCATTCGGCCAATTTGTAGACAACTGTCACAGTATAAAATATCAGTAGGAAACTGAGAAGCAAAGTTCACTGAATTTCGAATTAAGGTCAATTTTCGAGACCACGCACTTCAAAACACAAAGTACAAATTTTGTTTGAAGCTACTTTTCCAGGATGTCTTTTTACTGAGAATACAGGGAAAAAAAACTTAAAATAAAATACAATTGATCACTCCAGAAAATACCATATCTTACCATAAAAGCCCTTTGTTTGTCACCCCAAAAGTTTGCATAAGCATTGTCTTCAGTTTCTCTTGGGAGTTAAAATGGCCCCAGGAGAAACTGAAAACAATGCGTACGAAAAATTTTGAGGTGACAAACAAAGAGCATTATGGCATGTTTAGTCATGGTATTTCTGGACTGGGCAATTGCCTCCTCATTCCAAATTCGTACTCGTATTCGACTTTGTACTTGTAGTCAAATCTAAAAGAAGCCAATACTTAAATTCAAAGCGATTATTCGACAAAAAAGTTTTCAGACAACTTTATTATTTCACAAACAATTTGAACACATAAATACTTTACATGTGGGAAGACAAAAAATAGAAACGGAGTGTTATGAAGTGAAGCGATTCCTTTTTAGGAATCAAAACGTAAAACAATGAATGCCTAACATTCGACGAATGGATGTAAAAATATTTGTTAATTGTTCTGGCATGACATGTAGCACTGTAATAACAACTCGAGACCTCAAAAGAAGATGTTTTACATTTTGTACAGAGAGAGCTAATCCATGATTAGCAAAAAAAATAATTTAAGCGGTTTGAAAAAGATGGTTGAAGGAGGTGGATAATGATTTTTTTTACAGACGTTAGAAATTAAAGCCTGTATTTCTAAAACAAAACCTTGGTGTTTTGATAAAATTTACGCTTCTGCAAAAAGGAAAAAAACTTCTTTCACTAGGTGAAAAAGTGAAAAAAAAGCACACTAACATACTGACTACTGTATTTCAAACCAAGAAATTCACTCTTAAAGTGAGGAAGTCACAAGACTTAAGCGCCAATCATAGTTTAACACCAGAAAAGCACCAAAACAGTAGTAAGACGTTTTCTGAGTGGCGCGGGAAACACACTGGCAAATAAACACACGATTTTCTTTTCACACGCTTAACAGCAAGGCAACTCCTGCCAAGGTCCATTTGGCTGGAGACTCCTTTGTCTTCAGGAAGAAGTTCCAGACATAGGTTGGACCGCGCTGCCTTGTCTTGTACACTGGACACTCGTACACGTTCTTGGTTTCTTGTTTGTCTACTGGGATGGCTCTTATAAACATGACGGGCATGCCTGGTGTGAGTTCTTTTAGCCTTGATTCAGCGATCATGCCGGTCTGCGTGTCCCAGCGAGCTCCTTCCATGAACAGACCATGCACGTAGGCGCCTTCCCTTGGCGGACTGTTAAAGTCTTCTTTGTTTTTCTTTGTTACGTCCACCTGTAGAAATAGACTGTGTCAGGATCTTGACAAGACATTTGCTGGCGTGGTTGAGTTGTTCGAATGAATTAAGCTGAGAACAAATCTAGGGCGTAGTTACAATTCAACTCAAATGCTGTGCTTACAGTAAATGCAGAGCTGGAATTAACCAGATTTTGAAACACTCGGCCTTGAAATTGAGCGATTACATTTGCTAGAAGGAAAGGGAGTGCCGGCAATGGCAAAAAGAGAGCGTCTTACACGGAGTTTAAGCAAAGACGTGTTTGAGAGACGCATGTCAATCGGAGGTGGACTCTTTGAACTCTTCGGCCGTGATTCTGAACAGATTCCTGGGGAAATCGTCCTTATAAAAGAAAAGAGACTTACCAATACACATTAGGCATATTTAAAGAGAAAAAGGCTCACTTCCGATTCACGTGCGTCGCTCAAAGACGTCCCTACTTAAACTCCCTAGATCGCGCGATAGGTTATAATGTACCAGTCAGTAACAGAAAATGGCTACATTCTCAGTTCGTCTACTAAAATAAATAAAATAACAATAACAATAATTAACCTGTAAAGCCATTTTGTCCAAAGGCCATTCGTTCTTTCGTGCCATAGACTGCTCAATAGCTGTAAGGAAGGACTGGGGGTTAAAGAAACCAGACAGCCACACGACATTAGGAAGACAGAAGTCGGACGTCCAGCTCTCCAACTCTTTAATTCGCAGTAGTAAGTCAACAAACCATGCGGCCAGGCCTGACATAGATGGGTAAGCACGGCGCGTCCAGGATTCTGGGACGTCGTCGAGGAAGAGAGCATTGCCCAGCTCCTCCATGTCAGCGGTGATGGTCAGTTCACCCTACAAGTAACGCAATGCAATTATCCTTCTGTCTGTATTTGGATCTTTAAAAAACAATTTTCAAGATTTTGGATGTTGTCAAGAACCAGCCTGTGTGTTTGTCGCAATTTTCCGTTCTTTCGTTCCCTCTTCCCTCCTCCTTTCGACGCCTCACACGAAGGCTAAACAAACGGGTCAAAACATTATTTCCCTTGGTTTATTCTCAAGTTAAAGGGCAAGTTGTGACATTGATGGTCGGGGATGATACACTGCAGGAAACCTTGCAACTAAAGACAGTATTATGATGGAATTTCTTTTACATTAGAATTCGGGACTTACTTTGAGACCCAAGTCCAACTCTTTCAGGGACCGTTTGATTTCGCTTGTCAGGATATTCATTCGTTCGCACTCCTGGAAAGCCACCACAGTGTACGGTGTACGGTCTTCCACACGAGCCATCATCTCGGGCACGTTAAACTCATCCGGTAGTTTCTCTAGGATTTCATCCAAAACCTGTTTGACCTGTTTGTGGAATAAATAAGTCCATTTAAAAGTATGTTTTAACTCTCCAAAGCTATAAACAGTAGATACACAAGACGATTTTCGTTACTCTGCAAACTACAGTTCTACCGTAGAGAGGAGGAAGGAGAGGAAAAATGCCGCGCCCCTTCTCCCCTGCAACCTTTACTTTCACAATGAAAGTAATAAACGTAAGACTACTTATTGATCACAAATGGCTAACAGTGCAATTAGTTTACAAAACTTCAACGGAAGTAGCCATTCTTCTTATCCAAAAAAAGGAATTATATTAGAGTACTACGACTTCAGTATAGTTTTTCCTCTTTTACTGCAGTGAGCAATGTGTTTTGTCTAAATATACCCCCTTCTTCATTGAGCCCCTTATCCCTTAGGGATGCTTAAAGAACTTTTTAACCCTCCCTCCCCCAGCTGAGGTGCTTAAAAGAGGATTAACACTAAGTAAAGCAGGGGAAAAAGGGATGGGAATCTGAATGCTGATAACCCACCTTTTCCTCGCGAGTCTGTCCTCCACCGCTACCAGCACCCGCATCTCTGGGTTGCATCTCCAACACGGTGCGGAACAGGTTATCGGAGGTAGCTGTTAGGAAACCGATCTCAGCGTTAGGGTGCAGACCATACAGGTAGGGGCTCTCAGCCGGTAGCACTTCATCGATGTAGTTGTGGTAGGTTTTGTAGTCTGAGTTTGGAGGGATGGGAAATCCTGGAGCCAGGTTCATTTCACCTTCAAGCTGCAAGAAATATTTCAGTAGTCTTAGTGCTGGTTTCTCCAATCCCTTCCATTCACATTGAAGGTTCTTGGGAAGAATTAAATCGCTTTAATTTGGGAAAAATCTCTACGTTACATGGGAAGAATTGAATGAATTTACATTTTCCTTTAATTTGGGATCGAACTATACGTTATTTCTACTAAATTTAATTAATCATGTTACATCTAATGTTAACCAAAGTTCTTCCTTCTATTTATTCTATTTTTTAAGGACAGATAATTGAAAGAGGCTCGTGTCGCTCTATCGACGCGGCACCTGCTGCACAAATGTCATCGAAACAGCGATTTATGTCGAAGATTGATCTCACCATATCTGGTTTCATGTACTCCTCCAGATAAGTCCTGCATAGCCTTCTATCCCAGTCATCTGTGATGTGACCTCCATACATGATCTCACCAAACAAGTAACGCAGATCGGTCCATGGAACCTGGGATACAGTACATAATATACAATTTAATCAAACTTCTCTCATTCGCAAGTAATCTACAGCTTGAGAAACCAATGAGAATTCTGAAAACTTTATCTGTGAAAGCTGCTGTTAATGTCGCAGGGAGCTTGAAATACGGCAGAATGGAGCCTTTACACTCAGGTGGCCAGCATCTACGCAAATTTATTGAAACAAAAGAAAGCGTTTACATAACAAAAGGGTTCAACTCCCACAGGATTGGTTTGGAACACCAACATGGCCGCCGTTTCATTGTTTTGGAACACCAATATGGTCACCGTCATGTGAAAACAATATGGAGAGGGCTTACGGTAATGGAAGAATCATGTATATATACCTTAGCATTGGCCTCAAGGTAATTGTAGAGTACATTGACACTTATGGTCAAGTCACCAGTGTTGAAGGGGTAAGATCTGTTCCAACCCTGAGGACCAAACTTGCGCCGCTCAGCTACACAGGCGTGGAAATAACACAGCGCGAACAAGATGCTCTTGAATTCATTCTCTCGTGCGCACATCTCAAGTGTGTCCTAATAAAGGAAAGAAATAGGGCAGAAACTATTTATTTATTTTCCATTTACTGCTTACATGTACCCTATCGGTAAGCCACCATCACATCGCTAGGAAAAGGACGATAGAAGGTTACAATAAGGGTTGAACAAAAATCTCACGACTTTCTTCTTTTCACGGAAGAAAGATGAGAAACGCATGCGCGAAGAAAGATGAGAAACGCATGCGCGGAAGCCAGAACGTTTGCTAAGCGCGGAAAAATATGAAATCGACAACAAGCGTCAAGTGCGAGCGAGAAAAAAAAAAAAAAGAATTCGGGTACTAACGGGGCAAGGTCCTACGCACTGAGGCAAATCTTTGCTGTGTAAGGTTCGCAGTTAATTATATGAATGACAAAAAGGGAACGCAACTAATCCAAAGGAAACACAGCTTACCTGGTTAAAGTTATCCAACGCCTGATGTAAGTTAGCCATCATGCCAGTAGGTGGCTCGTTTGTGATTTTGATCGAGGACTCCAGGATTCCTTGGGGTATGATATGTGATTCAGGTGTGCCGGCTGGTTCAGCTGAGATATAGACTCGGTAGTTTTCATGACTTCCTTCACTGTATGCTTCCAGCTTCTTCTCAAGTGTTGGCAGCCATTTTTTAACAAGATGGATATTCTAAAACGGCAGTAGGCAAGATTAAATTAGTTAGCTTATACGCCAACCGCACACTCAGTGAAACACCTCTTCTATCAGCGAATAAGAGATCCAGCAAAAACCTTGCCTAGCCATAACACTTTGATTTCAATACGTGGCTAATTCGTCTCAGATCACGGGGTTCAAGGGAAATAATGAGCAGATTGTTTCAGATATATGAAATGTATGTCCGTGATGGACTGCGAAAACGCCATACGGGAAAGCGTGGAACGAGAATTCAGAAGGCTCTGTCCTTTACAGATGTTTCCTTATACACTGAAATAATCGTCAATGTGCTGCTTAAAATGCACCTTGCAGTCCATACTGGACGGAAGTCCTGACTATAGTGGTATTGAGTACTACTTAGACAGTCTAGGGGAGGGGGCGGCTGTACACAGGCTAAGTAGGACAATAATCTGTACTGACTGCAGGTAGAAACAGTGACCAGTCTAAACGCCAAGAGCGGCTACAATTTTCCATGACAGGTTGTTTACCTGTAAAATAACCCAGTGACCTTCTTTGGCGGCTAAGTCAAGACTCTGCTCCGCGACAATTTCCTGACCCTGAAAACACAAATAAAACGTATAAAACACGAGGGTTTTTTCACTTCTTTTTCTAAACTGAAGGGGAGAAAAGAGACAGAAACTTCTTGTGGTTCAAAGACGAATCAGTGAAACCTATCGTTAGAGACAGTTTCGAGAAGATTTTAAAATTCTACAACAAAAACAATTTAGTCATTGTTCACCTGTCCAAGAGACACGTTATGGAAGTTCTTGTTGTCAAAGGTAAACCCGAGTTTCTTGCCCAGGGCCTCCACGTCTTTGAGTGGATCGACGCCTGGGGAGAGGATGAAGAAGATTGGAGTCCCAGGCCCGCTCTCCTCGTAGGATTTGGCAAACTCGACCTGGCGATTTTCAACGTACTTCGCACCCATCTTCTCCTCTACGAAGCCACTACACAGAACAATAACATACTACATAAATATACAAATGAATTCCACAATATGTTTATAAGGAGCCTTTCAATAACAAAAAGACACCACACCGCTCTTTGCTTTCTAGAGTCCGTGGATGCAATCTTAAGACTTGTCTAACATGTCTAAAAAAGATAGACATAATCCGACGTGTTGGATGGTGTTGGATCCGTTGATAGGAAGTTTTTAAAAGTTTGAACTCATTTAGGCGCCACCTGAAGATGTTCAGATGGTTTCAAGCCTGAGAAGACACTACAGCCGTCTCTCTTCGCCGCTAGGAACGTTCCTGTGAAACGTACCGTCCCTAGTGGCGTGGAACGAGGACAGACGGCTGTGTTCATCTGTGTCCAGCCTCGTCCCCAAGCCAATTCGCGCAAAGCGAGTCAGCAGAGGAGGCTTGGAACCCACCGCGATAGCTCAAGGCCGGGCAAAAAATGGCAAAAGTCCCTGATAAGCGAAAAAAAAGGCTTAGATGATTGCTCAACAAAAAATCTGCTTTTTTCTGTAGGGATCATGGAATATTTCGGACGCACGAAACATTTGTGGATAGTTTTAAATGGCAGAAACGAAATGTCAAGTCAAGGGGTTAAGTCAAGCAGCGCCGCCATTTTGGCTTTCCCGGTTTCCGACGGGTGTTCTCGATAGGCTTGACAGTCGACGTCACAACCGAACTCGCCGAGAACGACTGGGAACTAGGCAATTTGCATCCGACAATTTTCGAGGAATGGGGCCCGGTGACATATCAAATCCAGCGTAACTTAGTGACTACAAGTGTTTTACCTGACAGCGTATGTCATTCTGTCTGGTCTCAGCGCCCTCATCATGCATAGCTTCTGTAGAGAACTCTTGTTTTTCCATTCCTGAGGGAACTTTTCTTTTTCTGGACACTCGCTTTCCACAAATTTCTTCCATCTCTTGGCAGATCCTTCAATGTCACGATCCAAATTACGAAATTCTTCCATGTTACCAAGAGCCTACCAAGAACAACACGAAACAAGTCAAAAGGAGTTACCTTACTTTGTCATGTTGAGAGAAAAAATAATTCACTGGGCTAGAGAAAGTGAAGTGACTTGGTAACGCTCGTCTATTATACTTTAAGAAGAGATTGGGACAACAGCCATCTACTGCATTTACAATTTCGATTATTATCGAAATGTATTTATATAAAAGTAGTAAGCCTTGTTCTAAAATGTTCTGTATTTATGTTAATTAATCCTCTTTGCTTGATTGCATCTGAAGCATTGAAGAGCACTTTTACCTTGGAAAGAAGTACTGAGGGGCACTAGTCGTAAGGACAAGACAAAGTAAATTTTCTCCCATTTCGGAATACGGTGTATGGGGCAATGCAGAGGGGTGGAGTTCTCTAATTCCGCAGTATAGAATAATTCCATACATTCATAAAATCTTTCTTGTGCAGACAAGTGAAACTGGCCCCTGACATTGATACATCATGATAGAATATTCGGCACTAGTCTTTAACAAAATAATTGTCACCTTACCTTAATACCTCCCCAGCAGAGGTTATTGAGAAAGTCTACAGGACTTGTTACGTTCATAACGGCGGGGAAACGAAGAAGGAATTCCAGCTCATGAGGTACAATCTCCTTGTTCATTAATAGAATCTGTAAAAAGGACAACAAGACAAATTAGACATCATAGGCATGATAGAAAAAAAGAGAGAGAAGGAAAGATAGAAAACTCGTTTTCACAAGAAATTAAGGACTGCAGCCTTTCCTTGCATCAGGATAAGATGGAAAGCTGGGGTACCGTTAGTGAAAATGAAGGCTTTCTTAAGCAACCTGGGATATACATATCCTGCACACTTTTTGTGTATCAAGCCATGTGTCGGAGGAAGTACAAACGAAAGCAAATCGCGTGGTTGCTGTCAGCTGCAGCTTTACAGCGCTACATTCACACCGCCCCGCCAGAAGTCAAAGAACGAGCATATCAGACATTGGTACGCCGCATGAAGTTCAGTCCTCATAGCGCAAAGGGAATTGCAATCAGGAAATGGATGGAAAGGCGTGCTGCCAGCAAAGAGATATACAAGATGAGTGTGTCTTCCTCGATTAACGAGCTTAACTGGTAATCGCCGCAAGAGCGACGGCACTGATGGACCTAAACGATCCTTAATTTCTTTTTATATAGTTATTTAGCCTGGTGCTTGCATACCATTGCGCATTGACCACCTGTTGCCGTTGGGTATAGCTTGACAATGACAATTAAATACACGCCAAAATTCTCAGATTCACGAAAGGTTACGTTCGTTAACGCCCAAGACACGAGCATTTCTTATTTAACAAACGCTAATTTTATTAATTAACCCCGTTTTGATTTAAATAGTTCACTAACCCCTGTATATAAATATCGCTGCATTACCTGGAATGCTACTTGTGCTGTAAAGATAAGTTTGTCCTTCTCAAACAATCCTCGCGTGGTGTAAATAAAGACTGAGAACGTAATGCAGTCGATCAGGTTGTTGACTCGGAATTTCACTTCCTCTGCTGGTTCAGCTCTGTCAATGGCTTTTTGGAACACCACATTGAAGGCCTATCAAGAAGATAAAAAGAGGTTGTATCAACATACACGTTATGCTCTGATCTTGACGGGCTTCTGACCCAGTAAAATTCGGGACTTGAACCACATTAGGAGCTAGTACATAAAGCGGCGTCTCGAACCAAACTATAGCAGTTCTGATCAAAGAATCTTTTGCCTTGACTTAGTATATATTAAGCTTCAAAACGTCATAATAAATCGAACTCATGTCAGTACATTTAGAGGGGGCTTATAATCACAAGAATTTTTAAGTTTTGTTCACAGGTAGAAGGGCTTATAACTAGGGAGAGGTTGTAGAAGCGGCAATTTACGGTAGCCCGTCTGTTGCCGATTTCCAAAAACGCACTGAAGAGATGCTTTTTCAGGAAGCTTTTATGTAGTTTACTTTTTTACCAAACTAGGTTTCATTTTTTGGCCACTCTTTTTAAGTATTTAGTAGAGACTACCTAGTTTGAAAAATAAAGGTATCCTTAGTAGTTTTTTTTTTGCTATTCAATATGTTCAATTTTTTTAAGCGTCGGAAAAAATATTACTAATCTCGGCGCTAAACAAAATAATTATAAATAAAGTTTAGGTAAAATTAAATGGAACACACGAATGCGGGACTATGACAAAAATTTTAAGATGAATTCAATAATTTACCTTCAGTGAGAATTGATATATCGGATTGATCTTGTTGAGGTCGTTCAATATGAAGTAAAGGAGCGACGATCTTGCAGCTGCTGGTCTGTACTGCTCGCGGGCTTCGTTGATCTTGACCTCAGTTGTTTTACCCTCAGCGACTTTAACTTCAATTTCTGCAGCGGTTCGCTTGGTGTTCTCCAAGTTCTCTACAAGAGCATAATCACCTAAAAAGTTTCCACCTGCAGCGGAGAGACGAGCCAACAAGGAATCCTCCAGCTCTTTGATCTTGATGGTAAATTGGTTCATTTGTTGGGTCAGGTTGGCCTGGAAAGAAATCACAATATATTATTGTCTCAATATATTATTATTATATATAAACACTAGCTTTGGATCCATAATTCCTTTTAATACATGGGGGACAATTTCCTAACAAAATTGACCTGAATTCCAGCGCCTTTTTCAGGAAAAATTCAGTTTTAAAAAAAAAATTCATTCTTGTGTCATCGCAGTCCTTACCTGCATGTTACAGAAAACAGCGGAAGATAAATCAGAGCTTAAATTATCATGGCAGTTGTGTAATTTACAGCATAAAAAACTGCATAACACCAGACAGAACTGCAATCGCATCGATTAGGTATATTTTAATTTTTTTTAATTCAATGTAAAGCATTCTCTACACCGATTTATTAATCTAACGTTCGCCCTCTAAAAAGAAGCCATTACCTTTGTCTCTTCAAGATCTGGTCTCTCCTTTCGTACAACATCAGCCAACAGCTGATCTTCCAAGCCTTCACGTGTAACCGTAAAGTTGATCAGTGTGGTCTGGGCCTGCATCTCAGGTTTGTAATGTGGATTGGCCAGTTTTGTGTGAAGAATAAGGCGGAATTCTGGATGGTACTCCACCTCTTTATCACCCATCTTAATGTACCTGAAACAATTTAAAAAGAGCATTTTTTTTAGTGTCCAATAATCTGTTTCTTCTCAAACATTAGGGACCTTAAGCAAAGACAACGACGACTACGGTGAAAACATCGCTAAAAAATTAAATTTGCGTCCTTTCAAACTTTATCGCGTCTATTTGGACCAGCTCAATTTGTCAAATGTAGGCGATTTATCCTGGAGTTGAATTCTTAAAGGACTTAACCCAAGTTCAAAAAGGGAATGGAAAGCTTGTCGCAGTCGTGCAGTGAACGTCAAAGAAATGTACTAAAAAGCGTGATGCACGTGCAGAGCTGTTGTTTTCTCATAAATCCAATTGTTTTTTGACGTCGTCGCTGTGGTTACTTTTAATTGGCTCCCTACTGATAGCTGAAGTGTACAGAAGGGTAGCGCGGTGGTGAGAAGAAAGCACTCGCCTCCCACCAATTTGACCAGGGTTCGAGTCCCGGCGTCGACGCCATAGGTGAGTTGATTTTGATGTTGGTTTTCTCCCCTGCTCCAAGAGGTTTTTGTCCGGGTACTGCGGTATTTCTCTTTTCTCGAAAACCAACCCTTCCAAACTCCAATTGGCCTCCCAACCAGGCGTTTTTAGCGGAGCTCGTATTTCGTTCCTCCCCACAAGCACCCCTCAAAACGCCTGCGTGGGAGACTAAACCCAATTTCATTTGTCAAGTTTTTCTATTTCGTTGGGACACTTTGTGCATCAACAGTTCATCAGTTATTGAAACTGTCCGGTGTCATTCCTTTTAGATTAGTCTTCTTTGTTTGTTAAGTTCTTCCGGGTGTTCTAACTTCTGATTTAAAAAAAACCTACGGTAAGTGAAAAAGCTTCTTGCGGAGGAACAAAACAGACCTTCCTTTCTTGATGGTGTTTCGGCCAACCAAAGCATCAAGCACTGGATCCATGCTCTCGCCCATATTTTCAATCAGCACACAATCGCCGTTTGCTACTGCTCGCTCAATGGTGTCTAGATATCTGAGCAAGAAAACACAACGGACATAAGATACAGACAAGTCTTGCGATCAACTTTTAGAAATACAAAAATACATCCATGAATTGAGTCCTAACTACATCCGACACCCCCTTTTCCTCTCCCGGCCTCCAGTCCCACAACCCTAGTTATGCTGCTGTCCACTACCGACGGGGTACTGAGACGTAAGGCAAGGAAGGTGTCAATGTTTCGGTCGAGTGCTGTGAAACCAAATAGACAGAAATGAACGTAGTTAAAAAAAGGTTTTTTTTGTGATAAACCACAATTTTGAGCACAGTAAAGTTACAAAAAATTTGCTGCATAGCTGGCACCATCCGAATGCGTGACTGCTTTTCGGCGAGCTGCGAAAGGCGAGCAGCAATTGTACTTCTTCGCTTCTTCTCACAGCTCTACCCTCAAGACAAAAACACGCGCGAAATTAAATAATCAAGCACTCCAAATCCCACCAGCTCCACAAGCCAACTGCTCTAAGGGTGGATTTCCACTGTCCGTAGTTTTACGTGCGCACGCACGTACATTTTACCCGTTTAAATAAAATCGAGGCAATGTATGAAGCATTGCGCGTAAATGTTAAAGATGAGCGAGGCTCAACTTTTAATTTTACGCGCGACCTTCTATTCATTGCCTCTATAGTTTTATTTACGCAGGTAAAAATTAGGCGACAGTGGAAATCCACCTTAAGACTAGTTAGAGAAGCATCTTCGTCTACAACTTGCAAGATGATGTTTGTCAGACAATTGGCAAGAATAGCCAAAGCGATTACTCACCCTTTTTGTCCCAGTCTGACCACCCTCAGCTCTTCACCTTCTCTGGTTTTAATCCACTTCACTCCTTGTAGCTGCGGATCTATCATTAATGGCCATCGTTCGCAGTTGGTCAGTATCGTGGCGTTTTCGGTACTCATGCGATCGCTTGGCAGGTTTTCGTTGTTCCACTGGGCGATAGTTGCATTGTCAGTCAACAAGGTTAGAGGATCAAGACCTTCCGTTATTTTAATGGGAACCTAAGAAAACAAAAACTTCATTTTTAATACTTCATTAAAGTAAGGGTGATAGTAAAGCGGGGACAGAAAGATTAGGGAGCTTAAGCAAGGGCGACGGCAACAAGAACGGCAAAAAAGCAATACGTTTAATAGGCAAAACAACAACTTTGCACGCGCATCACGATTTCTTTGTACATATCTTTGCCGTCGTTGCAAGACTACGACGTGAAACTGCCTAACTTCACGTTTTGTTGAGGAAAAAACAAGGCAACGATCCTTTTTTCTTTCACCGAACTTTGATACAGTCCTTTAGAATTCAACTCCAGAAAAATTCACCAACATTTGAAAGGATAAAATAAGCGCGATAAAGTTTGAAGCAGCGTGAACACATTTTTTAAGTGACGTTTTCGTAGCCTTCGTTGTTGCTCAAGCTCCCTAAAAAGTCTCGTAGAACTGCATCGGCCTCCAGAAACTGCCTGTAAAACCACTAAGACGTTTCATTGTGGATATGGCCACCATGTCTTAACAGACCCTTCCTCGGTTTTTTCAAGTTTTGGCTTGGACCAGTTAGGAAAAATCCGTCAACGTGGCCAAAAACCACCTTAAAACTAGTTAAAAAGTAAATCAGGGGCACCCAACCAAAGGTTTCCCACTAATTACTTTGAAAACACTTTTTAGGCTATCCAGAGTGCTTTCAGATCTCTAGAGATGTATTCTAAGCGGCGCTAAGAAATTTATATCTGTTCGGTCATCCTAGGGTAACTTGAGTCTTTTCGAAGTTAGAGGGCTTCAGTCTAATTTTCCCGAAAATTTTTGCAGCAATTTAAAGTTTTCCGAAAGTGATAGTTTTTCTGATTCCTTTCTGCATTGTATTTAATTCCGAAAATTTTAGGTTTCCTTTCTCTACGAAAAATAACCTAACCTAGGGAGTGAAAAGGGAAAATGAACCTTCAGAAAATCGTGGGGAATTTATTAGATAAGCTTCGAAAATTGTGTACATGAATGGAACGGTCATCTAGAAATTTTTAGCCTTCCTCAAGCTATAGAAAATTCTAGGCAATTTTTACTTCTCCGAACAGATATTTCACAGAAAACAGTCGTTGGATGCCCCTGGTAAATTTTGAACGTGATCTGTTTGAAACTATAAAAGATATGGCTCGACAAAGTCACCAAATTTGACAGACCACGTTCGTATGGTACGGTGGGGGGCAAGTTCATGCCCTCACCATACAAAAGTCTATAAACTTTCGCGACTTTGTGGAGCAATATCTTCGCCCGCGTTTAACTTATCACCTTTAAACTTTGTAACTTTTCCAATTTTTAGGCGCTCTTATCAATGGATATTACAAAGAGTGGAAAGATCTATTTACAAGCGCGTATAAAGAAACCCAGTGAGTACAAAACTCTCTCGGTGACAGCTTACCGTAGTCATTGAGTCAACTACACCCTTTGTTATAGACCCTAATATTTGGGATTTACGTACCGACTGGCCTTTCAAGAATGGAAGCCATTTCCCGTTCATGAGATTGTCGCGGTATTTTCTTGTAAAGCAGCCCATGTAAGACACGAACGCTGTAGTTAGTAACACATCACCAGGTAGGGTCTTCTCTTGTTCTTTAAAGTTCGCCACCGACTCGGCCCAACGAACATTTTCCGAGGCCAGTCCGCCAACCAATCGATTAGCCAACTCGATGGTCATCGCTGTCTGTTCTGCTTCTTGTTGACACTTCAGTTTCTCAGCTGTCGCCTTGAAATGAATCACAATGCAAGATCAGCATTGATCGGTAATTTCCCTTTTCCCTCCCCTCTCCGAAAACAAGTCTAGAAAACGAACACAAGACGGACACCTTTCTTAAACGGACCCCTACAGTTGGTCCCAGCCGTTCTACATTTCATTTTCTTTGGAGGAAACCTCTCTAAGACAGAAACATAGTATCAAAGAAAGTCGTGTCAGATAGCCCGGGGCTTGTGAATTCTGTTCTTAATTTGCCTGGCCGGCAACTCGGGGCAAACAACGTTTTTTTGTGGAATTCAAATTACAGAGGAACTGTAATCGATCGCGTTCATCAAAACGTTTTTAGGGGCTAGTTAAATTGACTCCTGGGCTAGTGGATGCTAGCTACAGCTTGCCAAAATGACAAACAGTAAAACCGAGAGACTTTCTTTGTACCATGCCTAAATGCAAATTTGTGCGCCCACTGCATGATTGTGAAACTTGTTCATACAATTCAATCATTACCTTCTCAAACGAAGCCGTAAGCTCAGCTAAATTATCATCCAGCTCAGCTATCTTGGCCTTGATCTTTGCCAACTTTTCTTCTGCCGCTGCCAGCTCGGCATTCGCAGCAGCCAAAGCTTGTCTCTTGGGCTCAACATCACAGAAAACATGATAGAACCTGATGATGTTGATTGCCCATGCGCAGATGCCCGCTGCAGCGGCAGATTTGGCGCGAATGAAGTCGGGTTCAAACTCCGGATCGTCAAGATATGGCTGCACTGCCTTAAGGTTACTGTCAGCGATGTTTTCTTTGTCATAATTCACCAGCTGATCTAAAAATTGATCAACCTTTGAAAGAGAAAAGCATAGAGTTAATAATCATAATGTTAAAAGTTCTTAGTGTTGACAGACGAACTGCCACTTAAAACAGTTCCCAAAACTCCCCTATATACTGCTATATCCACCACGAAATATTGATCGCGTTTTGGGTCTATGGTAGCAAATATTACAGATGAATCTTATCTCTAGTCACATGAAGTACACAGTTTAAAAAAACAACGCGGAATCCCAAGCAACCTTCAATCGGCGACAAACTTGTTGAGATACTGTTCTCAAACGGGGTACCTTCGGAGAACAAAATAATCCACACCCCTCCCCTCCCCTCCATTCAAACTTGGGGTGTTTGTTGGTTCCTACCGGTAGCTCGAACAGTGGCACGACATTGCATGGAGGGGTGGGGAAAGGAAATCTCTTTTTCCCCTTTTGAAGTCGGCTAAACGTCCGAGAGGCGCTTTAGGACAAAATGTGTCAACTAATTTTGTCGCTGATTGTTGAATTCAGATCACTCGTTGACTTGATCGTGGAGAAGAAATGGATTATCCTTATTGTGAGAATCTCTCAAATGAATGGTAAAACAATCTGAAGGGGAAGACGAGGGGAGGAAAAGGGGCACATGTACCTTAGCCATCATGATTTTAGCCTGTTTCCAGCTCCTGTCCTTGGGGATCTTGGTAGACGGAGCAAGCAACACCATGACAGCAGACGTGACGTTGACAACAGCGGAAGGCGGCGAACCAAACGACTTCAGCTCTGTTAAGTTGTTCTTGTTGAGAGTGTTCAAAGCTTCCTGAGCGGCCTTCAGTGCAGGCTCCGCCTTCGCCAAATCCTCTTCGCAAGAACGTTGCTTTTCAGACACATCTTTAGCAATAACTTGCACCTTTTTCTCTTCCTCGTCTGCAATCGCCTTCTCTTTGCTGACCTTTTCTGTCTCCACTCCCACCTTTTCGATGAGTTTGTCTGCATCTTCGTTCTTCTGTTTGAGTTCCACTTCCTGTGAGGCGAGTTTTGCTTTCAAGTCATCCACCTGAGAAGCTGTACTCTGCAGCTTTAACAGACCGTTTTCCAGACGCTCAGTTTTCTGGCTCAGCTCCAGCGACTTCTTTTTCAGAAGATTACGATATAATGTAATCTACGAAAAAAAGAGACAAAAACAAAAATCAAGTTACATCAAGAGAGAAACGCCAGCGAGTTGAGAAGGGATACAATCTTACGGTGTGCGCAACGCTGAGTGCAATCTTAAAACTCAGCGCAACCTTACTGTGGTGCTACCACAATACTGAACAGGGTGATTCTAACTTTTCAGTTTCTGACTTAATACTAGATACTCCCACCATCAAGAGCTACTATTGAGCTTTACCAAGAGCCCGAGTGGATTCTCTTTTGGCTGTGCTCTCTTTCGGTGATGTTAGACTTTTCCACAAAGTAAAACATTTTTTGCTAACTAACAAAATTCTTTTCTCGTCAAAGTTTGGCCATCCCTGATGGCAAAACCAAGACTTTGAGTTAAAAAGACGGAAGGATGCGTCGCCTACCATTGTAACTCCTATTTCCTACAACTGCACAAGACTACATCTTGAAAAAGTAACAGTACCTGGTGTGGCAGGTCGCACAAGACACTTTTCGGCCCTAACTGTAACAAGTGTAAGAGGAAATGTAGTAATGGTGTGGATACCTGTTCCAAGAAGCTCTTGGGCGTGGTGTAGTTGTAGCGCCTTTCATTTGCAAGATACAGCTGACTTTCTTCGTTGACACTCGTGTGAACATAAGACATGAACTCGGCTACTGATTGCTTCACCTCATTCTGAGAAGATAAGAAAACCAATGCATTTCCATAAAGACGAAAAGTGAAAACTATATTATTCAAAACAAGATATTTTGCAAAAACCCTGTAGAAAGGATGGGCTTTCTCGTAGGAAAAGAGTGAAAATAACAGATCTTGGCCGGGCTGGCCCAGTTGTTCAAAAGGTGGATAATGCTGTTCATTGAATAAATCTCTATCCACTGAATAACATAACTGGGTTCCCCAATATTTATCCACTGGATAGTGATTTATCAAGTGTATAGCACTATCCAAAGTTTGAACGACACGGGCAGATGATTATTTAAGCTGGCCATCATTATGAAATCTGAAAGTTCTAGCCGAGTGGTCCCTCATTTTCCTTGGGGATAGTTGAACGCGCGATAGTAAGCTCAATCTGTACGGTGGTTAAGCAATGTTTTGAAACAAGGTTTTCTAACCATGAGGAATACACAAAGTAAACCATTCAGACTGGCAACGGCAACAGACTGGAAACGGATACGTGAGATCGCTGACAGAAAGGACATTGTTTTGAACCTACAGAATTCCATTCATATCATAATCATTGTTTCAGCGAGCAATTCACGTATATAAAAGTTAGTAAAAAATATCCTTCTTACCTCGAGCTGCTCCAAGTCATCAATGAATCTCTTGCTGACGGACACCAAAGCTTCTTGGGGCCATTCATGGAACCAGTCAATAGCGGTGCAGTTAGTTACAGCCGGGAACTTACGACTCCTCACACGCAAAGTGGAGCCCACGGGTGAGAAACAAAGGACAACCTGTCAGCGGCGGTAATAAAACTGTCAGACACGACTTCGACTAGAAACGATACACATTTTCATCAATAAAACTACTTATAAAACTGGAGTGATAATAACTTTCAACGGTCCTTGAAATCTTGAAAGCTTCAAAATCTCGATTCGGTCTTCAAAAAGGAGCTTCAGGTACTCTGATTTGTAATTTTGCTTAGAAGAGAAAATCCTTGTAAATTATCCCACACATACGTTCATGTTTCTTCCTATGCACAAATTAACACTTACTAAGCATCTATTTTTTTGAAAAAGAATTCTCACAGAGAGACCCGGCTTCATCAGAGTCTTCTCGCACCCTCTAATTACTTGTATAAGTTGGGGTATCTCTTATTGTTATTTTGCTTACCTTCAAGTTTCGTCGCACTCGCTCAATGAAGAACATCCAGCAATTTTCTCTGGTGTCCTGAAGCCCAGCGCCTTTCACTTCATTCCTTATGCCAGAAATGATATTTTCAACCTCATCATCGGCAAAAAGTCCAGGGATTTCACCAGAGGCTAACAGATCGTTGATCAGCACAAGGAAACTTTCCTCGGGAACTTGTGCGTCCGTCAACAAAAACACCGTCCCAATGTTCTTCAAACCTGCTTTTTGGCACAAGTTTGCTAGATCAAGCTGACCAAAAGGAGAAAAACAAAAAACAAACAGTAGTTAGTCGCCTCAAGTTTGCTACAGTGTTTGTTTTACTTTAGCCCTCAGACAATTTCAGAGAAAGTCATAGCCTGTTCAAAGACCCTCTATATTCTCTTTCGAGAACGTCGAGCGCGCGTATAAAAACCGCGAGACAGTCGCTAAAAAAAATGCACTTTATTTGAGTGTCGATGTATTTAGCACGAAAGTACTAATTGGGGACACTATTTTTACGTCTCCTTCTGGAGACAGGATCGCCATTTTACTTGGTCACCCTAGCCACGCGAAGGTCTAGCCGCTTGCAGTGCAAAGGTAGTACCTTCATTTCTCAGTTATTTAAAGATCCTGAATATTGGTCCGGCCCCAGGAATCGCACTGCAGTCACACGGTCTACCGACTGAGCTAACAGTGCCGCGGTACGACTAGTGAAAGAACATAAACACGAGAGCAGCCCTTCACAACTGACCAGTAGCGGATGCGGGAGGGGAGGGTGGTTCATAGTACTAATGATAGTGGGGTTATGACTCCAACATATGTACATCAAAAACAGATACGTCAAATCGAACTTACTAACAAAGCGTCGTCTATCTGGATTCTTTCGTGATACCACCACTATAGCTGGAGGCGATTTAATTAGAGCGCAATTCTTTTGAATTTGAAAGCTAGATAGCCATTCGAAATTCATAGCTTTAAAAACGCATTGATATAGCTAGAAAATATTACTGATATCACACCTTAAGGTCCGGGATGCCGTATCCTTTTCGAAGCGTGATTTGGAACACTTCCAAAGCACTAATAAAGGCAGCCAAACGAGCTAAACTCTGTTTTCCGCTTCCACCAACACCGACCAATAAGGCGTTACCGCGGGGTGATTCCAGTATGCGATTGATTCGGCAGCTAGAAACACAAGAATACCACGTTTAAGATATTTGAAATTACGGGAAACATCGTACTGAAATCACAAATACATTAACGGACTTCTAGGTTCGTTCCTTTTTTTCTGCCAAATTCTTTGGGCAGGAACATTGTGTGGAATAAATAAATGCCCTATCAAATTTTAAATGTTTATGGTGGGTGAACAGAAAAATAAATGAGAGGTATAGCTGCATTTGAAAAGAGAGAGGAGAGAAAAGAGAGATTTGTAAAAGAGATTAATTTTAGATACATTAGTGGCACTTACACGTGCTGCATAGCGTCATCAAACAACACAAGATTCATGACCGCGTTAACCTCATTGTAGTTTTCCAAGGCCTCTGTGAGCAGTTTGTTTAATGACTCCCAGCCTTGGACCGGCAAATACTTCGGCTCTCCAATCCCACTCGCAAAATGACAGAACATATTAGGCTTGGCATAGAGGGCTTCTTCGTCAAAGTCCTAAACGAAGAAACAAATAACCTGTATTCACTCACTAAATACACAAGCCATAAACATGCGTATGAAGTGAAGTGAAAAGTCTTTCTTTGATTCCCAACCTGATTTATCTCAGTTTCTAAGACTTACTTCCAGAGGGAATTATAGTTTCGCACTTCTCGGCTCACAATACAAAACATAATTCGCATTTCCGATTTCATAGCACTGCTTCCTATTTGCACATGAATTTTGGGTTTGTTTGAAACGAAAATAGACCTTTCCGTATTCCTGCAAACAGAAGCACACACTCGAGACTTAGGTTGGAAAAATACAGTGATTTGTATGAAATTGCCAACTCAGGCCTCGATCTCATATGCTCAGTGGAGGGGTGTGTAGGTACTGAAGGTCCATTTGCTTCCATTCTCCCTTTTTTCTGCACCATGTTAAAGTAACCTTGAAGCCAAGGTAAACTTTGCTGTTGAAATAAGTTACGCAGAGGAAAGCACAGACCTCGAATACTTTCTTGGTGATGTCTGCCTGAATTCTGTCATAGTTCTCCATGTCTTTCTCATCTATCAGTTTGTCTCTGTAAACTCGGTCACACTCGTGCATCCATAACCTCACCAAGTCCATTGGTGTCTTGACGCACTCTGCCGTAGAGAACAAGATGCCCTGAAAAAAAAAATACATCGCGACATTTTATAAATGATTTTTCACGTCACAGTGTGCTATAGCGGGAATCATTTCCAAATGACAACACTACAGAACACACAAGTAACCAATCAGAAATGAACACGCGACCAAAGCCAAGAGCGGGAAAATGCAGCTGCCGTCAACTTGCACCAGCGCGGGAAAATAGCTGGTTTCGTCTTGTTGGATAAAAGGTAACTTTATTCTGATTGGTTTTTGAAGGAGATAGTTGACTGCTGCAATTTAACCCTTTAAACACTAATATCAAAATTCAAATTCTCATTTGTTATCCCTATACGTTTTCAAAAGAGGTAGTGGGGAGAATTTGTTGAAGTATTAATTAGATTCATCTTGTGTGATCATGTCCTTAATTCTCATGACCACTCTGTTTTATAATGCATTGATATTACAAGGAGAAATTTGACGCTCATCACTCTTAGGGCTTAAAGGGTTAATGCCTGACAGGACAAACACGTGATAAATGCTTGAAGAGAACAAACCTGAAAGATGTTGGACAAGTCTCGCAAGTTGAAAACGTAGTGAAATTTCACAGCAGTGGGCAAGAAGGTTGAGGTGACCTGGATTGAACAAAGATAAATAAGAAAAAACTTAGTCACAAGGAAAAGCCTCAAAATATCACTTAAATTTTAAGACGATTTAACCATTGAAGGATACATACAATGCCAATACGCGAACAAATAAACGCAATAAACGAACGCAAGAGCATCGATCCTCACAGTGAAGATGGCGCCATGGTTGCCCACACAGCGAAGTGTTCAGAGGTCAAAAATATTATCGAGTGGGTACGGTAGAGCGATCAATACTGTAAGTAACTACAAGTAATCAACTGTGGGCAAATAAAAACTTTGTTGAACCTCTCAAGTCAAGAACGTAGAATGTGTCACTTGCCATGCGTCGCTCGTGATCAGATCGTGCGTCATGAAACCGCGGGAAATTTGTGTGCCAGTCGCTCCAAGAAAATTTTTTTCGCAGCCATGGCAGAAAACCTAATTTAAAATTTGTCTTATTTTGACTTAAGAGGTGTAACAAGACGGCCTTGGGGCTAGTTATTACGTGCTTATTGTCCTTTACAAAAAGGGCAGTGGAACAGTAGTACTATAGCATTCTAAAGTGCTACAACACAGCTACAGTGGAAAGGTAAGAGTTACCTTCTGGTTCATGGCTAGAGCTGCGTCAACAAGCTTCTCTGAGTTTTTCAGCACAGCCTGAGGAAAACTCATAGCGTTCATATGACCGTTTAAGATGCTCAAGTAGATCGTCTTTAGAGCGTCCAGTCCTGGAAAACTGATGGCAAACACTGCAAAGTGGCGCTAATAAAGAAAATGAGATATATATAAATATTTGCGCCATTGTAACACACGTTATGAAATTTAGAAGTTATCGCCAGAAGTTACGCTCGAGGCTCGAGTCGAGGCGGAGTGGAAATAGAAATTCTTCAGTAATAGTCGCAGGCTCTCCTTTCTTCCCCGCTCTCTTGTACCCGTGTGGCTTGCTCAACTCGGAATGCTGTCTGCGCGCGGCCCAGCAAACCCGGAGCCCCCACCAAATTCAAGCGCCGCCGTGACTGCTAGCTGGATTGTTTCTAGGAAGTCCCGAGTTTAAATTCTCAAACACTCTCGTAAATATCAACTGTTTTGCCTCTTCTTAACCTCCTTACGTCTCATATAAATTAGTATTTGTTTGAGTAATTCGCTCGGCCTCACTAGCCTTCGTGCTATAAATACTGCCGAGGGTAAATAAAGAAACTATATCATGAAAGATATTATTCATCGCGGTTTGTGCATGATAGGCTATTTTATAATTTGGCTCACGATTCATTTCCACTGTGGGTGACAGCTCAACGCTGGTCTTCTTCTTGTCCTCTTTTTCCCTCCAAATCTTACAGCGATCAGGAATTCGATAATTTTCCTCGTTAATTATGTGATGAATAAGAATTTAGTGTAAAACCGGAGACCATCTGATACAGACCTGTAAACGGGGGTTGATGGTGAAGCTGCCAGCCGTGGGATTCATACAAGCAACATACTGGCAGTTATGGACCTCCTTGAGACTAAGCTTAGCTCTGTCGTACCAGTGATTATAATCCAAGTGTTGCCTGATCAATGTGTGAGGCTGTACTGTGCCGTACGTGTCAACCTAAATTAAAACAAAGCAAAGATTCATTTTCACTTTCAATCTTTGGGTGTGACCACATACAGTCGAACCCGCTCCATATTCGACAAGCTGTCGTAAGAGACCATCATTCCAAAACACCGAACTTTTCACAGACAAAGCACTGTAGTTAGAACCTCTCTCGTTAATGACTAACTCTCCTAATTGACTAAGAGAAGCTTTGGAGGTGGTGTTAAGTTTTTCCATTAATTTAAGCTTTCTGTAAGGGATACATAGTGTGCTCTTTATAAATGGGCAACGCCGCACTCCGTGACCTAAACCAAAAAACTAATTTTGTTAATCTTTAAAAACATTTTATCTTCGCGTAAGTACTAAGCTACTCAGTCGCGCTCATGTGTCTAGACTAATGAAAGCAATCTCTTCTCTTTCTTCAGAGTGACTAGGGGTGGAACGCGCGCGAGGGACGCAAGAAGCGATGGCGCCTATCCCGTCTCGTGCTTTCAGTCACGCGTGGCCCGAGAGAATGCTCGTCAACTATCGCGTGTTCCTTCTATGCCAGAGACTACCTCTGGTCCTTCTTTTGACAGCGACTACTTCCCTGAGGCGCCTATCAAATCTTGGCATTTGGGGCTACTGCATTGCTTACCATGGGCATGTTCATATCGTCGATAAAATAGATCAGCTTTTTCGTTCCAGGTGGGCCATAGTTGCGACCAGCTTTCTTCTCCAGTGGTTTGTCTAAGACAGCCTGCAGCATAGCGGATGTTGTGTAGTAATTGAAAGGTACATTGGTGACCATGAAGTTATCAGGATCCAAGGCCGCGAATTTGTCGCCAACCAAAACCGTCTTACCCGTACCTGCGCTGCCTACGAGCATGATTGGTCTGCGGTTTACCATCAAAAGATCCATAAAGTATCGCACTCGAATGGTTTCTTGAGTATGTACGAGTACCGCCTGGAAATAACAAAGCACAGCAAGTTTGAAACAATCGATATATATAAATTTTGTTTATTATCAAATAGAGTGAGAGTCGTTTTGCTGTTGATGGTATGGCGCCGTTATCCACAATGACTGTCTATGAGCTCCTTTGAAGCAGCTTAAAACTGACTTGTAGGTTTAAAAGCCAGGCAAACCCAAGGCACTGGGCAGGTAATTTATTAGATTAGACAAACACACATGGAGAAAAAAATTTGTTACGTATTAGCACAATCATCAAGTATCTAAAAGTTTCTTCCTACAATCATCAAATTCGAAGGACGGAAGTGCTAGTTTCGAGGGGACACTGAAAACTGGTTTTCAACAGTCATAGGAGGTCCAAGAAGGACATGTGAAAACCATAGCTGGTTAAGGGTTTCCCGTCTACTAACTACGAGAGAACATAAAATATAGGAGGTCAAACTGAAGCATCCTACCTGCAATGGGATCTCGGAGTCCAGCTCGAATTTAGGAACTTTTTCGGTCCACGGCACAAATTTCTTGGTTTCACTGTCAATGAAGTAATCAAAGACAGTGCCAGCCGAGGGAAACTTGATTGTCTTAAATTCAGTCACCCACCACTTGGAAAACTCCACTCGGTAATCAACCAGCTGTAGAGAAAATACGAATTTTAGCTTATGCAAAGGCTTCCGTAATATTGCAATAGTGATCCCGGTTAGAACGAAGGTCTCGCCTCGAGTGTTCAAAAGCTGGATAGCGCAATCCATCGAATAAAACGCTGTCCAGGTGATAAGTTTTAGGGAAACCAATTGCGTTATCAACTGCAAAGATATTTACCCAGTTAATAGCGTTATCAAACTTTTGAGCAACTAGGGTCTGGTGGATAAGTAGTGGGGAAACCAATTGTACTATCCACTGGATAGAGATATATCATGTGGATAGTACTATCACACCTTTTTAACAACTGGGACCAGTTGGCCAGCTGGACATCCAAATTAAGTCTTTCGAAGGAAGAGAATTCTCTCCTGTGCCATTTATCTCTCTCGTTGAAGCTAAGGTTTCCGGTTGCACAAGTCAAGAGTACATAAAAGGTCCTTTATGTTCTCTTCTACCAGATCAATGCCTAAATATTTTAGCAGGAAGGTAACGCTACCAACGATGACACAAACCTGATCCTGGAACATGGCTCCACCGAAGGCCCAGACCGCTGCAAACACGAAGTACAACTCGTACAGTTCCTTGTTACAGTCTGGTGGTGTATTGGTGGGATTCAGTAGGCACTCTAGCAAGTAACACAAGGTTGTAACCATGGTGATATCCGGGACAGGCGTGATCTTTTTGAAGCGTACGCGTAGGGTGTCTAGACAGATGGGCACGTACTTGTCAAACAGGATTTGCAGGTTAGCTTTCTCCGATTGAACTTCACGCGTGTCAATCCAGCTTGATACATACCTGCAAAAAAGAAAAGATCTCAATTCGTTAGCAGGTAGTGAAGCTTATGAATTAAACTGAATAACTAAACAACTTTATCCAACGAAACTTGTTACAGCCTCCGCAGCCTGGCAAACCGTTGGTCCTCGAATCTCTTTGATCGCACTGGAATTTTGAAGTGCTGATTTTGTTTATGCAATAACCTGTTCAAAGTCCTCCATTTTTTCATGAGATCTTCGTGATCACGTGACGGGCGGCCATCTTGGTTTCAGATGTACCGAATATAGCCTAGAGAAGATGTTTACGGTCATCTAGCCACCAACGAAATCGCCACCAAAGAAATCACCACCACATAATAACTCTGCAATAATTGACACTGTTTACTCACCTAGGATTGTTACTTCTTCCTCAAGCCCAAATATGAGTTTATCGATTTTAATTGACACCTTGCGTCGAACTTATCATCTTAAGTTTTATTTTTTCGTGAATAATTGCGATTTTTAATTCCTTAATACGGTTTAGGACATCACCTAGGACATCAAGAGCTGGTACTTACGGATTCCAGCCTACATCAGCGTAGTTAAGAAAGAGAATTCCTGCTCGGGATACAGTAGCAGGCGTAGCTGTCTTCAGATGACCGATCTCAAACAACAGTCTCATTGATGGCGTCAGAGGTACACGTTCATTACTGGCTAGGGTAAGAACCTGCAGGGAACAAAACAGATTGTTTTTTTATAATACCAGGTAAGGCAGCAATGCCAGTTCGTCTGCTTTACTATGATTTGTAAATCGAGCATAAAACTAACACTGTGAAATTTTCTTCTCAAACAATATAGGCCTCAGTTGTTCAAAAGGTGAATAATACTATGCACTGGATAAATCTCTAACTAGTGGATGATGCAATTGGTTTCCTAAGACATATTCACTGCATAGTGATTTATCCCATGGATGATTGTTTTGTTTATTGATTGATTTTTTTCAGTGCGTTGTAAAAATGTAAAATCGTTTATTCATAAGTATTGTAATGTTATTTTTTTTCCTTCGTCTCACTGCCAACATGTTTTTTAAAAAGCATTGCATTTACTACAGTGAAACCTCTATTAAGCGGACCCCCAATTAAGTGTATTTGTAATACTCATGTAATTTCCCCACCTCGTTCCCAGGGTACTCTCCTACTCGGCCTGGCCGAGAAAGGAGAGGACCCTGGCAGCTAGGTCGGTAATTTTCATTAAAATCAAACCTAAAAAAACTGTCGCACGTTTGAACCACCGAGGCCTGAACTATGTTATCTACTGGAAGTTAAAAGCTGTTTACTCGACCACCAACCCAACAGGAAAAAAAAACTGTTTTTACCCCATCAAACAAACACCCAAAAACGTGAAGACGACAAGAATGTTCCGGGGGTGCAACTTTTTTCCATCTTATGTTCTTCGTGTTTTTTCCACGATACAAACTTTTATAGGCGCCAAAGCTTGACTTCCCTACACACCTTTGTAATGCCTGCCCGTTATATTCAGCATATCAACCTAGAAAATGGCCTACTCTCCGTCACTCTCTCCGAAGTATATTGGATGAATTGCCCGCATGGTGATCAGGAAGTCTATATATAAGGTCGAATTCTGTCGGGGACTGAAGGTATTTTTCTTTGCCCTTCGCTCTCCTTTATTATATCTTTCCCTTCCAGAACTAGTTCGGTTTTCTTGTCTGAATAACTATGGAAACTGAGAGTGCAGTCTCGTTAGTTACCTTGTTGTCGTCCATGACTGTGTTCAAAGATTCGATCCACATTGGATCAATATCACCGTCTAGTACAATCCATTTAGGACTGTCATTATTGATCGAAGCCAGATCACGCATGATAGTAGAGAATAAACCTGCAAAGTAAAAAAAAACAATAAAGAATCAGCCACCATTATAACCTTCCATGCAAACGTTCTTCCTTCTCCAAGGAACGCAAGACGAAGCCCTAAAAACGTCTGTGTGGGAGGGTGCCTGCATTACAATCTCTTTCCAAATTCAGATGAAAATACTGTGTTTGTTAGAAGCGGTTCCCGCAGAGTTACGTTTCATGATGCAACTTGAGGGAAGTCATACAATGAAACCCTGTTCTGTGAGGATGAACAGAATTCTCTGGTTCGTTTTCGTTTTCGATCTTTTGGCACGCTGTTGACCAGAGAGTTCGACGTATGCAGGGGTACCTTAGCACAAGAGCGCAGGCGGCCAACGCTGGTATAATAATATGACAAAAAATAAACTTTCCAGTACGTAGTAACCTCACGCTTCTATAAAGCTTTAAACAGCAGCTAAGTTGTTCTTTAAAAGAAACTCGGGTAACAACAACAGAATATATTTCTTTCTGCGTGCTAACATGGATATGTATCTCACCATCTTTCCATTCTCTGGTCGAAGGGTTTATAAATCCAAACAGTTCATCTGCTGTCACGGCTTTGGGATTGATATCATGGAGCAGCGGTTTTCTCTTCTGATTCTGATAAGTTTTATTGAGGGTTTTTATCACCTGTGTTTTACCAGTTCCCGCCGGACCAAGAACGAACACAGAATGTCTCACAGCTAGCAACTCCTCGAGCTGTACCACTTTCAGGATAAAGCTGTCTTCTGTTTGAAGTTTGAGATCCTGAGGGAGAACAAGTTTATACGATATATTTAATGTGCCTTTAAAGTTAACCTCGAGCCAACGCTGGTCAGCAGTTTTCTCAACTATGCTTGGGGGGGCCCCGATACCCTAAGCAGGGGAAACCTCGTGACTTCTATACGCAGTCGCTCGGTTACAGCTCTTCAGCTTGTTGCTTGCTTGCCGTTTTAGTGCTTTGTTTCTCCCAACCCTCCCTCCTTCTTTAAGTCAGGGCAAGGTAAGTACTCCACTGAACAGTTAAGCGTGAGGGTGCCTGGTGGAGGCCGCTCGCAGGGTTCCCATGGATACCTCCTTTCTCATGCTAGAGCATTGCCCAGCTCCACCAACTTCGTAGGTATTAACACCCAAGCTCAAATGATTATTAAATGATTATTTTTAATAACTAACCCAGATCACCATAACTATTTCCGATTCCAAATCCGATACTACATCGGTCGTTTTAAAACTACGACAAATTCAAGCCTTACCAGGGCAGATTTCTTGACCAGAGCTTCAAAATCCATGTCACGCTTTCTTGGCACATCAAGAGCAGGGAAGAGATCACCAATCAGACCCATGAAGACAGGAACATCATCCGTGACAATCTTAGGAATGTTAAAGTCACGCAATGCACGCATAAGCACTTGATCTTCAGGGCGTTCACGGTCACTTCGCTTCAAAGAACCGGCCACGACCAACACTGACTTAATAGCACGCAGACCCCAATCGTAATGGTCCTAAAGATAATAGAAAACAAAGAAATTTACCACGAGATATTTAAACGTTTTCACTTAACTTTCTGCCTTGGGTCCTTTCTTGGAAATGGCATGTTCTCCTACCCACTCTAAGTGATTTAGTTCGTTATGCAACACTTTTTCATAGTGTAGATCTCGCGCTGACGTGCGATCACCAACGTGAAAAGGGATCCCTCAGTAGCGACAATCAAAGTGGACCCATGGCGCCACATCACTTGCATCCGTCATAACCTTGCTTGTTTGTGAGCCCCCCTTTAAAATGTTAGAGCTTATCTTCCATTAGAAATTCCCTACAAGTCAAAAATACTCTTCTTCATAAGGGTTGCACTATGACCCAAATAACGCCTACGTGAGGAACTGGCATACACACAGCTCTGACCTGTTTAGAGAGAAGTTCTTTACATAGTGAGTACAACGTAATAAACTTTCTAGCCAGCGCTCGAGCATCCAAGAAACCTTCAGCTACCAACATGATTTCACAGATCAGCTCGAAGTCAGGAACCACCATGGCACAAGGTCTGAAATATATAATAAAGCATAGCCTTCACTAAACCGACACCAGACATGCCAAGTTTATACTATTATCTCGCAGGAAAAGCTGAAAAAGGAAAAGATGACTTATTTTACTCTTTCATATTTTCGATGGCCCACTTGAGATGTCGAAAGCAAAGGGTTTGTATATGTTGAGAGTGTATATATTATACCCAGTACTCAAGGCCTTTTGATGACTAAGGGGAAAGTGCTGCTTTTATAATGATATACACAAAACGGTTGAACTTCCCAGTCTCGGATAAGAACGTTAAACCGTAAGCCCGTAACACAACCCTTGCTCATCAGTGAGACGTTAAAAAACCCAAGCACTGTTCGTAAAGAGTAGGAGACGGCTTCCCCAGTTTCTTGGTCTCTTTTTTACCTGAAAACATATTTACTAAGAAAAATCTGACCGATTTCCGTAAAAAGATGGTTACTGGTATGGAACCGCGCCCAGTAATTAAGTTGTCTGGAAGTTTGTTCTATACCTGAACAAAGCCTTGAGATTTTCCGGGAGCTCAGTTCTGCCGGCGTATCCAGGGTTCATTGTGATAAAAAGACCAACTGTCGGCACCAACACAATCTCTTCGCCTTGGAAGATAAAGCGTTTCTTCTTGTCTTTGATGGCATCTTGTATAGACTTGACCTGCACTGCGACCACTGACAACACTTCAACTGAGATGCGGTTAAACTCATCAAAACAGCCCCAGGCTCCCGTCTGTGCCAGTCCTTTGTAGATGTTACCAATAGACTAAAAAGAAAAACAGAGAAAACAAGTTTAACGTTCTGATATTAAATAGTGTCTACAGTTCTCTATCTTTCCGATCGAGCTCCCCCTAAGTACCCTTGAAATCAAGATAAAGGGAGCGCCTAATCCCGATGAACTTGCGGGAAAGGGGTACTTTGGGTGGAACTAAGACCTCAAACTCTTCAATTCTATATTCTTAGGGTAGTCATAGTAGCTTTGGGGGGGGGGGCAAAAGGTGGCGACGGTGCTTCCCATCATGCAATGTAGCTCGAGTTCGTATCGGAGATGACGCCATATTTAGATTGAGTTTGTTGTTCGTTATCTTCCTCGCTCCTAGAGCTTTAACCGAGTACTCCAGTTTTCTCATCTTCCCAAAAACCTCTATTTCCAATTAAAACTCGATCAGGTACTTGAACTTTTACACGGCTTCAAATTGGTATTCTCAATTACATTTTGCCGATCACTGAAAATAAATAGGTTGGTTAGGGGAGCTTTCAAAGAGCAGAACGTTAGATATTACCTTGTAGTCCATCTGTTCAGAGCAGTTAAACACGTACACCATAATTCCAAGAGCTCGTCCCAGATCCTTGGTGGTCTCGGTTTTACCAGTTCCCGCTGGGCCGGCTGGCGCTCCGCTCATAGTGAGATGAAGAGACTGGGTCAGAGTGATGTAACACCTTAAAGGAACAAAGATACCGTTGAGTAACTGATACGAAAGCTACCACGGGCAACAGAAACGTGCAACTTGTTTTGCAACATTGCTGCAAAACGAGTTGAAAAGCATGTTGCGCGTTTTACCACCCAAATTCAAACTAGTTTTGCAACAAATCAGGTTGTTGCAAGCTGCAAAAAGTTGTTGCAGAAAGTAGAGAATAGTTCTATTTTTTGCAACAAAATCTGTACATGTTGGCCGTTTTACCGATCCACTGCAAACTTGTTTTACAGAGAGTGATGCAAATCCAGTATGTGGCGGGATTCCCGTGCAAAAGTATTCTAGTATTCAGTATTCTTGCAACTTGCAACAACCTGATTTGTCGCAAGACAGTTTTGAAAGTGGGTGGTAAACCAAGCAATAGGCTTTTCAACTCATTTGCAGCAATGTTACAAAACAAGGTGCAAGTTTTTGTTGGCCGTTTCACCCTGGCTTAGACCTGACTAACTAAGAAGATCACAGTAATTAGGCTCTTTGAAGAACAAAAAAAGAAAAGACATAGAAATAGAACTGTAGGCACAATTATATTCTATTTTTTATAGGAAGTTCAAATTAAAACCTTACCTGTCAGTCAGGGGCGTAATCACTAAACGAGGCGTGTTGCCGAGATATTCGTAGGAATACTTGAACTGAGCATCGCAAATGTTGGCAAAACAGTGGCTACTCTGATCATCCCAGCGATGTCGGAGCTGGCTGAGCCACAGGAAAGCTTGAGCATTCTCAACCTTCTGCTGAATTAACTTGGCCACCACATCTCGAGCGTGCACGTCTATGGTACAGATGGTCATGATCTTCTGACGGTCACCTTTCGACAGTTCGCCGATCAACATGTTGATAAGAGTTGCCAGCTGAGCGACCTGAGAAGAAAGAAAGAACTCTTCAAATAATGCTGCTGTATCACCAGGTACCCAAGGGCAGATAACTTTAACTTACGGTAGAAATAATCGTAAAGCTTACAAGAAGAAGGGGAGAGCCCAAGTTCCACAAGCATTTGATTTCCCTGCTTCTGTTTAGTCAGAAATATCGTCATTGATTTGGATAACTCACATAATTTTATTTCTTTATTATATCCAGTTTGAAATCACTGGTGATCCCCGCAATCTGAGTGACTCTCAACAGTGTGATTTATCCACGACACTATTTTTTGCTCTAAATCACATCTGTTCTAAATCGCATCATTCATGCTCTAAATCGAATAATTTTTCCTCTAAATCGTATTATTTCTGTTTCGAATACAAAATAAATTGTAAAAGCCTTTTTGTTTCCGCTTTCAACAAACCGGCTACTTGATAAATGAAATATTGGTACTGACTGAATTCTGCCATTTCAAAATGGCTGTAATAAAAAGTAATTGAACTTCGTGTCGTGCAATTTTGGTCTGAAATCATACTTCTGATTTCAAATCGAACTCGCGCTTGAAATCACGCGTATGATTTCAGACCAAACTGCACACCACTCAGTTTCATTACTATTATTTATAGTATCACAAAAAATTAAAGGTTTGCTGTTGTGGTTTGTGGCCTTTGACTGAATATATGCCTTGCGACTAAACCAATATTCTCGAGGAAAGACAAATACAGTGAGAACCTGATTTTTTCAAACTACCCAGGAAAAAAAAATTGCTTTGAATTACCGAGAGGTTTTGAAAAATTAGGGTAAATTAAAGTGGCTGACTCAGGAAGTCAATTTTGATTCAAATCATCTGGATAATCGCAGAACTAGGAGTTTGAGGGATTAGAATTCCCCTGTATTCTTAAACCAGACTATGACACCAACACAATTATCGTAAACCCCAAACGAACAAACCTGCTTCTTGTAGTAATCCTTCAGCGCATTCTCATAGCCCTCTTCTAATCGTCCAAACGCTAACACTACCTCTGTGGTCCACCAGATCTGTGTTCCACACAGGGCGACCTGGGCAGGGTAGTCGAACAACCACTGGTCACGTGGTTTTTCCTCGTACGACACCACAGCTTCTGAAAGCTCATGACGGACAGTTGATCGCATAGCGTCCATAACTCGGTTAAGCCAGACCTCCACCTAAAAGAGCGATACCATTGGTCTTAACATGTATAAAAGTGAAGATTTGGTTTTTCCTTTGGAACAGAGAAATCACAAGTAAAATACCATACTTATATTCAGGAGTGATAGTAATGATAATAGAGACCTTTAGATTCCAGGACGAGTACGACTACGAGTACGAGATTTTCTCAATACTAAGTAGTGTACGCGCGTGAACCAGCGTCATTTTGGCGGGAAAACGTGGTAGCCGTCGTCATTCTACTACGAGTTTTCGCGCGAATGTCGTGGTGGCGAAAACAAGACATCAAATGTTAGAAGTTTTATTATTTTGCGATCGGGAGAGCGCGTATAACCTCCTTAACTAAAGATAACAATGCTAACTTTTCTAGTGAAAAATGGTAAAATAAAGCTTTCCGGGGAGTCTATATTTTGAGAATACGCGAAAAAACTTTAAGTCAAATCTCGTACTCGTAGTCGTCCTCGTCCTCGAATCTAAAGGTCTCCATTGACAAGGACCTTAATACCATAATAACGATGATGACGTCGACGACGACGATGATGATATGGATGATGAAAATGACCATGACGTCGTTGATTACGATTATCATGATGATAATGATGAGAATGATGAAGATGGTGATGATGATAACAATGCCGACGACGATGGTGATGATGATGATGGATATGTTACAAAACCTTTTTTCAAGATAAAGACGTTTTTTTTTAGTAAGAAAGAATTTTCTTTGTAAAGTTTTGAAAAAATCACATTACTTGTCCAGAACAGTCACAGGTCTTATCAAAGTCCACATATTCTCCTTCTTTGCTGTACAATCCTAGGGCTTCTTTGGTAGGATTTCCTTCGTCATCTTCCTTAAACTTCAGTTTCGCCATGTTGTCAAACAACTTGGACAAGTGACGGCAAACCTACAACACAAATGGCCGCAAAAAATATCAATAAGGAACAAAAAATCCTTTTCTTGCAAGATAATCCCTGTATTTTGAGGCATCTCGGAAATGTGATATATGGAAAAATGGACAAAAAAAGATTTCCTTTGCATGTCACAGCTTAATGTCATTCTGCTCTTCAAATAATATACACTTTAACTGGTCAAAATCTTAATTTTTGACTCGAAAGGAAGCTCTTGAACAAACAAGTAGTCGCTCTATTAACTTAGGGGGTATGATTGGTTACTGGTTGTCTTGGGACACTATTGACCACTCACGTAGTTGGCGCTTTTCAACGTAGTTTATGGAGTGGGAAATCAAGAAGTTTTCGTTGCTCAGGCTTCTCAATTTGAAATTCTGAAAATTTTCGCTATTAACAGGTAGGCAGTTTAAGAGAGTGTGAAAACAACAAAAAACCCTACCTCTATAGGTTGATTTCCCTTGGAAAGAATATCCAGCAAGTCGGCTGATGACACAAAGTAAAAGCGCGGGAAGGCAAGTCGCTTAGTTTCCAGATACTCGGCCAGAGCTTTCTCGCACAAAGACAGTCTACGAAGAAACAAGAGCAAAATGTCACTGCACCTTTCGACTAACGATTTGAAAACAGGATATTATCAAAGTGCACTCAATGAGCTCCATACTTGTTGCTCAGTAAAGCCTTGTTAACAAATGCAAATCTTAATGTACGGTGGAATTTTGCCAGCCTTTAACAACCTTCGTTGCTGGAATATCCTATGTCGTTCCAGCAGAATGACTTTCTGTATTATTAATTCCCTGTTTAATAGCAATTTAGAACAAACTTTTGTTGAAAAAAAAAAGAATTTGTTCGCAAGGAAGACGCACCTTTCTTGTAAATTTTCAAGTTTCTCGTACAGCCCTCCTCTGTTGCAGCAATTCACAACGTTCGGGATTTCAGAGGCTTCTTTCATCAGTTCCTGTCAAATGAATGCAATTCCTCATGAACCTCACCATACACTCACAATAATTGCCGTCCTACACGAAGTATCCAAACTATTGATTCTTACAAGTTAAGTTCAAATTCTGACGATACTGAACATGATTACTAGCCCAACTTCAAGTTTTCATTCATAGAGAGACTTAGAGTGACGCTTACGGCAAACGTTAGAATCAAGTTGACAAATTCTCAAAATAAAAAACCTGCAAATAAGAACAGTTCAAGAGAGAAAGAGAGAACAATTGTTATAGACAAAACTACCAAGAAGCTACGAATTTTGGGGTAGAAGTAATGAAGTATTTCTCTACTAACAATGAGATAACAAATTTTCCTTCATTGTTTAACACCATGTCGTTTAGGTTCTAGCTTCTCAAAATAAAGCGATGTTCAGCATAAATCCACAATGATTGGAGTTTTCTCATTTGCTAAATTCCGCAGGTCAACCCAAGTCTATGCCACGCGCGTTTCGCTTCTGTTCTCACCTTGAAGTCAACATCAATTCCGTCAAATCGCTTGGAGTCCTCGGGCAATTGATTACGGATGTCTTCAGATCCGATAAAAATACTTTCCAAATGAGACCACGTCCTTTGTACTTCAAACCAAATGGAGATTACTGAGTCTGATACAGACAGCTTTTTCTGCCATAAAGAAACTTCCTCCAAGAAATGACCAATATACTTGGATGTTATTAGATTTTGAAGTTGTACCTACAAAGGAAGGACACTTGTTATTTATCATCCTGCCACAGAATCCAAAGTCAAATGTACACTTGTTTCTTCCTTAACTCTTATTCATTGATAACTTTCCACTTTCAACATCTCCTTTAACTTTTGTATTTCCTCTTTGAAGATCGTCGAGCGTGCGTATGAGGATAAAATCAACCGCTTGCGAAAAATGGTGGGCATCGAGAAAGCAGAAAATTAATTAAATTTAATCTCCAACAGAGACAGACTCCGTCCTTTTTTATTCTCTCACCTGATTGTCCTCAAGAGTTTCGATCAATTCCTCGCTAGACTTCAGCAACGGAATGCCAGTTCTCATATGGCTCTCATACTCAAACTCCATCTGGGACCAAGTTACGTCCAGCTCCTTCAGAACCTTCTCCATTCCCAATTCCTTGGTGGCCTTGTCTACGATTCCTCGGACCTCGTCTTCAAAGTTGTGCAGATTGAGGGCCAGCAGATCGGCCAAGTTCGTGTCATCGTTCATGATGAATTTTACCTTTGGGAAAAATCAGCAAACCTAAGTATACAAGTTACTAGGGTGGGTTAAGAACTGGGAGATGCTGTAAACAGAAGATCGACATGAAAAAAGAAAACTATTCTAAACTACAAAAGCGCCCCCAAAGGGTTAACTTTCTGTTCTATGCATTCCACGCCTTTAAAATTGCACAACCCAGCATCAAAAGCACTTGCTCTTTTTTCACAGTTTTGGAGAATCAAACTACTTTTCACAGTTTCTTTAACCAAAAGTTGTTGGTTACTAGATGAATAGTGGAGTTTTAAGCCGACATAAGCAATCCAGAATTAAGCGATAACGCTCGCTGTTTACTCAAAGGGATGGAACAGACAACAGTCTCAACATATCTCGAAATGGCGTAACTACCTTGGTAGCCTGCATGAGTTGCTGCCAATGACGGTCCCTGATGGCCGGATTCTGCAGCTCTCCAACAGCCCTTAATGACGTCACCATGTTCTTAACAGTAGAGTCCAGTCCACTAAATGCATCCCACGCGCGCATCTCTTTGTCGAGTCCGCGAATCTCCTTAACAAACCTCTTACATTCCATCTCCATGTTTTCAACATTGATATCGGCCCATAATGTGTCCTTCCATTCCTCGATGCTACTTAGAACGACTTCTATCATGTCCCAGAGCTGTTTGAGGAGGAACACTTCACGGCGGCAGGCACGTAGCTGTTTGTAATCAGGGAAGTTGACCTCAAACAGGCCTGCTGATTCAGAGAGGGCGTTCATTTCTTCTTCCATAGCACAGATCTGGTAGTTTGCCTGCAAGCAACAAATGGCTGATTACTTGATTATCCCAAAACTAGCGAACAAGGCAAGGGAGTTTTAAAGTTTCCTCTAGGAGATTCCTAGGCATTGTTCAAAGGGTAAAAGACACAATTGTTTCCCGTAATTCTTATCCTCTGGAAGGCGATTTATCCGGTGGATAACGCTATCCGACTTTTGAACAACCCGGACCCGAGGTACAGCTGGATTTATAATCCACCGGATGAGCAATGTCTTTTTCCATTCTTTACCCCAATTTCTTAGTTTCAACTTTAATCATCAAATCAATACTCTTACAGGATTTAACACAAACATTCTTCCAGGAAAACAGCGCACAATCTTTTGCCTTGAAATTCTTAGCATGGTTACAATAAATTTGCATAGATGCTGTTCAAGTGAGTGAAAACGCTCAAAACGTAATGTTTTGAGTAACTTAGAGGGATGGCACCATAATTCACCTAAACTCCTTGAGGTATTTAACTTACCCTGTCTAACCGCTCGTAGTATTGTGTAGAGTCGAACTGGAAAGGAGCGGTCTTGCGGAAGTCCTCTCTGAATTCGTGTTGCTTGATCTGTCATCAAAATAGACAGGAAGAAAATTTTGTTAGATAACGAACGTTCACTAACGTTTATCATGCCCCTTAACTAATCGAGACTACCATGGAAAGAAGAAACCTTGAAGCCTTGCCTGACCCAAGCAAGTTTGTGCACCGTTTTATTCCTTAATGAAGTTGGGTTAAAACTATTCCTCGATATTCAAACGCTGAATGGGTAAGACATCATTTCATCATAGACTACCACCTATAAGAAAATTTTAACTCGTTAAGTATAGCAACATTTACAAAAGCTTGCTCACTCACATCGAACTGTCCACACTTTCGTCTGATGATAGCGACCTCAGAGGCCTGTAGAGGAGCCACTTGTTGTTTCACTGTCACCTGGATTTTCTTGGTGTTGTTCCACTGTTCTGGGAGTTCCTTTAATGTGCGAAAACGAAAACATGTTGTGATCTCACCACGTTTACCTATAGTAAGTTCTATCCTCTTTACGTAATTAACTTATAGTGGAGCACCATGGGTAACAAAATTGGTTAATGCATCCGAGAAATTTTGGTAATCACGTGACCGTACGCGCTCCCGTCCGCACCACAGGAATACCAATATAGAACAACTCAATCAACAGGTATAGCAACCCAAATGCAACATGGGGTTTCTGGGCGGGAAATCGCATGGCCACCCGGACTTTTTAGAGAGGAAAAACAACAACAAAGTCAAGTCCGATTAAAAAGCCTTTAATGACGTGGATGACAGAGAAAGAGCTAAAGCGTTAGATAAAAAACAAAGAAGACGAATATCGTTGGAAGAAAAAAATGAAAATTGCCGATGTGATAATGAGAAATGCTCGAGGCCACCAAGGTGAAAATAAGCGGCAGTGAATAAAACAAGTGAACAGGAACACAAGGAACAAAACTTTTGGTGAGCACACACGACATTTCCTACATAAGATGTGTAACTAGCACGTTTAACGTTGTAGTCGTGCAAAACAACCTCAAAGAAATTTACAAAAAAAATGTGCTGCACCTACAAAAATGTTGTTTTTTCTTTTTAATTAGACCGATTTATTTTTTTGCCGTTCTCGTTTGGCGTCGCCGTTAAAGCATTACACGATTATATTTTTTTTGTTTGAGTTCATTATTAGTATATTAACGAGAGCTTCGCTTTTAGCCCTGGCTAAATCTATATATTTCCAACATCAACTAAAAAATCGAATCATTCATAGAAAAGCAAAAGGTTCTGTTTCCGAACAGCTTCTTTTCGTTATCAGTTAAGAAATGGTTACGTTTGTTTCGATTGTGGGTTTGTGATTTACTAAAACCGAAACAGACAAAAACAAAAGGTATACTGCATAGTTTCTACCTAAAGACAAACCTGAGATGGTGAATGTGACCGAATAACCACCAATTCTAAAAGTACTAAAAAACTTAAAAGCTGCTTCAAAAAACTATATCTATGCCTTGTTTTCAGCCATATTCCTTCTGCATGGCTCAATCCGGACAGTGAACGAGCATTTCATTTTTGATGATTTTTCTATTAAGGACAATTCAACCTTGACATATTTAGTGACGTACCTGAAGTTGCGTGTGTACTTCCTCGGGCATTTCCTGTCCGTATGTTTTAAGAAGTTCAATAGTTTGTTTGAGCGGCTCAAACATTTCATCGGTGACTGTCTGTCTGTCCTTTACAGCCATAAGATGCCCCATCACAGCCACTAGCCCATTGTAATCTCCTTCTTCTACGGTCTGAGTCAAACCAACATCAGCTACCTTGATGAACTCTGCCAAGTCATTGAGACTGAAAGAAGCAAAAGATATAATTACTTGTATGTTTCAGCGTCTGCCTTGCATTTTTTTACGACTGGAACGAGTGTGGCAAATACAAAACTGATACATTACAATTTCTTTAAAAAAGAAAATCAGGGTTTAAAGAGGCACTCGTACCCGCGTGATTGCCTGACATATGATATTTCACAAAGACGTTTCTTCTGACGAAGTTTGTTATACCGTCAAAATTGCTTTGGACAATGCATTACTTTCATCCTAAAGAATAATAACTGACGGTGGTGAGAGCACTCGCCTCCAACCACTGACCAGTGTGGCCGGGGTTCAAATCTTGGCGTCGACGCCGTATGTGGGTTGAGTTTGTTGTTGGTTCTCTCCCTTAATCTGAGAGGTTTTTCTCCGGGTACTCCGGTTTTCTCCTCTCCTCAAAAACCAACACGTCCCAAATCCAGTTCGAAGAACACGGAGTGTTTTTAAACAAATTGCAAAAGTTCAAACATCAAAGAACAATTAGGTGTTTATCTGTCTAATCAAATTGCAAAACAAACAAATATGATGCTCAGAGATTGCGTTTACCTGGTTTCAGCCAAATAAGTTCTTTTGCAACTTTACCTGTTTGTTACATGGTCGATAAGATGTTGTTTGAACATGTAGCTCCATCTCTTGATGATGTTCAGCAGTGCCTGTTTGAAAGGCCTAGCGTCCACTCGGAACCAAGTGTCAAAGATCTTCGTTCCATCTACTTCGTCAACTTCAGCATAAAGTTTCTCGTAAGTGTCAATCTAGAGAACATCAAAAAACAACAGCAATGAGTTTTAATACAGTGCAAGTTATTTAAATGAGCTTTGACAAGAGTTTAATCTTGTGAGAAGTCGATTTGTTAACCAGTTTTCTGTAAAGAGGTCATCGCGGCTGTTAAGAAAAGTTCCCTTGGTCTGAAGAGATACCAAACCTCATAAAATCCCTTCCTCTATAACACACACAGTTCTATGATAATCTATGTTGTCTCTACGCAACTGACCAAAAAGCAAGAATTTGGCCTTAGGTACATGGATCTGTCCTTATGGAGTACGTATTGTCAGTCAGGTTTTAAAACTGACCACTCAAAGAATTTACGTTTGGCCTAGGTTATTTGGCTCTTCTTTGGTGTCCGTATTATAGAGACTTTACGCCACCCCAAAGAACAAGAATTTGCCTATACCATACGAAAAGATTAATTGTTTTGTTCTGTCTGCTGGCTGTACCCTCACTCCTGTTTCACTTCTTACCAGCGACAAATTAACAAACCTGTTCTTTAAACTGTCCCAGTGTAGGCGGACTTTCTGGGACACCCTCCTCAGCATGAGCTTCAATTTCCTCAGCGGTGAGCACGTGATTGTATAAAAGGAACTGTCTCATAAACTCATTGCGGTCGTCAAGCCACAGGTAAGCAAACACATCAAACGAACTTCGGTATTCATTCGCTTTGTTCATGACACCTGTTACACGATCCATCAAGTCTTGGCGCATCTCGGACAAATCCAGCATATCTTCTACATCGTTCTACCAAAATAAATAAACAAAATTGTGAAATGTGTTAAAGAACAGAAGTAGCCACAAGAGAGCTCGAAAGCTACCCACATTGTAGTACCCAGTGTTTCTCATTTAGGTTTAAGGTGCAAAGTCTTAGTACTCTCCCTTTCTTCAAGTGATTTGCTTTTTCTTTCTGTCTTTCTTTGGGTAGTTGAAGATCCTTACAGGATGAAATTAAGGACAAAAAAACTTAAGTCTACCTCTCTTTACCTCTCAAATTTACGGACGTTAAAATTTCAAAAACAAAACCAAAAACAAAACAAAACTTTGGAAAAAAATCACAGTCAAATAATAGAGCAACCAGACAATGAAAGGTTGTAGCGCACGGGTTGTCAGGAAGGGTCTTTTGGAGATAAATTCCTTTAAATCGCTCCATGTCAGTCAGTAAAGTCATATGAGTAAAGTCAGTAAAGTCGATTAAAACCCCCATCCACCCCACTTAAAAGCCCTCCCAGTTATAGGTCAGTCTAACTGTAGACAAAAAAATACATGCGGTTATAAGCTCCCTCGGATATAAGCCCCTCTGTCTATAAGCCCCCCTAAACCCCCTTACGATGATGTGTATGCCCAGGGCTTATAAGCGCTAGTTTACTCCGTTTTATCAATAAAAACATAAAAAGCCGTTGTTAAAAAGATGGACGTGAAATGTGGTGGAGAAATTGTCAGGGTTTTCGCAAGTTGTTGATGAAATTATTCTACCTGATAGTGTTCCGATCCATTATGTTCTGCCAATCTCTTAACAAGAGACGCCATCTTGTACACATCATTAACAATGCCCTCAACAAGTTCATAAAATCCATCAGAGATACCGAAATCCAATGATGGTATAAACACCATTTCAGGCTGTTGCAGCTCAAGTTTGGCTTCAAACAGCCCTGTCATGTTGTGTTTTGAATCTGTGTTCTCCAGAAGGTAGTTCAATGAACAATGGATGCAGTTGAAGAAACCATCAAGAACCATATCATCCAGATAGTCCACATATGCACGCCAAATGTCTGTTGATGCATCCGCTTTGAAGAGCTCTAGGTTATTCTGAATAGCGAAATGCACAGACAATTAAATGACATGTTAACAATATACATGGTGATATATTTATCAGGAAGGAAATGAATAAATTTACATTGTACTTGCCGATGTAATGTCAATGAAGTTTAAAATGAAGTCAGTATTAACAAAAACAACAAGCAACATTGTGACCTCGACGTGAAGGTTATTAAGAAAGAGTATGTGGAACAACCGAAGCAGTTGAAAGAAAAAAGCTAATTATTTTCAAGTTCTTACTCAACCGCTTCGGTTGTTCATTAGCTTTCATTTACCTACGAGGACCACGTTATGACGTCAGCTTTTATATATCTTCACCCGCAGTTCACGTAACGTTTTATGTATTTTTTTACTTCTATATTGTATGGATGACAACATAGGATTTGAGCCAAAGCGATGCATCACCAACTACGTAAACTCCCGTAGCCTGCGGTTGTGAGAAGTCAACGAAAATAACATGATACCTTCATTAGCTCGTGGATTTTCTCCCCAGCTTCCTTGATCAGAGTGTAACGTTTGTTAAGGTTGGTTTCACTATCCTAGTGGAAGAAAATTTCAGAAAATACATTATGCCACTGACATTTCATACACAAAACTACAGCTGTACTTGTTGTTTTGAACGTGAAGGGAGCGTTTTCACCTTCAGGAAAAAAGCGTCTTGAGAGCTACATTTTTGCATCCCCGTTGGATCAACGAACAACGATTAACGACACACTGCCGCAAACGTAATGCTTTTTAAATTCTGTAACATGTCTGCTATCTATCTAACTGGGGCGACCCTTTAGTAATTAGAAGAAACGAGGTTTTTGCATCCTTCTATCCCTCACTATAACACAACTACAACGTATTTTTCTTTAAGACCACCGAAGCAATAAACCATTTGACAACATGCAATCAGGTCCTGTTCTTTAAAACCTGTACACATCCTTACAAAGACAAGCATTACCAAACGCTAAGGAACTGGCTACAGTACTAAAACATTAAATAAACATGCCTAGCACTTCATCAGGGCCCAGTTGTTCAAAGCCGGGATAAGATAACCCAGGGTTCGTGCCAGATTTGAATTCAGATTTGAAAGCTTTAAAAGCACTTCAGTTTTAATTCTTTTTGTGTACAAGTTGATGATTGAAAGCTCTAAATATAACAGAGAAAATTATCCGAGAAAATGCTTCTGAACACAAGAAAGAGAAACCCGTGTTGAATTTAACCCCGGGTTAAGCGCTAATCGGCCTTCGAACAACTGTGCCCAGTACTGTATAACGGTATTGACATCTTTCACTTTACAAAGTATTTTACCTCTATGTTCAGCAGTCCTTCCTTTTTGCCCTCCTTACGTTCATACAATGGCGCTTCACACCACTTTGTCATCAGCTGACTCATGCTGTCAACATTGTTCTTGGCAGATTGGACACGTTTCTCAAGGTCATGAACCATTTCTCTTGTTTTCTCAATGTATTCCCACGCACCTTTAAGCCGTAAACAAAGATGATTAACAAATATATTCAAAAAGATGCCAGATTTTTTTTTTTTCGAACTGAGAGTTTCAGTATTTTTGAGGTACCTCCAGATGAGCAAATGGCGTCAAAATGGTGCTAAAGTAAAACTAAACGCATGACAAACTGACCGACTTATTTTGATGACAAATCGATCCCCGCAACATATACGCTTGCTTTGCGTAAAAGGGTTACGTCGGTAACTCGTAACAGTCGTAACAGTAAGGACGACAGTGCGCTCATTTGCTCATCTCGCCCCCTCCCACCCCCCCTCCCCCCCCCCAATATTTCTCTCCTTCAGTGCTCCGTTTTACGGATATTTTAAGCCAGTTAATTTCCAACAGAAAGAAAAGAAGTCGAAACAAGCATTTGAGGTCACACCTGGGAATCTAACTCGGAAACTCCCGCATAGAGCCGCACACTAACCAGCTCTACTGGTGTATCATGGCTTTGATCCTTTCACTCTCAGAAGTGGCTCAAGTAAAAAATTCCACAACAATTCAAAATTTCAGTTTGTAAAATGCTGCCAAACAAACAGTACCATGTAACAGTACCGCTCCATAGCTTTTATTTGAATGGTCACACTGCAGAATTTCATTCCTAGACTCCAAAGGTAGTATCATCAAAGACAAGTGTTCGTACACTGAGACTCTGACGTTTACATTGACTACTCTGGGAGTTAAAGAAATAAAACAATGATCAAACAAACCTTCACTATTCCAGTTCAAATTTGTCTCAGCCTGTTGCAGCTGGTTATCAATCTCTTGTAGCTGTCCTTCAACCAGAGGAAATTCAACATCAAGAAGTGTTTCTCTGACTTTGTTATACCAAGCAACAATCAGGTCAAGGTTTGATAGGAACTTGTGGAATGTCTCATTCCGGGAGTAGATGTTTGTAGCACTTTCAGGGATGGACTCTAAGGTTTCATTTTGAGCATTTTCCAGGTACTTCACCTCACGCAGAACAGCAATCAACTAAGACAAACAATAATTACATATTCATTATGGCCTTTCCTTGATGCTGAGGTTTTTAATCTAACCTAGCTGATCACGAGTCTCCCTAAAACTCAGTAAATATAAGGAGCTTCGGATCATTATACGTTTCTGGGAAACTGCCCACCTACCCCTCCCCTAAGCTAACATTTTGCCCTAAGTGAGAACTAAGTGTTAATGTTGGCTTAGGGGAGGGGTAGGTGGGCAGTTTTCCAGAAACGTATAATGCTTTCTTACGATCTGTTCACTCCTTCAAATCTAGGTGAATGTTCCAGTAATCGAATCGTTAAAGACCACATTCAAAATTAGAAAAGATTAGAAAAGAGAAACCTAAGAGGAAATTTGTCAACGTGTGTTTACGTCCCCATATAAAAGACGTAGTAGCAAATTTCACGTCAATTGTTGTCATTGCCAAAGTTGTTTCAGCTCCTTACAATATTGTACAGATCATGGATTAAACAGCAAGAGACTCAAATTTTTCCCTTGATGTTCCATGCTTAGGAAACACTAAAGACAAAGTGATTTCAGAAAAAGAACAGGGATCTCACTAGGCAATTTAATATTTCTTTAGCCTCGCCATCTCTAATAGATGTAAATAAAAAGTAACTGTCGAAAATGTAAACACTACTCACTGAGGTTCAAGTAAGGTGCAAAGTATATAAAAACAAAAACAAAATGACATGGAAAACAAACCTGAGGATCAAAGTTGACTTTAATGAGTTTTGTGTTACTATCCCTCAAAATGAGCGGTTTGTCAAGATTTTCTTGGGATATGGAGCCGACATCTTTTGTCCAGTCTATATAAACTTGCTCTTCGTACCTGCAGGAAGGATGAAATATCCATTTATTAAAAGAATGGAATTTCAAGCGAGGAGCTTTTCCTTTTTAAGGATAGTTTTTAGATGATTGTTACAACTAAAATTGGTTAAAACAAACTGAGTAACCATCGGGCATTAGAAGGAAATACACTTCACAGTAAGAGCACTCAAAGCCTTTATTGTATCAATGATAGATCACCAAAAAAGACTTCAGTTCTAAGTTAAGAACAGTTTACATAAAATTACTCTAACGATCGCTTCTCGGAATAAACAGTATCCACAGGACCACTTATATCAGTAAGTGACTTGTTTACTTTTTATGGAACTACACTATACATTGTAGTATAACAGCTTAGAACTAGTAGAACTTCGTGGAGTGACTATTAAAATATCAGACAAGATTTATCACCACTGAGACCAAGCAAGTTGAACCAAACACTTACGAGTTTAACAGCTTGCTCATTTCATCAAATTTGTTGGAAATAATCATGGCCTCAGCAGTCTCCAGCGTGCTGCAAAATCAAAGAGTACAAACGTGAGATACTTACTGTAGTTTTCTACCAGGAAATACGCTACTACAAACTTTTACTTAATCAGCGTCTAATAAAATATCCTCATATCGAGCACTAGCTCTGTAAATGGTTAAACTCAAGCATCACGTAATAAGTTACATTTTTTAATAATGATTGTACAGGTCTTGGGGATCTGAGTGTTTGCCCCAGAAGGATAATGGTGACAATGACTTTCATGTCTTAACAGTCTGTGCAGAAATCATCATGATGAAAGAGAAGGTTATAGTCATTTTAAAATAATATTATAATTTCTATTCATTTATTCATTGCTTATGAACTGGCGATGATGACAAAAACGATGATTTCTAGGAAAGAAAGACGACCGAAGGACAAAGTGACTTTGCACAGTAATTAATAAGGGTTCCATGAATGCAGAATTGAAAAAACAAAACCAAAGAAGATTCATAGACAGTGAATTGCACAAAATGATACAAATCAGATGTGAAAGGAGAAACTAAGGGGACATAACATGCACAGTAAAAATCTGCTTCAATGTTACAAGGGTATAAGACCTTGGAAAAGATACCATGTAGTAGTATAACAACAAACGAAATGGAGAAGGAATAGTGAACCATTGTGCTGCAGATACAGTGTGTATAGCACTGGGTAGGCCATTAGACCTTAACGCTGGAAGAACCAGAGCAGAACATCTCAAATGACTACAGCGTGAGACTGACAATAATTCTCATTATTGCTACACTGTGTGTCTACCATAGATGAACAAAAACAACCTTTTTCCACCAATTTTAGCCCCAACAGCAGCACAAAAAGCTTCCTCAAAATCCTCAAACTACATGTAAGTTTGGATATAATAGGCGGGGAAATAAAATAGCTATTAACAAAATTTAGCCCTTATGATCACTTCTCTGGCTATACTAATATGTAGCTTACTTGTCTTGATAGTTATCAAAATAGATGAAAGTAGAGAAGAAAGATAGGAGATAAACAATGTTTTTCTCTGTAGTTAAGGATAAATGGACAGTTAAAAAGAAGCTTTGTGAAGAATATAATAGTTGTCATACCTTACCAACCCATCAATGATTGGAAAATCACTGTCTGCTCTTTGGAGAAAAATGATTGTGAAACCGTTAAGAGGAAGCATTAAAAGAGCCACAGAACAGAGCACTGAAGAGCAATACTGCCAGTTTTTAACAGTTTAAAACCACAGAAAGACAGATATTGAGATAAAACCATTCGAAAAAGAAGACAAGGGTTCATGCCTAATGGCAAAGAAAATCGTAGAAAAGTTAAAAATACAATTCCGAGAGGAAACAAGACTCAAAAACAGAAACTTATCAGAAACCAAAGCAGATATACATGTAGTCTCAAAGAAGATTGAAAACAAGAAATCTCTAACTTACAGTTTATATCAAGTTTTGTGCAGAATGAGATACATGTAACCTCCACAATATCCAAAGCCTGGTGTTACATGCACATAGAATATTTTAAGGTTCAGCAGTTTTCACAAAATTTATTTTCCGCACAGAAGACAACACAGATATAAACACCCAATAACCTCAACATTAAATAAATTATGTGTTTTCAATGCCTTTTCTGCACACCAACAAGACTGACCAGGGTAGGCGAGAGACACAAGGCAGTTATCACACTCTACAAGCTATACTCTAATCTACTTACCCATGATTAACAGAAAGTCTGAGGGCGTGCATAGGTTTAGTTATCCTGTTCCTGAGTTCTTGAGACCATTTGAGGGCCCCTGCAACATGGGGCATGTTCTTGTTAATTGGTGGAGTACCCTCACTATTTGCCACAAGCATCTGACCATCAAATATCATCTTGGCTTCATCTAGTTCTTCCTCATACATCTTTAGTAAGATGGGGTACTTGTACTCAAAATCAGCATGAATTAGTGGTCGGTCCAGCAAAGACCCAAAACAATCCAGCAGCTAGGAGACAAGATTAAGGTAAAGGTAAAGGGTAAAGCTCTTTATTTTATGTTGGTAACTCGTTTACAAAAGTACTTAAACTCATTGCCAATTGATGAGCTTGGGAACTGGTGCCTTAAAAGTTAGCGGGGAAGGGCCCGAGGTAATTCAGGCACCACAGGGAGGTCTCCATGGCAACCCGGCAAGCGGAAACCACCCCAGTAGCAGCCGCTAACAGGCACCGTCACACTGAAACTAGTCCAGTGGAAATACTTACCTAACCCGATACTTACCTCTGAAATCAAGTAGCCCTCTGGGAAGGGAGGGTGGGGCTAATGAATCCGCAAAGATTCACTCACAAAAGCATTGATCGCAACGATCGCTAGAAAGCAAGGCTGTACGTAGTTTGCCCCTGCGAACTCCAAAGGGGCAACCCCACGGATCATGTGCAAACTGGGCGAGACCGCTGGCAGCATTAGCTCGAGATTAACCTTGCCTAAATTACATTAATTTTAGCCACATTTAAACTGACAAATCTGAGGCTGACAGTGTACTAATTCCCCCCCCCCCCTCTCTCTATTAGTACTTGGTCTTACAGGTATTTAAAGCTATTTAAAGCTACATGGGAAGAAAAAGAAGTCAAGACAAGGATTTGTGGTCACGCCTGAGAATAAAACTCTGCATAGAAGATCACCCACTAACTGACTGTGCTAATCCTTGGGAATAATGAAATGAGTTGTATTAAGAACCAATAATTCTTCATAAAGCAACGGCCAAATGACCTGCACAGCAAGTTCTACAAACTGTATAATTATGTTAGAGGTCAAATTTTATTTCAGGTTAAAATTATTTAACCTAGGTCGATTTTCAATTTCCTTTGTCTTCTAGGGCTGGGAGACAAAGGAGACTGAGAATCAACCTACAATAGGTTAAATCAAAAGTAGCCTAAAATCAAATTTGCTGGAATTCTTGTTGTGGATTGCTTAGTGTGATTGCGTGAAGTCATGGCTACAATTAACATACATGTATTTCCTTGGTTTCAAGTGTTGCAAGGCACTGAAAGCAACCTGAAGAGGAGTTTTACCTTCAGAGCAGATTCTGTGCTTGGGCAATCATCAAATCCTTGGCAGACAATTGAAGCAAGCCTTCTATCCAGGTCAGCTATTCTTTCCCTAAACTGGTTGTAGTCATCTACAAATTCCTAAGATGCCAATGAGATCAGGTCATTATCATCCACTCAATCAAGGTCAAACAAACAAAACAGCTCTATGATATCTGTAAGTAATATACCCTGTTTGTCGGATCCAGTCCATCATATGTGCGATTTCCAAAGACTGCAAAAATCTCATTGAATTCTCCAAAGATCTCTACAACTTGGTGACTTAGCATCTTGCCCTTGATTCCCCCAAGTTCCACCTTCTCCAGTTTGGCAAATTCCATAGCTGTGCTGAAAAGGTCCTAGATAAGAAAATTAACAACAAAAATACCCTGCAGTTAAACAGTGCCTGATGATTGAGGCAGCATAGTAATGGAGTAAATAAAATAAATTAGAGAGTGGAAATTAGCAAGAAGGAATTGTAAGGTACAAAAAAAATGTAAGAGGAAGTGGAGGAGTTTGAAGAATAACACTACAAACTGCTCAAACTAACACCATCGCCAACACTGTTGCAACTGCGACTACTGCCACTTTCAGCATCACTAAAACTAACCTCCACAATTTTAAGTCTCTGGATGAACAGGTCTATCCTGGTAAAGACAAGTTCATTAGCAAATTCCCACTGTTTGACCTCTTGCCCTTCTTTAAAGAATTTTTGGATGTTTCTTCTTATGTCTTCAAAGTTCTCCTTGAAACACATGCAAATCGCGATTGCCTTTTGGGTTTTTTCATAAGCTTCTTCTGCTTCTGCCTTGAAGATCTCAGCAGGATCCAGATATGTCCTTGCCTGTACAAAGAGAAAAGAAAGAACGTAAGATGGCATTTACCTGTATGGGCAAGTTTGTAAAATACATTGCATGATGATTCCTCAAACTACTGCACCCTAAACTGTTAGGTTATATACTGTTTGCAAAGCAATTTAACTATAGTCAGAATAAAGTGTTCCTTGTAAAGTTGCTAAACTCTACTTAAACTTGAATGAGCTAAACCATTTCATTTTTCAACCACAAATTACAGTTATTTCAAAAAGACAGCAAATGTCATTGCATAAGTGGAATTCAACAAATGGGACATAAATATTTCAGGCAATCCAGTTGAAATGGGTAAAGGGGAAACCTCTGACAATTTTCACCTTTTGCAGAAACTTTCCACTGGGTTGTGAACTGTCCCAGAAAAATAACTGGCTCTTTAGAGCATGCTCCAGATAACATTAAACCACATTGAAGTTTATCCAAATTCACATAGCCACCCACATGTAATTTGTCAACATTTTGAAATGTTTCTGTGAATGACACCACATTAAGGCACAGACATTAATCCATCAAATTAAAACTGCTCACCATTTCAATAAGCATGTTACACAGCTCCTGTAAAAGAACAATCAACCTTGGAGCTCGGCAGTAATATTTGGAATTGGCCCAGATGAGACCAACTGTGTGCAAGATTGCAGGAATAATCTTGTCTAGCTCAGAAAAATCAAACTGCTCCATGTCATCCAAAAGGCGACGCAAAGGTTTGAGATGGATGTTTATGTCTCTTGCTTCATCCAAAGCTGTAAGAAGATAACTAAGCATTAAAAGCAGATACCGCTACACTGTAAGAAAATTACTCTTTATGGGCCACAATCTCACTAGAGGTTTCTTTTAAGGCAAACTAAAATCAAGTAAATTGCTAGTGTCATTGGGTTTATATAATATGTCAATAATTAGCAAAATGATCACATATCACCCATATATCAGACTCTACACCTCCCTGACTTTCTTGGCAATAAATTTACCTGCAACAACATCCTTGAAAATTTTCTTGAATGCTGGAAAGTAACTACTTTGGGTCCTTTCCAACAACTCTGCCATCCTTCTAACCTTGACATCATGAAGCTAACAAATAAAATTAAACAAGAAGAATTGAGAAAGGCGAAAATGCAGTCAGAGTCTGTTTGTCAAATTGAAGTTTATTTTTATGAATCTTTTACTGAGTCCTGACCTGTTCAAAGATGCACTCTAAGTTCATGGCACGAGCTTTCCAGAAGTCAAGTTCTACCAGTGGACCAGGGTTCTGTCCTTCAAGTAATGGCTGAGCAGAATTCCTCTTGAGGACATTCTGTATTTGATGTGTCCATTCAATAATGACTGATTCAATAGCATGAACCAGGCCACGATCAAATGGCTCTCCCCTAAAAAAATAAACAGAATGACAGCATTAAGTTACCAAGGAGAGCTAACTGGTTGCATTCTCATAGTTCTACATGTACACAGCCTATAAGAGCCAAACAGGTGTACACCACAACAGTTCTGTCAAGATGAGTCACTTTCAGTTGAAGATTTGCTGCCCACTCAACCTCTCTAATTATTTGCCATTAGCTGCTAGCCTATTTTTGGTACTACAAAGAATTTTATTACAAACTCGCAAATTAACTAAAAGAGGAAAGTAAAAAATAGAGTCTACATGTATCTATCTACTGAAAAAAGAAAACACACACACACACACAAATTTGGGCCTTTGCTGTTAAATTTTTATGTCACCTCTCTCCTAAAAAAAAACTTGCAAAAAAAAACTTAGGGGTGTAAATTTTGGATTTTGGTCTTTAGGGTGTTCCAGCAAAAAATTTTAAGCCAAGGTCTCGTTTACAGACAGAAAATTTTCTTTTTAACTTTGTTTGTTATGTCTTTCTATCATTAAAACTAATTGCATGTCGTATTTGTGAGTTTTTAAGCGGTCTCTTTCAGGGGTCAAAATTTGCTTAAGCCACGCCCACATTGGTCTCCTTTAGGGGTCACAAAAAGCTTGAGCCACGCCCAGATGGTCTCCTTTAGGGGTTAAATTCAAAATTTCCGACGAGCATCTAAGTCTGTTTCATATGTAAATGAGAGTATTATTTTTGTAAAAACCTATCGCCTGCCAAGAATTTGGTAAATATAAAATAATATAACCAAAAGATTAGGTGGAGTCCTTTACAAGGTCAGTAAACGAGATATAAACCTACTTTTCCTCAGCTTCTACTGCATCATTAACTTGTTCAGAACCAACTGGCAGGGGTAGTAATGTCTTTCCTTTCACTTGACCAGCAATGACGAACACATTACTTTTAAGCTGGTGAACATGCCGTAATACATCTTGAGACACAACTGCTGGCCACTGCTCATGGTTGCGGGAATTTGACAACAAAGGAACTAAGATCTGATAAAAGGAAAATAATAACCCCGTACTATTTCTGACAAATTTTCCAGGGTAAAAACTAGACTAAAACACTATCCACATCTGGGAATTAAAATGCTCTTTTTTTTTAAATAAGCTGTGGCTGAAAAGACAAATTACTTAAAATAGTAGGAGCCTCTGGGTGATCTTTTAATAGCTGCAGGTTGCAATTTAGAAGACAAAGTGCAACAAAAGTACTTTCAATAGAGAGAGAGGTACAGGGTCATTATGGATTCATCTCTCCACTTTTGTCTGTTGTTAGTTTGAAAGTTAATATTTACAGAAACTTGCTTGGAAGTACAAAAAGACTGTCAACACATTCTTAACCCCTGTAACAACATTGATCTCTTGGGATTAAACAATTTAATGAAAATTTGAACCATAAATTAGGACAAATTCAAAATATTGCGCTTCTTCTTTACCATGCAACTATCTTGTTAACACGACTGTGATATATAGCAAAAGAGAGCGATCAAAACCCTTTCAATGTTTAGAAACAAAGCTGCAAATTTCTTCAAGCTTACCTTTTCATATCATTCATCAAAGTTTGAATGTTAGGAATAAAATAATGTGTGTGCTGAATATTTTATAACCGCAGGTACGAAAATACAAACACATCAGCAAAACACCTTTTCATTACTGCCATCGAGACCTAAACGGGTTATAAACACTTTTAAAAGTTGATCAAAAACGCTCTTTCTTATTAACCTGTGCTCACGTCACGTTACATAATCAAAGCTAATTTTTAGCCAATCTTTTGCACAGACAACCAAATGGACAAAATTAAAGCAAATAATTTATTTCTTACTACTTGTAAATCTGTTCAGTACCACTAGCTTTAATAGGTGTGATTCCTTCTTACTATATCACAGTTGTAGTTTTGAGGCAAAAAGTTTATTCGGCGTTGAAACCGACATGTTGTAGATTTCACTCTCCCGGGAATTAGTCGAACTTTTATAAAAACAAGTTGAATTTGCAAAACAAACCTCATCTACAAGGGCTGACAACTGCTCCAGCGGTGAGTAAGACAAATCTCCATATGCTAGAGCTGTTTTAAAATTGTCTTTTCCAACATTCATACCCTTCTCTTTCTTTGAGAAGTAAACAGCCTTTGCCTTCATCGACTGTGGAAAATCAAAAGATGGCTGAAGTTGTCCCGCACTGTTCTGGAAGATTATGAGAATATTATACTCTTGTTTCTCCAAAAAGTCCATAATTGTTTGTCTGTATTCGTCGTTTCCTTGAAGCTTTGCCCATTTATCAGCTTTCAGTTTCATGGACTTTAAAGTGTAGTCCGAGATGAACTCAAAACGAACGTCGTTGAACTCCATTCTCGCGCAAGATGCCTTTGGCGGGATTTGTCTTTCCCGTAAGTTATTTACAAATTTACAGTGGTTTTCCGGGCTTGAAGATTAAATCACTTGTCTCTAAGTGTTGTTTATATCGTTTGGCGAGGTTTTTCAATCGCATTAGATGCAACTGGTCCTCTACACTGCTCAATTTCTGGAAAATTTGCGGCTTCGTAGGCCTCCGCTCTTCCTTGCCCGAAATCTACCTTCCCTCTTGGTGGTTGCCATGGATACTCTTTGTTTAATACAGTTCCCATGGCCGCCATTTTGAAACAACACTCATTTTTTACACGGACACGAGTCTAAGACAGCTGGCTCTTGTCCCGATGAAGCCACAGATCTGTCTCTTACATAATGTTGCGTTATTAGTAGTTTTAAAAGAAGGAGTCTTATCTGACCATTCCTAGATACAAAAAACGACTTTGGCTTTGTTTTAGAAGAAACAACCACTCTCCCTGCTCTAGTGGGTTCAATTATTGTCATTTTCCCATGAATCAGTTCAGGTATTGAATAAATAAATAAACATGGCGACTTGAAATACCAGAATGTACCTGCTTATTTCAAGGAAATTGTGATGGGAAACATCAATGAGGTTGAAGAAAAGATTGATCGGAAACCAAAAGAAGCGCAACTATTATATGCGGCTGAAAATGGACAATTTGAAAAACTAAGCTCTATCCTTGCAGACAAAGACGTTCAAATAGACAGCCCAAACAGTTCCGCGGTCACAGCGTTATTTCTCGCCGCGAAAGAAGGACACGACGAATGTCTAAGGTTATTACTGGAAGCAGGAGCATGTGTAAACGGAATTGGCGTCCAGAACGCTTTATCTCCTCTGTGGGTGGCGACTCATGCCGGACATAAAAACTGTGTTGAGAGATTAGTAGCAGCAGGTGCTAATCTCAATACAAAGTTCCCCGAGACTCCTTTGTACATTGCTGCCCGCGAGGGAAAGGCCGACTGTTTAAAGATACTTATTGAAGCTGGTAGTTGTGTAAACGTTAGAAATAATCGAGGTCAAAATCCACTGCACATCGCATGTTCAGAAGTTCATGAAAGCTGTGTGGAACTCTTGGTAAGTACATATAATTTAAGTTTACAAATGTAAAGGATGGAAATATTAATTTCCATCCTTTACATTTGTATTTCGCCCTGCATGTTTTAAGCATTCAGCACTCCTAGGATACGTGAAGTAATATATGTGGATTTTTTTGTTCATTTTGTAATTTAAGCTTATATGTATTTTACAGGTCAAATTTGATTTCAGGTTAAATATTGTTAATCTTTGTTGAGTCTCACTTTCCCTTATCATCCAGAGCTAGGAGAAAAAGTAAATTGACAATCAACCTGGTTTAAGTAAAATTAACCTGAAATTAAATTTGACCTGTTACACATCCATAGGTAGGTAACATAAGTACATAGATAACTTTACGCTGCACTGTTTAAGCTCAATTGGATGAGCACTGGTCTGCTGGCTGTGGGAGGTTAGAGGTTCAGACCTAGCCTGTGAGCAAGCTCTCCATTTGGGAAGTCGCGAGAAGTCATACAAGAGCAGCCAAGAGGAGATGCGAGTGGGAAGGGCGGGGAAAAAAGGGAGAGCTTGTAACAATCTCCCATAAATTTTCATTCCACCCTGGAAACTGCAAAGCGTTAAAACAATCACCAGAAACAAGAAATGTGTCAGCCATTTGTCAGGTACCCGCATGGGGCCAAGCTGAATGCGCCAGAGTTACTCAAGCATTGTCAGCATGCTAGAGCATCCAGATTAACTAGAGCCAAAAAAACCTATACTCTCACAGGCTATAGCGTTATCCTTTCCAGGATCAAAATATTACAATTTCACAAGAAAAAACAAGACTACTAACAGAAGGCAATTGGTGTGGACCATCTAGATAGGATCCTAGCCTATACAGCTGAGTCAGATCTACAATATTCCTTGAATTCAGGGGAAGCATGTTGCTTCGAAGCCACTACATTATGTTTAAACTTCGGCGTCATCAATCAGAATTAACTGGCGGTGCATCATTTTTCAGCCAATAGTATTTCGCTTCATCTGGGCAAAGCAGAAATGAAATTTAAAAGAGATCGTTGCAAGCTTTCTTTTCCCCCGCCCCATGTGGCTTTGCCTCTTGCACGCACTTTCTCTTGCGACTTGCTTTGCTCGCCATACTTGCTAGAAGGCTGAATCAGACCGGGCTGGACCAATGCTCAGGGTCTTTAAATGACTAATTAAATTAATTTGAAACTAATTTACTGATGAGAAAATGCTGCTTCTGTAGTGAGATCTAAAAACGGCTAACTTTCTAGTCTTCCTGGAGAAGGATGATAAACCACTGCTCCTGTCTCACATTACCCTAGCTTGTGTAAAATATGTGGAATGTTAATGAACCCACAGTATATTTGTAAAGCATTGCATTTACTTTTAAACAGGAATACTTAATGTGAAGGCCATAATTTTTTTTTAATAAAAATGGTAGCACAAAAGAGCAGTGTATTTTTGTCACTTTGCCCTGAGCTTGATACTGGAAAGTATTGCCTGGCTAGTATACTACCACAAACTATTATTTTAAAAATTACCTTAAGTATTGTCTTTTTTTAAGACAAACACAGAATGTGAGTTGGATGCTATGGACCACAGTGGTTGTACTCCTTTGCATCATGCTTGTATAAATGCACCAGATGGTCACAGATCTGTTAAGGTATCACAATCTAGAGACTAGTTTTGTCTGCAAAATGCCATTCCATGGATATTTTATGTGGATATCATTTATTAGCCTCCCATATAAGAGGAGCTGGGAATGTGACACCCCCAGCATGCAAAGAAAGTCATGTCTGATAGCCCTGGGCTAGTGGATTTTGCTATTGGGCTAGTGATTTTTGTTCTTAACTTGCCCGACGGGCAAGTGCTGTTTTTTTGGGAAATTCAAATTACAGAAGGATTTAGGGCTAGTTGAAATGACTTGTGGGCTAGTACATGCTAAGCTTCAGCTTGCCCGAATGGTAGGCTGTAAAACTGACTTTTTTGCACCCTGCTTCCCTAAATAAACCTGCAAAGGAGCTGGCTATCATTTAACACTTTTTCATATATCTTATGTTTGTTGCACTTTTATCTTTTCAATAATTGAAGCATTCATTGTAAGGGAGCTATCCTATTCTTGCTATGTTATTTTGGCAGAAGAACTTGTAATGGGTGCTTTCCCAATACAGTGTACTTTAACATATTATTGTCTAAGTCCTCTTGATTTGTCTGCATTTTTACCCCCTGGAATTGAAAATAATCTGTACATCTAAGGGCAAGCTGGTGGTGACTGTGAAAGACCAGTTTCTGCATTAGATATAAATATGCAGTTCTGAATGGAATGATCTTAAAATCTGTATATTTTGATCAATGCTTGTGTTTCCCTGTATCAAGGGGAAAAAAACTTCCTTCAAGCGTTAACTGATGAATCCAAACACATCTAGGAATATAATGGTGATGACTTCAGGTTTCACTTTTTTTCCTATTTCAATTCCAAAATCTTTGTACTTTGATATGTTTTCTATTTCTTTCAATGGCCTGGAAATTACAATAATTTATTGCCACCTAAGTAACATTTTCTTTGTTTTAGCAAGTTTGCATAGCATCATGCTACTCATTACAGGTTGGAAAAGGGTTACTTTCGCTGTATTGGTAGTCTCATTCTCTTTATTCTTTCATTCAAGATGCTTGTGCAAAAGGGAGCAGCAGTAAATGTTTCATCAAGATACTGGAACCATGCCACTTCTTTACATTACTGTTCTCAACTTGGTAAATTAGAGAATATAAAACTCCTGCTGAATTATGGTGCAAATGTGTTCATTAAAGACAAGTGTGGACAAACAGCAAGAGAGAGAGCTCACAAACACCCAGAGTGTGAAAAACTCCTGTGGGAAAAGGAAGGTGCGGCATTGTCCTGGAGCGCTTTTCAAAAGTTGGAACTGGCCATACCAGTCATCTTAAAAATGAAACTTTTTTGAGAGTTTTTGTTGAAAACCAAACAATGCTATGCATAGTATTTAGAAATAGACTGATTTGGTTGGACGACTCTGGTGAACAATGGAATTCTCTATTGGAATGGGCAGGTCTGGCCGGTCACTTCTGACTATAAATCCCGGGGGGGGTACTCCCATACATTACCTATACGCGTATGTGCCGCCCAACGGGGTCGTGATTTTGAAGCTCCTGATTTAGAACGGGGTATCCATTTCAGAGGTGGTCTACCTGTGCTAGATTAACAATAGGAGTAACTTTTTGCGGCAGTACTTTCCACTGAATTTTTTCTTGCCAGATCATGGAAAAGACCTATACTTAAAAATCGCAAAACTTATAACCCGCGACAATTCATTTCCACTTTCTTTCTTTCTTTTCCGTTTTTTTTTTTTTGCTTTGAAAGTACTGTATTAAAAAAAAGTCTAGGTAAGTTTGATTTGTATCTCACTTTCCTATTCTGTTCCTTTTTCTTTTCAGGAGACCCGCCCAGCTTACTTCAGCTTTGCTGCTGGACAATAAGAGAAATTCTTGGAGCTAAAAGACTTAACAGAGTTCATGAACTACCCATACCATTGACATTACAGTATTCTATACTTTGACAACTGAGTTATACAACGACCATAACAACACTGTAAATACGTAGTGTAATCAGTGTGATTCAGTGTGTCATAGTTGAGTCGAGAAAAGTGTATAAATCAGCGGTCTGTCTAGTTTAACTCCATGGACACCATCCGAACACGCAGTGTGTTTTTATTTGCTGAGTAGGTGTTGACTTGGTTGGTTTGTTCTAAGTGGTAAGTTCGCGTTACATTCAAGTCTCGCAAAATTAATTTGATTTTAGTTTCCCTACGCGACATGCAGTCATTGGCAATCCACAGTTATTTCTTAGCCAATTTTAACAACGAAAATACACATATTTGAAGTGCGCCATACAAGGAGGTGCCACGAAGAAAAACGGCTCAAACAGGCTCAATATTATTATGACATCTGCCCTAAGGGTTTCTAAGTTCTATAGCTTCTTAGTTGTATTAAATGAAAACAGAACTTCTGTCTTTGACTCTCAAACTTATGGGCTCGAATTGAACACACTTTGACAGGTGGACAAATAAAAGTAAAAAAGAACAAAGGAAATAGCGAAAAAATAACTTCTGATTACTAGGCTATAAACAGTTAAAAATTAATAAACTGAGTTACAAGAAAAACGAAAAACTGGTATAAAGACCTCAAACGTAGCAGCGACAGGAGCAGAATTGAAATAGGAACACACCTTTGACCTGCTAAGAATTCATATGACAGGAGCGGAAGATGTCACACGGGACGATTTGCAACGGCGATTTTTATCGCAACACTAGCGTTGCAACATTGTTGTGACATTGTTTTGATATGATACAACATTGTTCCATCATTGCAACGATGTGTTGAGCAAACTCGTCGTTGCGAATCGTCCTGTGTAGCATCTATAGGCTTTTTCCGCTTGCATGTTTTGTTTTCCCATTTTAGACTACGTGATGGTACCCCAAAGAACTGTTTCTTTTAAATGCATCCACGTCCATATGAATGCATAATTTATGCGCAGACAAAAGGCAAATTCCCCGGAGAACACACGTGCATGGTCTGCATTGGGAAAACAAAGCATACAAGCTGAAAAGATCTATTGCCGGAGAAACCCTTCCGACCCTTGGGAGTTGAATGCCATCGGCCTTGCGATTCCGACTGTGGCTGTTGCTTTGTTTCTTATTAGTGGCGAATTTCGAAAGGTCCTTTAATTTTCCGATTGTTCTTCATCGCCCACAAATTTGATACCGTGTAAAACACAGGCGTGCGAGCGATGTTCAACGCGGCAATTTTGCGTCAAGTCGCGAGCCTTAGAATCAGTTTCAATAACTTGCATTTTAAAATGGAGCGCGCGCTGATTGTAAAATGCTGACCGTTACTTGTAAGACGCTCCCAATTTTTCTGGTGTCGAAAAATCATCTCCACCGTGGCCGAGTGTCCACGTGTTTCAAATCACCCGCGCACTCGTTTTCGTCTAAAAAAAAGTTGTGATTTTATGTGTTTGTTCGTTTGTTTTTGTCTTGCTTTGCAATTTTTTGCGCGCACGATGTGACATCGCGTATCGAAATCAAATCAACGGTCTCTAGATTTTAAAGAGTCTTGCGACAGTTAAAGGCTTTCCGTTTTGGCTATGTTTAAAAGAGTGAAACGAAAATTTGTTCGTTGGTAAAGCAGAAACTGCTTTTGGTATGATGGACGACCAAAAACAAGCCAAATCTATGAACTTTATTAAGATCGGCGGGGGCAAATCTGACTCGAGTAATATCTCAGACAATTCATCGTCTTTAAAGCTGCAATCACCACGAGAGATCAACGAGTGCGCGATGCATATGCCTGGAAGCACAGAAAAATTTAATTGTCAACAGAGAGAACCGCCATCACAACCTTTGAGCTCAGATGAAGTAAGAATAAAGATGAGCGTTGAAGACATTGCTCAAACGATCGCGAGTCAACTGGATGGACAAAACGAGAACAACGCGACATTCCTTTGTCTAGAGGGAATAATCACAGATGGCGAAAGTGACAGTTCAAGACGCAGGATATTTAGTAAAAAGAAATCGTACTGGAAAGCACGTCTCAGTAAGATTGTTCAACAAGCACTGAAGATGTGTGGATTAGCTGCCGTGGCGTCTATTGCAGTCCCATTGATTGCTGGTAAAAAAATTTTTAGTCGTAGTAAGTTCTATTTTTGTAATTCTGCATAGTTATTTCACTTCTCGTAGCATGATTTCCTTATCGATAAACTACTTTTTCAAAGTTTGTCCTTTTCGCACATGGTTAAAACGTGTTTGACAAGGTTTGCGTTCAAAGTGAGCATCTAAAAATTTCGTCAAATCTTTCGTTTATTGCCCTCAAACCAATTTCATTTGAAGAGATTTTTTTTCATAGAGACAATCTGTATCTAACGTGATAAAAATTGGGAACCGACCATTTGACTTTTGAGGGGGGGTATGGGTGATTTTGTTTTGGTAAGATTATTTTCCCAAACCTCTGTGATAGAATTTTTTTTCCTGACAAACAACGATAGGAATTTTTTTCCAGCATCATACGCGACGAAGGTTTGTTTTCAAACCGAAACACTGGGCAATTTGTTTAAATATATATAATATATATTTTTTACTCTTTTGTTTTTACTTCTTCATCGCCTTGTCGTAAGGATCAGTTTGCCGTTTCATATTTTCCTAAGAGAGAGAGCCTCGGAACGAGTTTGCCATCGTATTCACTGAATACGTGTGGTTCCGTGTGGACAGAAGCTGTATCCGGAAAGAAAAAGTTGAGGATTCAAAATTATCGGGTTACGTGTGGACGGGGCTTAATTATATTTATAGCCCTTGAAAAGTGTAAAAAAAAAGACTGCGAAATTGTTTAAACTATTCAGGGACAGGGTTTTTGTCCACTGAAAAATGAATTGAAATTGGTCAATTTCCTGGAAGATTCTGTCTAAATTTTTTAACGAGTCGAAGTTATCTTCTTGAGCTGGGGTTTCGAAGAAAATCGGGTAGACTAGAAATCCCGCGCCTTCCTCAACAAATATATTTAATGGTTTTGTTTTTAAAAAGTCAACCAAAAGAATTACTGAACTAATTTTTTCTGCTTAGGTCTTGGCACGGATTGCACAGTCCGCCCACTCTCAGTTTTGTCAGGACTGATAAGACGCGGGCTCAAAAATTTAAAAAAAAATGTTCATAAAATATTGTTTCTTTTAGGTGGTGGTGTGCTGACCATCGTTGTTGCTGGTGTAGCTGGTATTGTTAGTGTCCCTGTACTTTACGGTCTAAACAAGTATCGACGAGACGTACCCTTAGATCGAGACCCATATCCTTATTCTTTTGTTGTGGAAGAAATTTTCAAATTGTGTCAATCTCTCGCTACAAAACTTGCGGCTGCTAGATTCCTGAGAAAAGACTGTGGCTTGGAATGCAACATTGGTCGTAAGGTCCCTGATGAAGAGGAAGCCAGGGATTTGGACGCGGATGGAAGCAGTGCAAACGATACTTATACTCAGTCCTTTTCCGAGCACGAAAATGGCAGCAGAGATGACCTCTCCGGTCACGTTTCTGCGGAGAATGTCAGTGAGACAGATAATTATATTCAGACAGTTGTTTTGAAGGACGAAATTAATACAGCAATAGCCAAAGACATCGGCAATCAGAAAAAGTTAGACGTCTTCACAGGCAATGCCAACGAGACTCCGCCTTACTCATGTTCTGGAAGAAAGGAACTGGGCTCTCCAACCAGTGATGTCGTCAAGGTAACAATACATCCTTTAACCTTTGATGAGACAAGTGTTAAACACAACACTCCTGTCGAGCTTTCTTCAGAGAAGGAACCTCATGAAGAAAGACAAGCAGATAACGTACGAGAATGTGAACACCAGGGTGATTCACGAACAGAACAGCAAACAAGAGGTCATGCTGACGAGCCAAATTTCAGTCTGTCATTATCTAACCAGGTAGCTGGTTCCTTTGAGGTCTCACAAGATACGAGTTGTAACAATGAAATGCCGGCTTTATCAGAAATGGAACTGCTGACTGAGGACTCAAGTATGGAAGATGAAGATTGTAGTGAAGTTGATGAAAAGGAATCTGGCGGTGAGACAGCGTCAAAGATTGCAGATGGTAGGCAAGCTCTTTCTGATGAAGAAGATTTGTATGGTCGCCGAGATGTGCAGTCCATTTTACCGAGAAAATCAACCTCCGATACTTTTTGCTGTGTTAGAGAACCCAACGTTGCAAATGAGAAATTTGCGAGATTTAGTCGTCATAATCATTACGAGGTAGACACAAACCAAACCTGGGGTTTATTGGAGCCAGGGGGGAACAATGAAGTTAAAACAAATATTCGGATTCAGATTCAGAAAGATGAGAAAGGAGAAACCGATGGTCAGTGGCATGATGGAGAGGAAAAGCCTTCTGATAAAGAAACAAAAAGGGCAAGACGTCGCCGCAAACGAAGAAACAATAAGCGAGTCACAACTGCCAATCATCAAGATTTGACGGCAGGTGAAGTAAGTGACGAACTGGGTAAGAATAAGCAAGAGCAATTAAATTCCAATGTCAGCAAGAAAGCTAAAATTGTGCAGAATACCTCTCAAAATGCAGGAGAACTACAAGGCAAAACAACAACGCCCAAAAAAGGTAAACAAGCCGCAAAGACAGCAGCTACCCCCAATGAAAACGAAACTAAGATCGCACAGGGATTTACAGAGAAAACGTCAAGAAAAAAGAAAGACAAAACTAAAAAGGACCCGACCGTGAAACATGAACTTCAGCCTAACACACCAAAGTTAAATATTTCTGGTTTATCGACAACGAAAAATGCTGACGTTTCCAATAGCCCCAACCAGGAAGAGAAACCACAGGCCGGTGACAACAACAGTGGTGGTGGGACCCGTGTGACGAAGATTATGGTCAACAAGCAAGATAAAGACGAGGATGATGAAGATATGGATGTTGTAGCACTTTACGATGATATAGATTAGTAATGTAGCAAGAGAACCAACCGAAAAACAACAGAAAAATTCCATTTTTTACTTTAAGTTTGCATGAAATGTACTGTAGGCTCTTATCCTGTTTTAAATAAAACTTTTTATGCTTCACATTGTTTTAGTTTATCTGAAATTTATGCCCCTATTAATTGTCAGGCGTCATCATGAAGCCTGGAAAAATGTTGGTCTGGTCAAATATTTTTAAGACTTAAAAGAGCGATCACTTTTATCGTCATCTGTTTCGTTTTAAATCACGATTTCTAGTTAGACTGCTTTCTTTAAATACCCAAGATGATATATTTTTTTCTGGTACTTCCATGTAGTTTTCAGATCTTTTGAACTAAATCACCACTGCTTTCTATATCACTAGATATGCGTTATTGACCAAGCGGGAGGTCAGGTTAGCTGAATATTGGCCAAGTTTTTTTGTTTTGTTCGTTTGCCTTTTTATATATGCCGAGGCGAAGTCGAAGTCAATAAAAGCGCGAAAAGAGAACGAGGCTTTGAACACCCAGCCTTATTGACCGAACAAGCTTGGTTACTAAAAGATTTATTATATGGCAAAGAGAACTTGCATAAGACAGACACATCTCGCACAAGTTTCCCTGCCAAACTGCGTAACAAGACCAAGATATTGCACAAGTTTCATAACCCGGGGAGCTCCAGGAAGCCCGGGTGGCGCAGTGGCCCGGGGGTGGGGGGGGCACTTTAGGAATTTCTGGGTGGGAATGTGCCGCTGGGACCCTGGAACCCTTGACCTATACCAGAGCTAGTTCAGCTGAATTTTGCTACCCTATACTAGAGTAAACTCCCAAAATCCCCCTATCCTAGAGTAGCTGTTTCCCCAGTCTAGATAAAATCTTCAACCAACTGATCAGTTTCCTGAAAAATGATACCCTATTCTAGACCCAAACGCTCTGATTTATATACCCTATCCTAGAGTAAACTGCTTGAAAACCATACCCTTCACAGCGGCACATACCCATATAGCCCATATATGGCAGTACCCCCGGGCGCAGTGGTAAGACCTCCCGCCCCCTACCAATGTGACCCGGCCCTTGCTCTGAGAGGTTTTTCTCCGTGTATTCCGATTTTACCTTTTCCTAAAACACCAACACTTCTAAATTCCAATTCGATTCGGAACACACGAACACGTTTAAGCGAGTTGTTAGAACTCCTGAGTGTTTCGTATAGGAAAACAAATTGTAATGCTCGAATATCAGTTATCAGGTTGATTTTGGTAATTTCTCTGCCATCTGTTAGATTTCGGACCAATCTTGTCAAATCTTTACCATCATATAATTTATGGATCTAAGATCTCAGCCATTAATTAAAAGCTTCAGTCTCAGTTGACTGTAAAATTCTGGCTCATTCTTCTCAGCTTTCCGTACCTTCAGCTCCCCGTAAGCGAAATTTGATCCTCGCACTTAGAGGCATGGTAACTAAATTGTCCATTATTTTCAATTAAGTCCTGTTGTCACCCGCAGATGGCAGGTAGATCACCTTTTAATGCAAAAATTTTTAGAATAACCTGATGTGGCCTAGAGTAATAATTTGCCCATATCGGAGGCAAATTTTACTCAAAAATTGGCGAAAAGAATGATTTGGAAAGATCACAAATGTTGAAAGGCATTCAGGAAATAATCGAATAAGGAATAGCAAACACAAAGAATCTCCGCTTTTCAGGTAAGACTCAATCAAAAGGTCAAAAATACTACTTTCTCGCTCAGCAGGTAAATGAATTACGGTAATCACTGAGTCCTATGGAGCTTGAAATTTCATTTCTGTCAGCCGAAGATCCGTGTCAGCCCATTTTTTACACTACAGATTACATTTCCAAGGTAGATTTTACGATTTTAAATCTTATTGGGTAAAAAGTATTGGTATTTTTATTCAAGCGATTTGAGATTATCTCAACATAAGGCCCGTAAAATCAACAACAATTTGCATTCGATTTTTAAAAATATCGTCTTTGAACACGCTCTACAAGTCACCTCAAGCCGCCTCCCAGCACGACGAAGAAATAAACGTTCAACCGTTTTACTTTCGTGAGTGAGAGCAATCAAGAAAAAATTCAAGAAAAAATGACATTTTAAGAGACTGACAAGCAGTCAATACCAAGCTGTGAACTGGGTTTAAGGTGAATTGTAATTTCCTACTATTTCTTAGAAGGCGGGATAAAGAACTTTTTCTCGCCTTTAAACCTACGAAGAATAGAAAGATCGGATCCTTGCTAGACTCTTTTGATTTAGTTTGAGAGTTTTGCAGCTAAAAATTGCAGTTTAAATTTGTGAACACCGTTGTTAATTTCTAAAAAAGTTTGTCACTTGTCAGAAACGCCGTTGTCTTGCTTCCCGGCTGGGCTGGACGAAGGTATTATTTAACCCAAGATAAAAATCACGATAATACTATATTTAAATCAAATTTGGTGCAGCAAAACGTAGCTATGCATATAGTCGTTCGGTTTTCTTGAGAAATGTGAAATTGTACTGTGATTGACTTGCCCAGTTTTTTTGGTAGGTAACTAAGCCTTAAATTAGATAATTGAATATAAACACTACCCTATTCTGGGAGTGAATTTGAAAGCAGATACGTGTACCTGAGTTTCTTTAAAATAGTAACATCCAGTGAGCTTAGCTAGGTTGAATTTCGCCTGAATACTGGTCTACTAAAGTCGCACTAGTTATCGGTCACGTGCACAAGTTCCAGATGTCGTTTTCCCTGATTGGTTTACGCTAGAGCCAGAGATTCAGGAGAAATGCATGGACCAAAAACAAGGGCCTGTGTATATGGAGTATACATCGCGATTTCAAAGGCTTTCGACACCGCCGGTATTGTTGGTCTAAGGTCTTGTCCCCTGAGTGCCTCTTAAGTTTTACGCTACAGTCCGTCAGTTCCTTGATGGCCAGATGAGTATTAATCAGAAAGAGCTTCCCAGTTTCTAACGGCATCAAGCAAGTATGAGTCCTTACATCCCCCTGGTTCTCCGTTTACTTCGGTATGATGCTTTAAGAGGCAAAGGATGAGGTGATAGACGACAGATGACAGTCTTTTCAGTTTGGAGAGGAGAGAATCATCGAATTGCCATTCGCTGATTACTAACCTGGCTCACACAAAGTCTAATCTCCAACTAAATTTGAATCATTTTTTCTGAAGAGGGCAAGGTCTTCGGGTGTACCATCAGCCTTCGGTACTTCCAGTCCTCTTCGAGAGCCACCTACAACTCTCTAAAGATGGCACAGCCCTCAATGCAGTCATGCACTGTACTTTATTTGTCAGCTTTAATTTGTATCGAATGATGCCACTCCACTCTTACCAGAGACCCAGACAATCGCCATTCAAAAGCAAGGAGCCAACATATCCTCAAGCTTCTGTATGGTGCAGAGGTTTGTGTGACTGTCCAGGGTGGACGAATCTTTTCCCGTCCTGCCTGGGTCCTTTGCCGCAGATAAATTTGTCTTCTTGAAAGTTTCCATCAACTCTGCTTGAGGACCATTCTTCGAATCAAATGGTAGGAATACGCCTCCAACCTACTTCTCGTTCACCTCGGTGAAAACCACTGCCGATGTGCCAATAAGGTGTCTCAAGGACTTGCTACAGTTGGCCGCCCGTATAGATCACAAGCGGATTTGAAGGCCACACGTCATTCAGGATAGAAAGCTGCAAGTTAAAAACCTTTTAAGGAGTAGAGTTGCACAGGAGAAACGCAAGCGACAGAAAGTAACAGCGTCTGTACAAACTCACTATAAGTTGAATTCTTCACCTGCCTGCTGTGCCAAGAGATCTCCACCTCACGTGTTGGACTGCTTAGCCACTAGCGAGCCAGCCATTATTATCATTGTTAAATCCCAAATGCTGGTGACGTTCACAGGGCACTTATAACAAAACCTCCCAAAGGTGGCCAAAAACGTCGACCTTTTACATCTTCCGCTCCAGTGAGCATACGCAATGAAGCGAATTAGAGGCTTGGGTGGATAATATACCGTAAAATTCCGAAAATAAGCCCCGGGGCTTATATTTTTCAAAGGCCCTTTTTGAGGGGCTTATTTTTGGAGGGGTTTATATTCGAAGGGGCTTATCTACGGAGGGAAATTTGCGTTTCAAAATCGATTGGGCTAGCCCTATAGCTGGAGGTAAATTTGCCGTTTTTGCTTTGTTTTACTTTGTATTTGAGGGCAATTTTCCAAGTACAAGCCCCCGGGGGGCTTACATTTGGAGGGGCGATTTAACGGAGGGCTTTTTGCATTACCGGATTGGGGGGCTTATATTTGGAGGGGCTTATACATGGAGGGGCTTATTTTCGGAATTTTACGGTACCCTTCAATGTTTTTTCAACTTTTGATATGGACAAAACGTCTGTAAATTTTCGCAGCTTTGCCGAGCTATACCTTCGCTCGCTTATGACACATCACTCGAGTTCAAATTTGGCAAATTTACTAATTTCAAGGCGCTCTTTCCAGTGGTGTCAGCGGATTTTCCCAAATCTGTCCATGTCAAAAATTGAAGAAACTGAGGAAGGGTCTCCTTGAGCTGGTGTCTGTCTTTGTTCATAGGAATGTTGGAAAGGTCTACCTAACGGCTATCATCCTCGGAAAAAAAGGCAATTTAAACGATTGGTGGCAGACAATATGTTCGCAAACAGGAAAAAATACCAAAAGTACTATTGATCAATGTTACGGCGCTTTTTACCTTTGCCAGAGGTTTTCACATATCTTTTCTTTTACCAATGTAGACTGGTACTTTACAAACATTTTGGAAACTTTGTTGAGTTTCGTGTTATGATGAACTAGTCAAAAATTTAAATTGTTTTGGAGGCGGAGTCACGTGATTTCAAAGAAGGAGAAATGACACCCTCATAAATTCACGACTTTGACTTTAAAATATCTTGGATTGGAATCCATAAAAAAGTCACAATATCGAGCGGCAACAGTAGTGCTATCTTTACTGTATTGAATATCACTGGACCGAAAAATGGATTTGCTCAAATTTTCTCTTGGCAGATATGTAGCAAAAGTGCAATAAATGAGGAGTAAATCTGGGCTAAAGATAGTCAATGCTACATTTGCCTCCAGATTTACAACCCAGTGTTTTTGGTATGCAAATGTGGCGTTTAATATCCTTGCGTCAGAATTACTCCTCACATGTTTGCGACGTATTTGCAGGGAGAAAATTTGTGCAAATCTATTTTCCGTCCACGAAAGGTTTGGAAACTCACTGAGCGACGGGTCAGAGTTTCAGAGAGAAGCCCCTTAGTGTAGCTCTTTCACAGAAGGTAATACCCATCAGTTACAAGGCAGATAAAATATTTCAAAGTGGTCCGTGCAGCTTCTCTTGTCTGACACCTGTTAATTTTTCGAACAATCTCTCCACCATGGCCTTGTTCTCACATCCCATGGCCTCAACTAGCAAGGGGCGTATACGATATTATATTTTACCTAAATAGGCCCACAAGCATTTTGTCCTGAAGGTAACTTGTTAAAAAACAGTGTCCTCATACCACATAAGGTGCATGACATTTGGCCCGTTACTCAAACAGAGTCTATCTTAAACCGCGATTTAAGATGAGCATTGACCTTAAGAACTATTTCTAAATGGATTATTAGTAGATAAACGGGTACTCCTCACAGTTAACTATGTTTAGTTACAATGGGTTCTGATGGCATGTTACGATTTACATACCAGCCACCTGGAGGATTTGTCGAATAAACACCTTGAAGACAAGGTTGGAACAAAAAACAATGTACGATCTATCATCTTCTGAATCTCCTTCTATAAACGCTTTTTAACACGTAGTGTGACCTGTTTAGTCTTAGACATGTTCTGATTCAACTTACAACAAAAAACATCTGTCAATTTTTCACTCTGACAAACTTTGAACAGTTAGAAGTCAGTGGTGCGTACAATCAAAGAAAGACGTCCTTGACACTTTTTTTGTTGTTGACACACTTTTTTTTTCTTGATAATAACTGGAAACGAACTATCTCATATCTACTAGGCTTGACTTAACTTAGCACAAATCTGGAAGAAGGTGTTTAAATGAGAGTGTAGGCATTGAATGTGAAGAGATAACAAGCGCAGAGCCACCAATAAATGTCAACTTACCAGTTCTACCACCTGTAAATTGGTCGATTGGTCATCTTTGGAGAATGCATGGTTTGGTGTGAAAATTATTCACTGTAATCAAGGTACTTAATTCAAATTTGCTTCGTAGAAGTCCATTTCCTGCTTTTCCTCAAGTGAAGTGAAAGAACATCGTTTCAGTTCGAATTACGGCTGTATTTGATAGACGGTGCATACTTTGACCTCTATAGGTATATCTACCTGTAATGTCATCGAAACTATAATTATTTCCAAGTGGGGCGTAATTTTGTAAATGAAGGAAGGGTAAAAGATCGAAGTGGATCTAACCAAGCCGAAAGATTCAAGAATGACAACTGAAGGTCACTGACTGAAGAGACCGCCAGTTATAACGGTTCCGCAGCTGGATGGCCATATAACATGATCCGTTCAGTTCTGGGTTCTAACCGGTGGTAATGTTCAAACATGGATCCCGAGTACTTCAGCGATAATCGATTGTCCCTTGTGGCCAACGAAAACTGCAAAATCAGAGCCTGCAAGCCGCCGAGAATCGAAGAATTCCCACCTGATCTTTTCACCCAAGAGCAGAGATATTACGGAGGAGTAGCATTTCATTTTTTGATCTGCCTCCACATCTTCTGCGCTCTTACGGTGGTTTGTGATGACTATTTTGTTTCATCGCTCAATCGCATCACGAAATGCTTGAAGCTAAAGCCAGACGTGGCTGGCGCAACTTTCATGGCGGTTGGAAGTTCAGCTCCGACCCTGTTCATCTCCATAATATCGACGTTTTTTACAGAGGGGGACATCGGTCTTGGGACCATTGTGGGCTCCACGATATTTAACACGCTGTTCATTATCGCTTTGTGTGGAATCGGGGCTGGTGTGACAATGCATCTTACCTGGTACCCAATCTTTAGGGATTCTATCATGTATATCCTAAGCGTGCTGATTCTTATGTTCTCGCTATACGACCGAAAAATCCACTGGTACGAAAGCGTGGCGCTTTTCGTTGCTTATACATTGTACATTATCGTGATGTACTTCAATGATTCTCTGGAAGAGTGGGCGCAGGAAATGAAGGAAAAAACAACGAAGAAAAAGGAAGAGAAAGAAAGCAAAAGAATAGAAATAAAATACGAAGAAGTTCAGGATATAAATGAAAGTACTGAAAATCTGCATGAATCTGAAGAGACTGAAAATCGGTTGAAGCTGCCTAAAGGTTCAGTCTTTTCCAAGGCTATGTGGATTTTCACTCTTCCCTCTATAATTTTGTTCTTTTTCACTATCCCAGACTGTCGTAAGAAGAAATGGCAAAAGTTCTATCTCCTGACATTTACTTCGTCGGCGATATGGATGGGCGGTCTGTCCTATGTTCTCGTGTGGATGGTATCCCTGGTCGGATACACTTATAATATCCCAGAGTGCGTCTTGGGCATGACGTTTCTCGCTGCAGGCAGCAGTCTCCCAGACGCCATTGCGAGCTTAGTAGTAGCCAAATTAGGAAGAGGCGATATGGCAGTTTCCAATTGCATTGGAAGTAACGTGTTTGATATGTTGTGCCTTGGCATAACTTGGCTGATCAAAACTACTATCATTACTCCCAACACCGCGGTTTATATTCAAAGCGAGAATATATTTTTCACCAGTGGGATTTTAATAGCGAGCATTTTATGCACAATATTGTTGATAGTCTTAAACAAATGGAAACTTGATGAAAAACTGGGCGTTATTTTCCTTGTAATGTATTTACTTTTTCTCGGTATTGCTACTTTTATAGAAGTTTTGCCTTGTTGTTGAGAGCTGTATTTTTATGCTTTTTTTGAAGTCGGTGAAAACAGAGTGGCCTGGAAGAAATGCGTGAAGATTTCTAGTGACTATATATACACATGGGCATGGTAGCTTTATGAAGCGAGCCATTCAAATAAAAGCTGTTTGGCATTTTTTTGTTGCAGTAGAGTGTAAGTTATTGCGAACTTAATTTTCATTAATGACGTCAGTTGGATCTAGGGCTCTTCACCTCAGTTTCGGTGAAAAGTTATAATGCTTATAGACCCACTGGTTTGTCTCATAGAGAAACAGAGAGGTACGGAAACTTGGCGTTATCAACCAAAAAGAAAACGAAAATTTCTATCCATAAACTAACTCAGTACTAAGTAGCGTGCGCTACCATTTCTCTCTGGGATTTCCTTATACTATTTTAAAAAAAGATTTCCTTTACACGTATTCACGATACAGGCGTCATTTGAAGGAACTGGATGATAAATTAAAAGACTCCAAGATGACACAAAAGTTTCCCAGGAGAATAAGTGTACTTCATCACAGGAAGCGCCATTTCTTCAACTGCAGCAGCCATGCGATCATCGAAGTTCTTCAGTATCAGACAATCTTTTCATTGCAGCAGAGACGGGAAGGTGCAATAGTGATACACGGTCTTATTTGCCTGTATTGCTTTGGTGCATTAGCAATCTTGTGTGATCATTATTTCTGCGCATCTCTTGAGAAGATTTGCAAAAGGTAAGTCTCAAAGGCCCTTTTTGAGGGGCTTATTTTTGGAAGGGCCTATATTCGGAGGGGCTTATGTACGGAGGAAAATTTGCGTTATAAAATCCCTTTGGCCAGCTTGCAGTGGAAAGGAAATTTACCATTTTTGCTTTGTTTTATTTTGTATTCGAGGGCAAATTCCAAGTACAAACCCCCCGGGGGGCTTATATTTGGAAGGGCGATTTAACGGAGGGTTTTTTGCGTTACGATTTTGGCGGGCTTATATTTGGAGGGGCTTATACATGGAGGGGCTTATTTTTGGAATTTTACGGTATGTCACGTGGTATTGCAGCAGTTTAGGTAAATTCTGAGGTCATTACCTGCCTCGTACGCAGACGTCTCTCTCTCACTGAAAATGTGCGCGCAAAGGAAGGCAGGACGGAGACCACGGGCTTCGCCTGCCGTCTGTACCCTTCCCATGGTCCCTTGCGGTTCTTCACCAGTCACGCGTTTCGCGCTCGCCTCTGCCATGCGAAAAACGAAGCGCCTGAGGAGGAGGCTGGGACATTACTAAGTACCTTCACCCATACACAAAATGCTATTATAGCGGTATGAAAACGATACGAAAAATTTCATTAGGAGCACTAGAAATAATACTTTCTTGCTTTTAGTGATTTTTGCAGGTATCGCATTAAAACTTGCCAAGGTCGGCCCAACTTTTTCAAGTTTCAATCCATGTTCATCCTATCCATCCGCTGCAACAGACGACAGGAAACAGTTTCGATGCCTAAATATAGTTTTATATAACAAAACCGGATCATTATTGTTTCGAAGGGTGAATTCGATTGATGCCAAAAAAGTTTTAGCTTTTTAAAAGGATAGCAGATGGCGTTACATAGCTCCTTCAAATGTCAAAGAATTCACTGCTGTGGCCAAACAAAATAGTTGGTCATTTTAGGCTTTGGAATTGACAAAATGCAGACGACTCAGCTTGACTTTCAACGGCGTGTTTTTCGGAGATACACCATTGTCAGTAGTTCAGTAGCTTCAGAATTATAATTTTGACTGCCGTTTCTTACACCGTTCAGTTAATTGCACCCTACCAACTGCATCTCCTCGCCTTGCGTTGCGGAAGGAACTTCACGTCACTCAAGCTTTGATTGCCATAAGGAAAGGGCCGGGGTGTTGTCGGTAGCCATTGCACAAAAAAAAAAAGATTTTGCAGTGGAGCTTGTCCTAAACTGTGTATTGGACAAAAGAATGCCTTGCCAGGGTGATACCCTTGAACTTTGGTCCCGTTATATGTTTCATCAAAATGAATCTTAGTGCCTCATTCCAGCCACAAAAGTGGTCTGATAAATAGTAGCAGTTCACCCGATATTAAACTCTTTTTCTTATCTTCGGCAGGCTTCGTATCCCGACAGACGTCGCGGGCGCAACATTTATGGCAGCCGGTAGTTCCATGCCCACTCTGTTTATCGCCATTGCATCGGTGTTCATGGGTGAAGGAGACATAGGCCTGGGTACTATAATTGGCTCGACTATGTTTAATATTCTTTTTATATCAGCGATCTGTGGATTGTGTTCTGGAATGGCCATAGCACTTCACACGTGGCCTCTACTGAGAGACTCCTTTGCATACACTGTTCATCTAATAGCACTGCTGATTGCAATTGAAGATAATACTGTACACTGGTATGAAGCCGCTGTTTTTCCCTTCTTGTATTGTGGCTATATCCTCATTATGTGCTACAACAAAAAACTGGAAGGTTTGTTTGAAAAATGTTGCCAACGATTTTGTGAGATTCGCAAGGGATTTGAAATGGTTCAGATGGACGACCCCGGGGAAAATGACAGCAGAAGTTTCGGAGATGACAACATGACGGCAAAATCTGAACGAGATATTGAAGAAAACCCTGATACAGCTGGTCATAACAAGACGAAAGAAAGCCATGCGCTAGAAAGCCCGCCGTCACAAGTTCACGGTTTTTCTGCAAAATCCCCGTTGGAGATTCCCAAAAGCTCGTGTAAACTTGTTATCTGGATCATTATGCTGCCGATCCACGCAATTTTTTTCATTACGATGCCAGACTGCCGTAAAAAGGAATGGGAGAGTTGGTATCCAGTCACATTTGTAGTGTCAATAATATGGATGGCCATTATTTCTTACGTGTTAGTATGGACAGTTTCAGTAATAGGCGAGACGTTTGACATTCCTGAGTGCATCATGGGATTGACTCTTCTGGCTGCTGGATCGAGTGTCCCGGATGCTATGGCGAGTCTGGTTGTCGCCAAACATGGAATGGGTGACATGGCACTCGCCAACTGTGTGGGTAGTAACATATTTGACATCCTTTGTCTAGGATTGCCATGGTTTCTGGCCGCGACAGTTGTTCACCCAGGCAGCGTGGTCTTAATCCACAGCGGTCACATAGTTTACACATCGTTGTGTCTTTTTGGCACTGTTTTAGTGACGTTGATCGTCATACATCTAAACAACTGGTACTTAGACAAGCGTGGGGGATGCATTCTTTTGATAATCTACCTCATTTTCTTAACAGTTGCTGTTATTCTTGAAGCCCTGCCACGGGGGAATGCGCCCAAGTTAAGCCCCCATCACCCAAGCCACCTCCCAAAAAAGGGTTTGGGACACCACAGGAACGGTCACCTGACTCACTTGAAAAAAGTCACGTGACAAAGGCATGGTAAATAGGCTTCATTAAATTACTGTTCAGAAATCGTCCACCAATGCTTTGACCAATGTTGAAAATCTGGGTGCGAAAAAAAATTTACCTGTAAAAACGAGAATACATCTCGCTGCTCTCAACGCCTAAAAGAGCTAAAGGCCAAGAAAGAGTCAGTTATCAACTTTTTTATTCATCTTTTTTTGTTTACTCTGGTTTATTTTGTGTTGTTGTTCCTAAAGGTACTGTTTCGAAATATGCCATTATTTGACAAAAGGTATACAATACATTAATATCTTCAGATGTAGATTACGTATTATTGCAGCATGTATAAGCTTGTCTATTTTGACTTACAAGGTTTAATTGGAGAAAAACGTGGAGGTTAGGCAGGTCAATTTATTGAAAAAGGCATTTTCAATCACTTCTTTTGGCAACGTCAACAACAAAATACATGAAAAGAGTACGGTGAAGCGGACAAAATACAAATATTTCATATACTTTCTTATATATATCTTTTGCACTTAATTATATTGTATATACAAAATAAAGTTCTGATTATTGCATTTTGTTTCTAACTTAATTCAATTTGATTACTTTCATTTTTAAAGCTGGTGGAGATTACGTCCTTGCGCCTCTGGATCATACTAGTAAGAGAGACACGTACAAACTGTGGCTTAAATAAATACTGCAAGGACTAATCAAATAACGCAAAACGACTTGCCAAGTTACGATATTTCGACTGATCAATACATGTGCCAGTTTTCACCAGGTTTATCAGGACAAATCAGGAATTTACAGAAATTTATATGTATATTTCTGCAAATCGTAATTTGTCCCCACTAATCTGAAGAAGGCTGGTATTTGACACTTGAAAATATCGAAACTCAAATATTTTATCGTTACTAAATCGGTCCCTGCAGCAGTCGTTTTTATAAATTATTCGACATATTTTCATCAATTTGGACTATTCACGATCCTTGTTGACACAACTACGAGCCTGGTTGATTGTGCGCGGATTTAACAGTAGTTTTAGCCCTAAACTTGGCACATAGTTTGATTGTTGGAAGTCTCCATCATTATCTTCCTCGACAAATTTTGATCAAGTGTAGGTTAGATTAAGATCGAGATTAAGATTAAGTGGAGCCCTGAAATAAAGAAGTACCTGCGTTACGAAGGTGGTATGTTATTGACGATATGTTCCACACACTTCACAGTAATGAAGGTGAAAAAAGTCATTTGCGTCATTTGCGAGGTTTTACTATTGAGACGTTCGTTGCATTGTAAGCGTGAAAATATCTCCACCTCACTTCGACTGTAGAGGAGAAATAGAAGTGACCTGGTGATCTCCACTGCATGTCAACAAAAGTGAACAAATCACCGACCAAACAAGCTTGGAGGTAAGACCCGACAAAGATGAGTCCGTGAATTATGAAGCAAGAATTGTATCACATGTACGAAGCAACAGAGGTAAAGACGAGTTGCTGTCTTTGTGCCATCTAGAATAAGAAACAACATTCCGTCGTTAAATATTATTAAAACAAACGGCCTATCTCTAAGTTTTTCTACACACCTCGGATCGAGAAAAAGTTCTTTTAATTTTTATTTCTTAACTGCATCGCTTAATGGAGGATTGGGTGCCAAGGAAACTACAATAGGCAACAAAACTTGTTGAGACACTGTCCTCAAATGGGGTAAGCTCAGAGAACAAAAGAATCCACACCCATTCACACATCCATTCAAAGCTGGGTTTACGATGTTTCCTACAGATAGCTCGAACGGTCTACCTGTAGCCCGTATATGTATTTTCCCCTTTTGAAGTCGCAAAACGTCAAAAAGGTACTGTAGGGCAAATTGCCTCAATTAATTTTGTCGTCAGTTGTAGTTGCTCAAGAACAAGAAGACAAGGTTTCGAAAAATTCATTGTATAAGCAGACTGACGATGAAACAGATATCGGTGAAGCGGACCAAGAAAACTGAAAAGAACCCTCGTTGGAATGGTTTTACTAAAATAATATTCAAAATATATTTTACCTTCCGCTATAAACTTCGGAATCCGGGCTTAGTATCACAGGTGCCACACTGGACAGAGAGAATTACAAAAAGTGAAAAACGTGATATTAAGCGATCCTTGACAACAAGAATCACGGCATTATAAAATGCCATAGGGAAGTTCTTTTTTAAAAAGTGTCACAGCAGGTACCCTGGATGCCAGAGACTTTTCATGCCGGTTTCCGGTAGGTACACAGCAGGGTAAAACGCTATTCTCATATTACATCATCCTTGTAAAGGTACTGTCAAACCGTGGTGTACCGAAGCCATTCAAAACCGCTGACTGTAGGTGTTTAGTTCAATTGTTTGAGTATCACAGTTCGGAGTGGTTGGCCCGTGTTCACATCCCGGCCGAATTGGCATTCAGAAGCTTAAAATGACCGAGAGGGACAAGGAGGGATGCATAGCCTTTGTTTTGCATCTGCCAATGATTAGACATTCAAGTCTTCTGGAATAAGGGAGAAAAACAGTAGGCTCCATCGCAAAGCGGTTTTATGACCTGACTCTTGTGGGACGTAAAAACACCAGAGACGTAACAATCCCTGACAGTGACCACCCCTACTGTCTCACGGGCTGTAGGTATGGGTAGGGAGGGTACCTCGTGTGCCCAGTGAAGCTGATATAATGGTGAGTTTACGCAACAGGACGGCAGAAGGAAGAGGACGGCAAAACGCTTGTGTGTGACACAAATCTGGTCTTTTAAAAAGAACTGGTTAAAGGAAGATGGCGTTTTAGAGAATTTTTTCAAGCAAACTTATCCTCACACTTGTCTCACAAGGTTTGCTCTCTTTTTTCCTCTCTCGTCCTGCTGCGTAAGTTCACTAATAACAAGGTGCCCAGTTGAACAAAAAATATCCATGGGCTTATAAGGATTTGATATCCATTTTGAGGCTGGGCGCGAGATTGGGTTGGCGGTGCGTCGAATGACGCTACATAACTGTTTTACTCAGTAGAACCACTTCTTTTACTGGTGCAGGCAATGGCTATGTTTTCAACAAGCGGGAAACTAGTACGACTTATGTACGCAAAGGCTCTAGGGATCGTCAGGGGGGACAGCAAACACTTGCAAGCCACCTGTTAAGAAGACATACTTGGTACATCAACGTCTTAAGGAATTCTGTAACAGTGAAGATTTATTGCATTTCTGAACCTACCATTGCAGTTTGAAATACAGCACTAGTGCGCATTGTTTGTTGACTTTCATGCTGCCCCTCCAAACGATCCCAAGAAGCTTTGTGGTCGTATATCGAACCCAGTTTTTCACTCGTTTAGAACATGACGAATTCGTCCCCCCAAACAGTCCCACAGGATTTCCCACAGTACGTCAACAAAACACTGACCCATTCTCTCGCGTAGACTCCGAATGTTACGGTCAAATTTATGGAAAAGGACCCCGGACAATAATATAACTACCAAATATTTCCAGTCCTTGGGCACTTTGTTACATAGGAGGTGCACGGCAAAGTAAAAAGATCTTACTTGGGCAGTTTAAGGAGGTTTATTAATTCCTGAGCTCGCATCAGTAAATCTGGATAACACTCTGGGTCAGAAAGAAGCTCCTACAAGGAAGAAAGAAGAAGAATCATCGTCGCGCACAAAATATTCCCACGGCAACAGAGCTACTTTTATTAGGTACTTCCTCATGCACAAATAAAATGCCGCATTGATTTGTAGGTATCAATTTTGTGGTAAAATTAATTAAACTGTAAGTAAATAGATCTTCACTTACACAAATAAAACAAACAACTTACTGGTTTCTGCCGCACAACTTTACTCAAGCACAGAATAGCTCTTTGAATAACATCCTGACATCTAGAAGCAAGCTACAAGAAAGAGAAAACTAACAATAATTGCGTGGTGTTTAACGTAGTAAATTTCACAATTTCGCTTTAAATTCATTTTTATATCATTAGTGCTTAACCAAACAAAATTATGTCCAGTAATTTTTTGAACAATTTTTTCCATTAGTAGAGTTGCCCCTCAGGTCTGTAGTCCGTTGAGGTAACATCATAAAATTCTTTAGAGAACTCCTCCAGCCCGCTATTTTTCTTGTTACTAGCAACACTATCGGGAAATATAGAAAATTACTCCTTTTGTTTAATAAGTTAAGTAAGCAGAGGCTTTTCCTCCGTTTCCCGTTAAGCTGGCGAGGTCGTTAATCCCGTTACTATAAGTCAAGCCTCAACCTTCGGTTTAATGTAAGACGTTATCAGTTGTGTTTTGAATCAAGGTGAAGATTAGGCTTCTTAATTTTACCAAAAGGTCATGTGAAATCGCCAAATCATCTCCTAAAAACGTTTTAGTCATTATCTCTGTTCATAGTAACGTTACAAAACCTAACCCATCTTCTTATTTCAGTTTCGAAGTTTTTGAGAAAGAGTTTTCTTTCGCCTGTTTGTTTAAACTTGTTCGTCTTTAAGAAACCTGCGGTGGCAGTTCTGAAAATGAAAGCCTTTACGAAACAAAAAATGCACGAGGCAAATACGTGAAGTGAGATTTTGCGTTCTGAAGCCATAATGTGAGCTTTAACATAGTAGAGAATATGACAATCCTTTTGCAAAACGAGGACATATTTAAAACCTATTTACCCTGACGCCAATAAGGCCTTGGCAGAGCATGAAGTGAGGTTATGCCACCATATCCCGTGCATACCGTTTAACGTAAGCGCAGGAAGTGTTTTCGATAAGTTAAACGCCAGAACTAAAACAGTAGAATCTTGTTGTTTTCAAACCATCGACTGTTTGAACCAAAACTGAAGAATATTCCATTCTCAATCAAACACTATAATTTTACGTTTTTTCCAAACATGGAGATGCCAATGTTTGCTTTCTCAAATGAGATTTTTCTTCACGGTTTATCTTCGTTCAAGTGTGACTATATCTTAGTAAGAAAAGGTATTAATAGCAAGTTTCAGCCCGTTCAGTATTTAGAAATAGCTTATGACCTCTTGAAAACGTTTTCACTATGCTGGTATATTAAGGAAACTTTCAATCGTAAATTCAATTTTCTAAGTAGCGTAACAAGGCGACCTGGTGAGTACTGTCTATTTATCTATTTATTATGTGGTTTTCTTTTTTGTCGTATTTATAGAGCTACAAAATAGAGACCTTTAGATTCAAGGACGAGAACGACTACAAGTATCGAGATTTGACTTCAAGTTTTTTCGCGTATTCTCCAAAAATATACACCCCGGAAAGCTTCAGTGTCCTTTTTCTTTCACCAGAAAAGTTAGCTCGATTGTTTTTGTTGGAGAAGGTTAAGCCCTCTCTCGATCGCACAATGACAAAACTTCTTTGATACATTGTTTCTGCCGCTGAGACATTCTCGCTAAAACTCGTTGTCAAATGACAACGGCCATTAAGTTTTCCCGCCAAAATAACGCTGGTTCACGCGCGCGCACTTCTTCATAATATTTAATAATTATTCGCTGAAGGCGAAGTTAGTATTGTTCAACAATGTTAACTGAGCCTGAGGTGAAAAACTGTTTCAGTGTGTACACATGAAGTGATCTCAGTAGAATTGGAAAGGAAACCGTTAAAAACGATTAGTTTGATTGACGGGTGAATTCAAGCTTGAACATGTCGCCGTGAACAGTAGATACGTATGTTACAGTTTTTTCAAACATGGCAAATCGTAGTTTTAATGTTTTTTGTAAGCTTTAGCATCGATAAGTGAAAAGAAAACGTCGAAAGTTTAAATAACTTCCCTTTCTGTGAAGAAACACGGAGCTTTATTTGCTTCTTTCAACTCACCGTGAATGAGAAAGTTTTTTTGTCGCTTCTTGCAAATGCTCTCAACAGCGGCTACGATCGAGGTGGGCGTTGTTTATCCGCAGTGTTCTTTGCCATGTTAACTTGCTGGCACGTACAATTTTCGAAAATATTTGCTTTCCTTTTTTTCTCCATATTTCAAGACAAAATTGGTCTTGGGAGGAAATCAAGAGATCACAAAACGGTGACAAAGCGGCCCCTTTTTCCTCTGTAGTGGTAAAAACATTGCTTCGAGCGTATAAAAGTATAGAATATAGAATAGAATAGAAACTTTATTAAAGTGTCAAAAACCGTCTAGCCAGGGAACAAATCCCTTACTAATTTGGGGACACCAATTAGGGGAGAATATACAAACTAAAAACTATATACAGTAGTAGGTAAAATATCTATAGTTAACTAATTAAGAGATTTATAGTAAAAATACACAGAAGTCAAAATGAACAAAGGCTACAGCCTGCGCAGCCATCATCTAAAAGTTCACTTATATTGAGTTGGCGTATCTTGCTTTTAAACGACGTTAGGGTTGTGACGTCCCTGATACTCTTGGGTAGTTTTGTCCATAGCCTAGGCCCTAAATATCTAATAGAGTGCTTGCCATAGGTGACTGTCTCATACCTAGGTATAGAGAAATCTGCTTGCCGCAGATTGTAATTACTATTTGGTTCTTTAAAGATGTTACTTATATATGCAGGGCACAGTTTATGCTTTACTTTATACATAAGGATGCACAGATCCTGTAAGCGACTATTTAGTAGTGTTGGCAGATCTGCCTTCTCTAATAGTTGTTCATAACTAGAATTATTATCCTTGAAAACCGCTCTAAGTCCTCTTTCTTGTAGTCTTTCAAGCTTTCGAGTGTCACTCGCTTTACAAAAATGCCACACACAGGTGACAGTACGTGAGGAATGGTAATATCGCGCTTTTGAATAATATTAACTTAGATTTCATAGGAATTAAATTACGTAGTCTCATTAGAACACCAATTCTCTGGCTGGCTTTTTTTACAGATAGAGATTACATGCTCAGAGAAATTTAGCTTAGAATCTAACACTACTCCTAGAAGTATGATATTATCTTTAGTTTCAATCACAACATCATTCACGCAAATATTGCTGTCATTTTGAGTGAAGCCCAAGTTCAAAACTTGGTACTTTTTGAGGTTTCCCGCCAATAAGTTAGAATCGTACCACGTTGTTGCTAAGTTGGCACTATCCTTTAACTGGGAAGTCACAGCTGCCTGGTCTGCTCCTGCGTGGTAAATTTGATGGTCGTCGGCATACATAGACAAGTTCGCTGTTAGGCAGTAGGATAGGTCATTCTGGAAAACATTCCATAACAACGGGCCAAGCGCGGAACCCTGAGGACAGCCACGACTCACGAATCGGCTCGAACTAACATGACGGCCGATCTTTACTTGATATTTCCGTTCATTTAAATAGCTGTTTAAAAGTTGAATAGCGCTTTCCTGAAAACCGTACGCTTCAAGCTTGTTCAGAAGTAGTGGTGGGTGTAACGAGTCAAATGCCTTTGACATGTCTGTTGAAAGTATGCTCACAACCTGTTTTCGATCCCTCGCCAGTCTCCAATCTTCTACTAAATTGATCAATGTTGTTTCGCAGCTGTGAGCTTTGCGATAAGCGGATGAGTGTTGGTAAATGCGATTACCAAAGCCAGAGTTGATCTGCGCTCCAACCAACTTCTCAAGAACTTTACTTACACATGGTAAGAGAGTTATGGGCCGGTAGTTTTCCTTTGCATTCCTGTCATCCTTTTTGTATACTGGGGCCCAATGCCCATACTTCCATTCACTAGGCCATACATTCTTGTTAATACAAGAATTGAACAAGGTGGTTAGTGGAGCGGATAATTCATTAGCACCTGTTTTTAAAGCCTTTGAAGGAATTCCATCAGTGCCGGTGGCTTTGTTTATGTTCAGCGAATCGAGAACTGCAAGGACTTGTCCCTGTGTAACCAATTCGATTTCGATGGTCTGAGTGGAATTCCTATTTTCATGTTGTATCCTCTGAACACAAGGATGGTCTCTAAAGTCCTCTATTGACTTTCTTTCAATCGCTGTACCGCCAATGCCATCCGCCAAGGTAGCAAAATGCTCAACCAATTCCTCAGCCACTTGTTGTTGATTCGTTATCATACTGCCGTTTATTTTTAAGTGGATGTCGTTTCTTTCAGTACAGCTCTTAGAGCCCAAAAATGGCTTGAAAGTTTTGAAGAACGCCTTGGGATTGATTTTCAAATCGTTTGACTTATTATACCAGTACTGTTTGATGGCGATTCTTCTTTGTTTAGTGGCCTCGTTTCTGGCTTTACGTCGTAATTCCCAATTTTCTGGCGTTTTGTCTTTCAAGTACTTGTCATTTGCTTTGCGTTTAGCTCTAATCGCACTTTTCCAATGAGACGTCATGTAGGGCACATCTTTATCACGCACACGCATTTTTTTTTCACAGGTGCCACTTCGTCCAGTATATTGTTCATAAGTGCATTCCACACGTAAACTTGATCGTCGACGTCATCAAACAATTGTCCAACGTGCCATGGGGCAGAGGACAAAAGCTGTTTATAATGTTCAGGGTCAAAGTTCTTATAGCTCCTAAATGTGATGACCTTTGGTTTGTTGTGATTTATTTTCTGCTTCAGGACACCGTAAACAAGGTCGTGATCACTTAAGCAAGGATGGTAATTACCAGATAGGTGGAAGCTATCCGGTCTATTAGTGAGCAAAACATCTATTAAACTCTCTGTTATAATTATTCCACGCTTTTCTATTCTTGTTGGCTTAGTAATTAGACATTCAAAACCTTGTTCAACTTCCAAATCGAGAAGCAGTTTACCTTCAGGTTTGTCAGGGCGAAGTCTGTTCAGATTTAGGTCGCCAGTAACTACAACAAAATTTCCGTTCAAGCTTGCCCAGTTACAGACATAACTGAGTTCGCTTTCCAACAGTGTTTGATATTCGCCACACAGAGCTCTCGGGGGACGATAAATACCAACAATTACCATATTGTCCATATCTGTTTTGATTTCGAAGGCAATTATTTCCAGTGTCTTAAAGGATTTATCAGGTTTAAGCTGTGTCCTGACTAGCGATTGAGATATTAAAGCCATAATTCCACCGCCGCCCTTTTTCCTATCATTTCGGTAGAGGGAGTAGTTCGGAACTTTGAACTGAGCGTTGGGATAGCTCGCGTCGATCTTGGTCTCACTTACGAACATTATGTGGGCGTTGATTTTCTTGATTACTTCGGTCAGTTCTTCAAATTTATTTTGGATGCTGTTAATGTTCAAGTGGGCAATTAAGAAATCCTTATTGTGATGTTTCCTAAAGAGTTCTAGCTGATCGTTTTCAGAAGTAATTTCTGTGACATCTCTGTAAAGAAACTGCTCGAAGGCCGTATTTTGAGTTGTTTCCGCTTGATACTCCTCGGCTGGAATTAGTGTATCACCTTCAGAAACTTCTTCAAAGAAGGAGTCCGTTAGTGGCGGTAGAGCACAAGCTGGACAGGTCCAATCAATATCAGGCTGGTCTAAGTAGTACTGGAAAATAGTCCGAGACATATTGAGGCATTTAGCGTGTGACCAGTTTCCACATGTGGCACACAAGATGGCGTTTTGGTTGTTTCTAACTGCTTTGTGGCATTCACTGCATGGGTATTTCAACATAGACTTCTTCCCTTTCGGGCCAGGATTTATGGCCACGTCCCCGCACAGAAGCACATCCCTTTCCAGATTGAAGCTGCTTATTCCTTTGACCGTGTGTGGGACCCTCCGTGAAGTAAATCGTTTAGCACGAGGTTTAAATCTTCTGTGGTTTGTCAAATATGAGACGAATTCAGGTGCAATAAACGTCTTTGAGACGCTTGTAGCCTGGTAAGACCCTAAAACGTCGCCACTTATACTCTCTTGGATTAAAACTGCTGTTCCAAGCAGGAGTACTAGAAATTGTAGCGAGCTCGCCCAGGTCGGTCCAGCCGCCATGACAGCTATTGTAAATCACTTCACAATGAGTCACGCCGTTTAAACACCATGAAGTCTTTTCTTACCTTCAAAATCATCAACACTGGGATATTCTTGTGTTTTCAAATTGTTTTTACTCTGAAACTTGGCAAAACACCCAGTTCACGACAGCGATTTTGTTTTGCTTTATATTCACCGGCTAGCACGGTGAATATTTAACAATTAATCAATGAGGCCGAGTATCTTATGAAGAATTTTGGAGGTCGAGGAGAGTGTTGTCCGTCGAGGCTGTAGGCCGAGGCGGATAACACCCTCCGAGATCTCCATAATTCTTCATATGATACGAAAGCCGAATTCAATAATTGTCTTATTATTCATTCAAAATAATTCCTAGTTTAAAAACGTAGCTAAAACAAGCTTACCTGCATCGATGTTAAGTTTATCTTCGATAGTTTACGTTTAGGTTTGTCCAGCTCCGCAAATATTCTCCAGATAGCATATGTCGCCCTCCGAGTTGTCTTCCTGCTGTTTTTGCTATGTTTTTAGCCATTATTTCGCCTAGTTCCAGCTGTACTTCGTACTCTTGAAACGAGTGAAGTATCTGCCATTTTAGTTTTTGTAACGAAAACAACTCAATCTCGTCCCCAGGTCTTCTCGGTTAACGGTGCATTAACCTGTAGAAGGCTGCATTTTTGACGTCATTTCCTCGTTAAACATAAAATTCTTCCAAATTTGGTCATCAGTAACTGGTTATGGTGAATTATGCGTGTGCTTTTAGCCAATCAGAATTGGGGCAATATTTTGAATGAATAATAATCAATTAGTATATACACACTAAGTGATCTTGGTGATTTAAGCAATCTGATTGGTTCGCTATCTCGGAGTATTCAACAATATTCACCTCCTAGCGAGTGGATAATGTGTGAGCTCGGTGTTTTTCCTATTTTTTTAGAGAATGATCTTTTAGAAGTCGACAAAATCCTGGGGTTGACTTTTTTTAAGGCAAGAAAAGACTTCAAAGGATTCAAAACGGCGTTTTTCCATTTACTGTAGCTGAGTTTTGTTCTCGATGTATTGTTTACAACTCCCGTTTATTCGCGTAGAAGAGGCCGTTTCGTGAACTCACCGTTTCCTAACAAGAAACATTTGGCCCAAAAATCGAAGTTTATTAATGACAAATAAATTTCAAAGCAAATGTTTGCAGAAATTTTACTTTTCAAGTAAATAAAAAAAGAATGCTACTGGAAGACGACATTTTACCTCAAGAAACCGAGCCGCCATTTTTATCAGCACTTCAAGAACGACACAACAAACCTTTTTGGCTATAAACTTGGCGAGTCAACAAAAAACAACAAAGCCCTACTTTTCTTCTCAGGTAAGGAAACAATTCAAACTTTTCACGGTTCCATTGAAGCCATTATGCTGTTGTTTGCAGAGTGATAAACTTGTGAATTACAATGCTTGAAAATTCTGCAAAGATCTATTTTTAAACTTTCGCCTGATTTGATCCGTCAATCAAGTCGTCCTTTTTAATGGTTTCCTGTCTGATTTTGTTGAGATCACTTCGTGTGTATATACTAAAACAATTATTCTTTTCAATCTCGGTGAATAGTGGCTTTAGGAATATTTACCTCGCCGCGGCTTGTTAGGAAACGCTGAAATCACGAAACGGCCTCTTCTACGCGAATAAAAGGTAGTTGTTCTAGAGACTTACATTTTAAAGACTTACACAAATAAGTTTCTCGGTAGCTTACCGGCCAATGAAAAACACTACTTTTAACGCCAAAATTGGTATATTAAACTAAAGAAAAATTTCCTACACTTTGAAATATTAAACAATATTTACTGAAAAAGGAAAGCTTGTATCAATTCAAAACAATTAACCAGGTCGAATTAACGCACTTCAGAGAAAGCTAAAAACTGTGAGCTATTCAGTCTCGAATGTCTGAAGTTTTGAATTAAGCTGAAAGCTTGCGGGTTTTTTTTACAGCTTTTTTTGCAAAGGTAAAGGGGAAGGAATAAAACACCGACAATGCGAGTAAAGCAATTAACAATCGGCCGCTAGAGCTGCGAACTTTTTTCGTGTCGACAAACAGACAAACTTACAGACAATAGTAGCCAGACAAAATTCAAACTTCACGCGTTACGGTTTCTACCTCACAAAAATTCCATCGAAAGGCGATTACGAAGAAAACACAACCGAGAAAGAAACAGATAATTAAAGAAAAGGCTTTAGAAGCCTAACATATTTAACCGAAGATGTCAGGGTAAACATAAAAACTAAAATTTGATTGCAATATTTACAGTGATAACTTAAATGCACGAAGCATAACAGGCGCTTTATGAGCCAAACGAGGCGAACGCGGTATTTCGCGCGATAGCGACACGTGAGAGACGAGGGGAGGAGAAAAAATAAAGCGCCTATTACCAGTCCATTGTTCTCACGTTCACTTCATGAACGTTGCGTTCCAAATTGGCTAATTGTAGACACGTGATCCTCGCGAGAATCTGGTATGTTTGTCTGGAATAACGCTCGCGCGGTTAAGTTCAAGTTCAAGTTCAAGGAAAAACAAAAGAAATGTTCAAATTTATTGCTAAAGAGGAAGGATGTTCTTAGATTGCTTCCAATTGGGTTTGGAAAAATCCTGATTTACCAACTTTTCCCTACCATATTCGAGACAACGAATTGGTGTCCATGCCCACGCTCTTGTTGTTGCTTTGACAGCGATTTCTGATGAGCAAATTGAAGAACTTAACGATCTGGGAATATTTGTCCAGCAAGTCTTCTGCTTAGCATAACGTGCGCATTCCGCCGCGATTTTCGTCTTAAACACCTCGCGAGCAAGATATGAAGTTTTTGGAGAGTTTATTATGGCAAACAACACACACTTTAAATTGTACTCTCAGTACCACAGGGTCCAGAGGAGTTGCGTTTAAATAAATGAATTATTTAGTTAAAGTCTCACCTTGAAAAATGTCTATATCTGTCGCTTAGCACGATTAATTAGCCCAATAGGAACTTTATGAATCTGCTGTAAACGATTTCTTTGCTTCTTATCTGACCCAGATCGACTTTGTTATTCGCCATTTTGAAAATAAATAACCGCAAGCCATATCCTCGTTAGCGCACGGCACGTCGCCCGAAGGGCGACCGAGGCACGAATTATACTGTAAGCCGATCTTGCGAGCCCTCAGTCTCTTGGTTTGCGGTATATATAATGTGTAACGAAACTGTAACGCGATCAAAACAACCCATTTTTTCAGAGGTTTTCGACGGGTTTTGATGTTCTAACGACAAACACATCTCCTCTGAACCCTGTGTCAGTACTCTGCTGCTCGCTTAACAACAGTCGCTTGCAGTCCTTTACTTGGCAATTCACTTCGTTCGCTTTCATACTCCTCGGATATGCCACAAAAACCTGGAAATAATAAACAATAGAGTGTTTTCACATGACGTCACAGTGGCCATATTGGTGTCCCAAAACAATGAAAAGGCGGCCATGTTGGTGTCCCAAACCAATCCTTGGGAGCTGCACTCTTTTCTTATGCAAACGCTGTCTTTTGTTCCAAGAAATTTGCATTGATGCTGGCCACGTGAGTGAAAACACTCTATAGGAACAAATAAGCAATAATTAAAACTCAACAATTACTGAAACAATTATTGATCCTCTCTCCTCGAGATCACATTGATACCAAATGTAAACAACAAGATAAAACAACGCTCTTGGCTTGTGTCGTTATTATTACCTTCGTTAGTGTTTGTGTCTCTTCGACTGGAACATTCATAAAACCTTGGATTTTCTCCTGTGCGTAATCGATCAGTTCGATTATTTAGTGTCTGGTGTACTTTCGTTGACTGGTAAGTTTTCTTTTCTTGCTCGATCACTCTTCCCTGGGCATGGATGTTTTAAAACACGAGAGGAACCATCCACGGAAACGCTTGGCCCGGTGCTTGGAGAGCTCTTTGCTATTCTTTTCATCGACGGATCCCTTGGCAATGAATTCGGCCTCGCCTGGCTTCCTTGTTTTATTTCGGACAACGTATCACAAGCTGTGACAATAGAGAGGAGAAGTGTGAAGTCACGTCACCATGGTAGCACTATTTTTGGATGACAACAAAACCAACGACAACGGCGACGGAAGGAGAACGGCAAAAAAGTAATAGGTTTTTATTGACAAAACAACAAATTTGCACCTGCATCATGCCATTTTGTTCATTTCTTTGCCGTGGTTGCGTGACTGCGACATGAAACTTCCTAATTTCAAGCGCCCACTTCATGGAGTCGGTGAACCAACTCGAAAATTTTCGTTTTCCTTTAACTAAACTTAGATACGGTCCTTTCGGTTTCAACCAAGAAAATTTCGCCAACTTTTGACAAATTAAATGAAATTAAATAAGATCGATGAAGTTTGAAGCGGTACAAATTCTCTTTTTCGGTGGTGAATTTTCGATTTATTGTCATCCAAAAATTTTGCTACCAAGGCAACGTAACGTAACAACTTCTCTCTATTGGCCTTATACATTTCGGACACGATCTAGTGGACGAGCTTGAATCGTTTTGAACATAAATACCTTGCTCGGAGACCAGATTTGAAAAAAGAACGCCCTGACATTCTTACCTTTGAGTAACAGAACTAAAATTGGGATAGACCTCGCAGAATAAGCAAAAGGTTTACTACAAAATCTACACGACTTTGGTGGGAGCTCGCGAAGACATCGCCGAAACTCCTCACCATTTGTACAATAGAAGATAACGCCAGGAAGGTGACAATTTTCGCGAGAGTAATGGATCGTGTTTTGATTGGTCCTTTTGACATCATCGCCGTCAATCAATATTTTGTAGGCGTAGGTGGGCGGAAGAGCCAGAACAATGGCCTGGTAACAGGCGATTTATTATTTTCTCCTCCCCTCGTCTCTCGCGCGTCGCTTTCGCGCGAGATGCCGCGTTCGCCTCGCTTGGCTCATAAAGCGCCTATTTTGCGGGCTATCCATGTACAACAACAAACTAATAAATCGTTTGCTTTTATGCGGCTTTAGGTATCCATAATTATTACACTGTTGTTTCTGGTATTAATGACTGATGTAATTATGAATTTCACGGCCAACATTCAATTAGCTGCACTCTGTTTTCGTCTTGCAATGTGTTGTGTTTCTGTTGTGCAATGATCGGGGCTCAGCTCAGTGAAACCAAGTGAAAGTTTGCTGCTGTTTTCCGAGATCTTCTATGTATTTTTCGTTGCCTTTTCCTCGTCAAATAATTTGTCCAGTAGAACGAAAACATACTCCTGACGAGGCCATCGTTTTAAATAACAATAGATCTACTGTTTCAGTCTTTTAGATCATTCACACAAACCAAGCGTGCAAGTAAACACGGCTGATGAGTCGCCTAATGTGAGTTTCTCGCTCCAAAAACACGGAATTGAGCCCGTGATCAAATAAAATATCAGCGAAAAACTTCAAAAAAATACGTGACCTCGATAAGTAAAAATATGAGCCCGCGATACAGTCAGGTGATGATGGTCAGCCGATGCCTTAGATTGACAGCTGTCAACTGACCTTCATAACGATGGCGAATATTCGAATAAATGGCTTCGACTATGACAGCTTTCACAGTGTGAGTATTAAGACATTTCACCCTGGCTTGTAGGGGCGCAATAGCGGGAGGTGGGGAATGACGGGTCTTCTACCTGTGTCCACGTTATTCATTTTGTGATAGTGATCTGCAGATATCCCATTTTGACAGCTGTCAATGACGCATGATTTGGCCTGTGCATAACTTGATCTGGCTTGCGCATACTTTTAACTAATTACTATAGTAACAACTAAATCTACTGTTAAGAGGAAATCTCACCTATAAGCCTTCATGGCTTCCTGAGACTTCTCGCCTTTTGAGATTACTTTTTTCGAATTGTGTATGTTATATGTAATTTAATTATTTTCCTTTATTTATATGTAAAAGAGGCAAAAAAAAAAATTCAGTAAACAACAAATAATAAACTACTGACAGGCGACTGACAGCTCTGGCCAGTGAAAGCGAAGTTTCATTTTTATGTTGATAAGTGTGACATATTACATGTGGGGGCAAAACAACCAGTCTTTCATCTGAGCCCGCGAGATGGTCATGTGATATTTGTCAGCAGACGCCTGATTTTGACAGCTGTCAATTCATCTTCTTACTGAGAGGCTAGCGTCAATATTTAATTATTTTGCGCACGATCTAATGTGACATTTGACATCGGCTTACATGTAGCGGGTGTACGACGGTCAGCGTTTGGGCGTACGCTGACGTCATAACCAAATTTTCTCGGATCCATAGGTTTCCAGTTTTCTTTAACAAGGGGGCTCCGCTCTCGCGCGCTTTTCCGCTATTAAAAAATATCTCGTCGTTGTAGTGGTCCTCGTCTTAGAATCTAAAGGATTCTAATACTCTTCTCACCCCGGTTTTTTTGAGGGGAGAGGGCGGCTGTACACGGGGTAAACGATAGCAAACCAAAACAAATTGTCTCTTATTTTAGCTCTAAACGAAGACTGTCATGAACAGCACAGAAGAAGTTGTCCTGGCCATCAAGATTGCAATTCCTGTTTCGTCCTACCTTTTAAACACAAATCGTGTTCAAAAAGCCATCGAGTTATGTAAGGAAAATTTGTTTCTTTTTAACCACAAGACACTGGAAAATATGAAATTTACCATTTGCTTCAAGACAATGGCATATCTACAAATGCTTGCAGGGTACACGCTTACTAACGATTACAGGAACGCACTTGAAATTGGCAGAAAGCTTCTCATCATTTCTCGAGAAACTGGCCAGAAAGCGTTAGAAGGAAAAGTAACATTTTCCCTGGCGCTATTGTATAGATGCCAGTGCGATTATAATGAAGCAATCGAGCTTTACACAAAGGCACTAAGCATCGCGATAGAAAGTAAAGAAAACGAATTGGAAAGCATTTGCTATCTACACCTGGGAGGTATCTTTCAGTCTTTGGGTGTATATGTCAAGGCTACAGAATACAGCGAAAAAGCTCTTGCAATGGCAGAAAAAAATGGCGACAGGGAAACAGAAGCGAACTGCTATGTAAGCTTAGGATGCATCCGTGCGCACTTAAGTGAATATGTCAAGGCTAAAGAATATCAAGAAAAAGCCCTTGCAATCGCAGAAAATATTGGGGACATGAAAACAAAAGCCTTATGCTATGAGAACCTAGGACTTGTCTTTTACTATCTCTGTGAATATTACAAGGCTAAGAAATATCAAGAAAAAGGACTTGCAATCGCAGAAGAAAGTGGCGACCGGCAAACAGAGGTCGCATGCTATGGAGACCTAGGAGGTGTGTTCCTGTCTCTTGGTGAACATGTAAAGGGTAAAGAATACCAAGAAAAAGCACTTGCAACCGCAGGAAAATTGGCGACAAGGAAGCAAAAGCCAAATGCTATCAAAACCTCGGAAACAGTATTCTTCCTGTCGGTGAATATGTCAAGGCTATAGAGTGTCACGAAAAAGCACTTGCAATCGCAGAAGAAATTGGCGATAGGAAAACAAAAGCCGCATGCTATAGACACCTGGGAGTAGTCTTTGAGTCTCTTGGTGAGTATGTCAAGGCTAAAGAGTATCAGGAAAAAGGACTTGCAATCGCAAAAGAAATTGGTGACAAGCACATGGAAGCCCAATGCTATGGATGCCTAGGAGATATCTTTCAATCTCTCGATGAATATGTGAAGGCCAAAGAATATCACGTAAAAGCACTTGCAATCGTAGAAAAAATCGGAGACAGGAAATTAGAAGCCATCTGCTATGTAAACATAGGATTATTCTTTGAGAGCTGCCGGAAATCTGTCCAGGCGACAGAATATTACGAAAAGGCACTTGCAATCGCACAAAACATTGGCGACAAAAACATTGAGGCCGCATGCTATGACCACTTAGGAAAAGTTTTTCGTTTTCTCGGTGAGAGTGCGAGGGCTAAGGACTGTCTCGAAAGAGCGCTCGTATTGTGTAGAGAGGCTGGAGAAATGGAAAGAGAGACAGCGCTTCACTTGTTTATTTCACTTTGCATGATCGAAGACGACAACTTACCTGAAGCTGAATCGCATTTCTTTGCCTGTGTTAAAACAGGAGAGGTTCTCCGAGGTTTTCTGAAAGATCATGACCAGTTTAAGATATCGCTTCTCGACAAGCTCAGTGGATACTACCGAGCGATCGGTCATGGGATCTGCCGTGCGGGATATTCGAAAGAGGGTCTTTACGCAGAGGAGATTGGACGAGCCAGAGCCCTGGCAGACCTAATGACAGTCCAGTACTCTATACAAAACGAAATATCAGTCGAGCCACAGGCATGGGTTGGTATTGAAAGAATTGTGAAGAAAGAACACGATTGGGCCTGTCTTTACATTTCGTACCGGGAAAAAATTATAAATTTGTGGGTTATTAAGGCACACAACCAAATATTTTTCCAGGAAATGAACGTGGATAACTGTTTTGCAACCAAAAGAACAGTAAGCAAAGTGGCTGACTTTTTTTGCACCGAAATCTTTAGAGAGACACATTGCTTAGCTCCAGAGCAGTGCGAGGACCGATCCTGGTTTCCTTCAAACGTTCACTCCAAGCAGACGCACCAGCCATCTCAAGAAAACGGCCTCAAGGGGTGCCGCCCGGTAGAAGAGGATGAAGACGAACAGCAGCCCATCCTTACTCTTGCAGATGGCTACAGAATGATCATCGCTCCTGTAGCCGACTTGCTTGATAAACCAGAAATCGTCATTGTCCCTGATCGCTTGTTTTTCATAGTTCCATTTGCAGCGTTAAAGGACGAAAGAGGAAAGTATCTATCAGAGTCTTTCCGGATTCGCATAGTTCCTTCTTTGACGACACTCAAGCTCATTCAGGACAGTCCAGCAGACTATCACAGTCAGACTGGTGCACTGATAGTGGGAGATCCTGAGGTTGGTGAGGTGTTGTACAAGGGAAATCTTCAGCACGTATCAAGGCTGCCTTTTGCAAGCGAGGAAGCAGAGATGGTCGGAGATTTGCTGGATATACAACCCCTACTAGGAAAGAAAGCAACAAAGGAGACGATACTCCAAAGCATACATTCAGTAAGTCTCATACATTTCGCTGCCCATGGTGATGCGGAAAGAGGAGAAATTGTCCTTGCCCCTCCACCCCTCAATGATAGAAAACCTCAAGAAGAAGACTACTTGCTGACCATGGCAGACATCTCACAAATTCGGCTGCGAGCCAAACTGGTAGTCCTTAGCTGTTGTCACAGTGCACAAGGACAGATCAAAACGGAGGGAGTGGTTGGAATTGCTCGCGCGTTTTTAGGATCTGGTGCACGTTCAGTGTTGGTGGCACTGTGGGCCATACAAGACGAAGCAACAAAGCAGTTCATGGGTCGTTTCTACGAACACCTTGTTCGTGGAGAAAGTGCCAGTGAATCTCTTCACCAAGCCATGAAGTGGATGAGAGAAAACGGATTCTCTGATGTGGAGCAGTGGGCACCTTTTATGCTGGTTGGAGATAATGTAACATTGGATTTTCAAAAGTTACGGTCAGTAGAAACATATTGTTTTTGAGTCGATAAAAGTGGTCGGTTGGGAGTCGAAATACGGGTTTTAATAAATGAAATGATAAGTCAATTGGCCAAGCACAGTGCAGAGATATCAAAGCTTTTGTTTCGTTGCTTGCAGCTCAGTAGATAAAACCAAATTTTTGGGCTTAATATGGAGTTCGCTAAAATACAAAATACAAGTTCACTGCGAAGGAGAGGCTTGTAAAGAGGAAAGGCAGAAAGGCGAGTTGGAATGAGAAAGATCTTTTAACACGGTGTTCTCCCTAAATTTTAGCTCAGCAAGTAAGGGAACATTCATGGCTGGTAAGGCAAAAAAATATGCCCCATAGGTGCAATTTCCTAAGGGGGGGTGGGGGGAGTGGAGTGAGAGACATGGCCTCACCCCAAGAGGAGCTAAGTTCTTAGAAACGCCATTCCCTCATTTTTAAGACCTATTTTACGCAAATCGGCCGTTGATATCTTTACACAACAATTAAAAACGAAGTTGATCCCAATAATTTTATTCTGTACTCACTGTTCTTTTTCGAAAACGCGTGGCCAATAAAAAGAAACGTTTGGTATACTTTAGCAGCGCCAGATCAAGACCTTGAGATAACGGAGGGGGGGCGGTCTCCAAAATTTATTTTCGGCCCTTCGGGCCTCAGTTTGGTCTGAAAATAAGCGGGGGGAGGGGGAGCCGGGCCCCCGGGCCCCTCCCCTGGATCCGCCACTGCTTTAGTACTTTTCCATATATTCATTCATTTCCTTGATTGGATCGGATCACAACTTGCGTATTTTTTAAAACTACTTACTCAATTTTAGTAAACCTTAAAAGCGGTTGCGGGAGGTAAATTTTACCACTTACTGCTTGATAAGAAGAACACTGATTAACAATGTTTTCCTGTCTTTTATCTTTTAGAGAAGCAAGTCATGAAACACACTCTAAATCTCAGATCGAAACCAAGTTAGTGGAGTGACTGGCGAATAAGAACTTTCTTTAGGACAAGCCCTTAGTTGATAAAATGAACAATAACGATTAACTATGATAAATATATCTTTGTGTCTAATTGTGTCTAATTCTGTAAATAACAGTTCTGGCAACATCTTCACCTATCAAATCAGCTAATCAAGATCTATTTGAAACTAAGGGAAGGTGCAGAGTCAAGACGGCGTCGAAGTTTTAAAATGTTTTGAATGAAGGAGTCAGGGCATTAAAAGACGCTTTAGAAAACCAAAACACACGAAAGAGCACATAAAAAAGTAATCTAACAGGTATTTCGTCGAAAATTCATAAACTGGGTGAACTTACGCCATATGCTCTGAACGTTTCAGTAAGTGGAGTTTATTTTTTGCTTCAAAAACGTTATTGCAGATATAAAAGGTATTACAATGTACTACAAAACAAGACAGTAAATATATAAATAAATAAATTACACTACTAGCACCAGTAACAAAAAGAAAATTAATCAGAGAGTGAAACTTGTTAATTCCGTGCCCTTTGGATTAGAATATACATTTATGTACAATTAACTTGCCTTTAACAAAGTCAAAAAACAGGTCAATGTTCGGGGTTTTCTGTTCGAATTTCTGAGTAAAGATGTGTCTCTTTCCCAGGAGAATGAAATAATTGAAAATTAGAGTTCTTTTGTCTTCTGGATTGTAATCATAGAGAAACTGTTAATTTCAGTAAAATTGACTAACATATGGGGAAGTGTTTCCAAAGAGTTACGATGAGCGCCCACTCTAAGCTGTCAAAAGCTTTTTCGAAGTCTATAAAAAGGGCGATGCCTTCTTGATTTTGCTCTGCTATAAAATGTATAAGATCTGATATCACCCGGATATTTTCTCCGATAAACATACCTTCAATATAACCCGTTTGTGCGTCACTTATGATTGCTGGGAGGACTTTTTTCAAGGCAAGAGCTTTGGTGGCAATCTAACTTGTAATCTACATTCAAGAGAGAGATGGGCCGCCTATTCTTGAGCAACGATAAATTTTTAGTGGAGTTTTCGATTTACGGATACGATAAACATGTCAAAATCCCACAACTGTGAGCGTAATTTGTCTCCCATGATATTAACAGGCAATCAAATGGTACACCCGTGAAATTAGGGAATAATTTCACTTGCGTTTTGTCCAAATCGTGATTATTTTCCCGAGCCTTAATTAGAATTTGGACAAACCGCGCGTTATTTCAGGGAATAATTTCACTCGTCACCATTTGATTACAGAAACACTTAACCCCCTGATAAAGCCAGACGAGCCACGTTAGGGGACAACACGTTCTCCTCACCATTTACATGCAGATATTAGGGGCAAAATTTATGTTTCCAGCTCTTACCTTTGCCAAAGTTGTCATCAAAACTGAAACCAGTCGTCCACTGAACGAGACCTGAAATGTTATGCAGCGCAAAAATGGATTACTGCCCTTTAAAACGATACCGTTGCTGCCTCGGTTATCAAGTGGGCTAATCTGGATACTAGTCAAGGGTAGAACACGTGTGCTTTACATGTTAACTAAATCACGTGAACTACGGGTAAAAGAGATCAAAGCGTTTTAGTTATCCCACGAAAATAGCCCCAAAATCTGGTGCCAAATTTGTGAGGTCTTTCTACCAGCAATACATCAAGATTTCCAAAACTCCCCTCCAAATGGATTTTTACGCTGTTTAAACCTATCACGTTAATTTCAGTTTTCGCCATTTTGTTGACAAAATATAACTTAGGAGGGCTTATCTATGCATTAAGGCTTTTATGGAGTATCCTCCTTGCTTAGAATATTTGAAATGAAGAGTGTCTGGACTGAAGATGACAAAAATGAAAGTGGATATGGTATTCATTGTTGAGTGAACAACCTAGTAAGCAGTTGAACCTAAAAAAATGTAGTTCATTCATTTGTTTGTTGATTTGATGAACGAAAACCCCGTAAGACGAACAGATCTAAGCAACAACGGTCATTAGGCACAATATATTTTGTTAAAGCTCTCTAAGGCTTATTATAACAACACAGACACAAGGTAAACAAAGCGAAGATAAATTAAATCTTCCTTTACCTTTCCTGGCGCAGTTTGCAATACCACTTCATAAGTTAACGCTTCAAATGCCTGGGAAAAATTTAAAATACATAAGCAAGTTTTAAACGCGATGGAGATGTGATTAAATACAAAAACAAAGGAGCGTTTCCACATGAAGCCACGGCGGCCGTATTGGAGTTCCAAAACACAGAAACTCTTTTCTTGTTTAAACGCTTTCCTTCATTTCAACAAATTTCGATAGATGCTGACCACGAGCCTGAAAACGGTCTTTAGTTAACATTTTATTAGCAAGCGTGTCCTAGAAAAAATAATAAAACAAACAAATATTTCCTCAAAAAAGAGCACATTAATCGGCAAGGATATAGGTTGACCAACGTGCTAACGCATCTTCTCATGTGGGATCCAGTTTTTGTCGCAACTAGTGAGCCATCCATCTGTTAGCATGGATGTGCATGATCCTGACCAAAGGCGTGAGCAAAAAGAAGGCCTAGCTTTAATACCAGGGCTCGAAATTAAAAAAAATGTCTGGTCGCAAATTTGCGACTAGTTACGAAAATTTGGTCGCAACTTTGAAAATGTTAGTCGCGAAATTAATTGAGGCCATTTAATCAAGAAATAAGTAGGCTTTTAAATGATTAACGCTTTAATTTTCATTTTTTCAACAGCTTTCATGTCATTTCGAGACTTAATAGTACAGAACGTTTAGCGTCTCGGACAACACCAGTTCATCTAAACGATCAAGTTGAACCTGCGTTAAGGCACATAAATTAGTGTCTGTTATTTTAGTCAAAGCGATAGATTTCCAAATCATGAACAGATATTACAGCAGGAAACCGCAGTTCTTAAATGCCTCCAATCTCTGCAAAATAGCAATAACATTTGTACTGGGCGGACATCCGACATGGTTATAGGTTACGTTACGTAACTAAATTCCTTTAGTTTTACCTTTTGCAGGTTTTCCACCGATGACAAAACAAGTAACGAATTCTTTTATACATTAAGCTTTACATCTGAAGTATCAGGGGTGTTACTACAGTGATTATTCAAAGAACCCTGAAGGACTGAATCATTCAATACGACGATACGTGCCATGCGGACATTCCGCCATCTTTGTTTGCTAAATCTCGTTTTCATGTATACGAGTGTATACGTAGATTCATCTCTAGGAAGATTACTGTATCTTGGTTTTGGCTGCTGACTGATTAAACGTGAGAATTCCTCTTGTTTTCTTGAGTATATAACTTTCGCTCGGTCGATTTCTTCGTTTAAAATGTGACCTTTGAAACAATTTAAGTCGCTTTCATCCGACATAATTGACTCACTAAAGAAGAACACATGTGTACTGTGAGGGCCGTAACGCGGGTCATAAACGCGGGAAACGTCCTCAGCAGTCCTCAGCATGCTGGCGGGACTGTCAGCGGCAAATCAAAACGAAATATGAGCCTGCAATGTACATGGTTACAGAACCCGCTGAAAATGGCGTGCTGTTGAAGGAATATCGTTGCGTGTATGCATTCCAGGTAAATTACGGTAAACTTTCAGATTGTAACAAAATTATAAGACGCTACTTCAATGAATCTTTTTATTTCTAAATTTATTTAAGCAAAAATTCAAGTGCTAGTCCTTTTATTTCGTATCAGTTAAGGCAAAACCTAGTCGCAAATTTGCGACTACTCTCGTTTTTCTAGTCGCAAATAAGAAAAATTAAGTCGCAAATGCGACCGTATCGGGCGCAATTTCGAGCCCTGAATACCATGAGTCCAATATTTTGATCGCGGAAAGCGAAAAATGCACCTTTTTAAAAGGTACGTCAAAGTACTTTTTCAAATTCTCAGTTCGATGTGACGGCAAATGGTGGAAGTACGTAAGGAAAGAGAAAAAGATTGAAACATAAATCAATGGTCAGGAAAAGGAGCTTACCTCAAAATAGTGTACAATATTTTGAACTGTACATCCATTGTCATGCGCAGGGGACGCATATTCTCCTATGACCCAAACCTGTCGGGAAGACAAGAAATTCACACAAGTTTGAGTCTTGTTTTCCGACAATATAACTCGAGGTTCTTAACAAATGTGAAAATTGAATGAAATTAGAGTAAAAAATGTGTTTTGTGGAGCAAACAAAACTCCAAAGGAATAGCTCTAGGTGTAAAACGAGAACAGATGAATTTCGTCAACAGGGAGTTGAACTCAACACTTTTCCATTACGAGGCTATAGTTACATTGTACCACGACCTACCACCAGCACTCATGTAGGTCACGTGCCCAGGGCAAATCACATCATAACATGATCAAGTCTACCTTAGTTAACTGGTAGCCAATAATTTCTGGACCTTTCTAAACGAAATGACAAATGGTAAGCACTCCAGACAGGGTTGCTCGATGGATGAATGAAGGGTTTAGTTAAAAAAAGAAAATGTAGTGTTGCGGAAGCGATTACAAATTAATTAAAACAGCTCAATTCATAAAACTAACTGTTTTTGCTCCAAAGATAGCTGCTTGCTTTAACACAGGGTTAACCCTAAACACGGCCTTCAAGAAACTAAACAAAACTTTTAACCCTGCATAGGTTGGCAGTAACCGGTAGACATTCGAGGAACTCGGGCCGAATTGCTTACCACCACATCAATGAAAACAACTCGTCCACCATTTTCCTTATAGTACATCTTACAACACCTAAACGTGTTCAAAAGATGATGTATTCTTCTTACTAAGTGAACAAAAAAGTCTTCTTTGGTTGGTCCTAGGTTTTTCAGGCCGCTTATAAAGTCCATGATATCTTGTTGATACTTGACAATCAGGTTTGGATATTTCTGACAAAGTTGAACCAACCTCTCCGATAATAATCTAAAAAATACAACAAACATTTTTCCAACAGTAAGAAAAAATAAACTGACCAACAGCTTTTTTCCTGTCGCGGTTAAGCTAGCCCGCGGGCAACCTCTGCATTTGGGAGAGTCGCGAGAATTCACGCGAGAGCCGCACGCAAAAGGAGACGCGAGTAAGCTAGCTCGCATGTTCCCTCGTGGCTTACTTTGCCATAATTGGAGAGCTTGTTCGCAGGTTATGGTTAAGCTTGAGGTTTAACCAACTTTACACAACACCACAGTAAAACAATAAAGCCTGTAATAAAACCCGTGTTTTAGACCCTAACTAATTAAGAACCTGATAGGCTACAATTTGGGGATTTGGACCCCCAATTTATGTGACCCTGTTGAGCCTTTACGTCATGCATGTTCTTTTATAATTTGGAAAACCAGGAAACTAAAAAACAATAGTCAGACGAGTTTAATTCAGTTAAACCTCAGAGGACATTGATAAGGATGTTTGTTTGCTCAGAGCTTGATTGTATTATACATAATGAAAAGTTAATTATTATTAAAGAAGGGAAGACAACCATTTTGTCTTCGGCAAAAACATAAATCTGTTTTACCTGTTCACACCTGGGATCACTGACACTCGAAATCCTATGGTGTTGCCATTCAAATGAAACCTCTTCAGCAGTACTTTCACATGGTTCTATTTATTTAGTATGCTGTTCTAACTTTTGAGTCTGTGGATGAAATTCTATGGTGTTACCATTCAAATGAAACCTCTTCAGCAGTACTTTTACATGGTACTATTTATTTAGTATGTAGTACTAACTTTTGAGTCTGTGGATGAAATTCTATGGTTTGACCATTCAAATGAAACCTCTTTAGCAGTACTTTCACATGGTACTATTTATTTAGTATGTTGTTCTAACTTTTGAGTCAGTAGATGAAATCCTATGGTGTTACCATTCAAATGAAACGTCTTTGGCAGAATGTTGGTGTAGTACTGGTTATTTCTTTGGATTTTCCAAAAAGTAATATAAATATTTTAGTGAATTTTTCCTTGGCAGCACCATTATGTGTGATAGGGTTAAAACCTAATCAACCTACATTCTTCTTAGACACACTACAATTTTTAAAACCTTGTGAGGCTAAGACAGAAAGTATTGGATGTTAAACACGGGTTTTTACTGAAGTCAAAGACGTCATGGACCCACAGCCACAAAGGTTGGGAGCAAACACAAGATTACTCCCGCTATTGTACATACTCGTGAATCTCTTGTTGGTAGTGTTGTACGGGATACAGTAGTCCTACTCTCTCCAGTATAACGGGTACCATGCGACTTACAGTCTCCTCATCGGCTTCTTCAAGAACGGTGGAAAACATAACGCTGAAACAAACGGGACAAAAATAAGTTCATATGGTGGCAGGGATTTACGGTATGGTATTGGTTAAGTGTAATAGTAATGGGTGTAACGACTGGCTTCATTCACTTCTAAACAAGTGCTGACTACGTTGAAAACGTTATCTCAATAGGACTATTGCACGATGACGTCATTTTACTACAACTACCATAATCCTTGAGTTTGTTGTTTTCTTGTGCAAATTAAGGTTGTTGTTCTTTAATCCTCAGCGGGATTGACAAATTTAAATAACAAAGCAAAACCGAAATGAATTCTGGTAGTTGTTGTCAAACATCGTCATCGTGCAATTGTCCTATTGAGGTAAATTACAAGGAGGCACTGGTGTGCTGTGTCGTGGTGGTGGTAAAGGCGAGTCTCGGTTTAAGGAAGTTTTGACCTGCAAACGATTCCGGGTGAACAACGAACTGAATGGTCCGTGATTAGACGGGGATGAGGGATAAGATCAAAAAAAGAAAGCATTTTTTTCACCAAATCCCTCTTCGAGAGCTTGCTCGAGGATTACGAACTGAAAGGAAAATAGAACGGTGGCAACTTCATGTCGCTTTTGGGTAACTAAGGGAGCTGGAGACGGAAAGCAAACGCATCACGCCAAAACTTTGCGGTAAACTAAGTAAAGAAGGTAAATAGAATAGAATGACATTACTTTCACTCAAACTTTGATCAGAAGTTCAAAAGTGGATATAAACATATTGCAAATGACACGAGACTGAGGACCGAGGAGATGTGCTTGGTGAACTGTTCATTTACGCTTTTGAGTATATTCTTGGTTTGCAAACACGTGACAACGCAGCCATTTTGGCTGACAAAACCATACATTTTTTCACAGAATTTGAAAGTAAAAAAGAGTTTATTTCCTTAGAGTTTAAGAGCTCAGCAGAGGTTCTTGTCAACCAATACAGCTCCATGACAGCTGCAAACTAGTAATTCGCATGAAATTTGCGCCAAACGAAACTGACTCTCGCTACTACTTACTTTAACAGGACTGGAGCAATTTGTGCAGACACGACAACACGAGGGAGTTCCAGCCTGTCCTCTAATAGAGAATGGAGAGTTGGGAGTCTGAAAACATGAAATGTAAAGTAGAACGATCTCCAATTAAATTAGTTTTCTTGATAAAGAAACGCAATTTTGCTGCATGAGCCTATGCATGATAGCCAATCAAAAGATTCGTACCACAGAAAAATCATGCAAAATAACTTCTCTTAAGAAATGATATCAACAGAACAGAAAAAAAGAAACTTGGAGAAATTTTGGCCACCCAGGCCAAAATTTTCCCCGAATTCGCACATGTGTGTCTGCTCGCAGCCTAAAGAAATACAATGACTACAGTTTTCTACAAAAGCCAAGACATTACCAGTTAAGAAAATCAAGGCAGTGAAAACTATGATGAGCTCCAGAATGGCAGAATAATCGCGAGGTAAAAGCAATTGGTTCATTCTCTTTTTTATCGTGGAAAGGATTACGCACTGAAAACACCCTAAACAAGAAACTGAATAACCCTCCACACGACGGAAGGGGCGATGTTTAAACGACATTTAAACGTGATTTAGCCTGTCTTTAAACGACACATATCGGTTAACAAATTATCTGGCTGAAAGGAGACAGTAGTCTAACCGTCATGAGGTTTAGTGCAGTAACTTGTGAACATATGCAGAGAGAAAGAAGGGACGGAGAGAGAAAGAAGACGACAAACCCTGTGTGACAAGCGTGACATAACTATTTTTGAAATAATTTGCGTCAAACTTCACCTTGGTTAAAAAAGGATCTTTCGCTAAGGACCCTAAGACAGTATTTTAAAGTAAAGATCACGGCAAAACTCGTAAGTAACAGCCCTGTTACGTTTTTCACACTTCCTGTTCTTTCTGCCGTCCTGTTGCGTTTGCTTACTAGTATCGCGCCTTTGGAATTTTATCAGAGGACTAGTTTAACGTTCCTTACTTGTCTATAGTATCCCCTTGTCCTGCTTCAGGCCTCATAATAAAGCTGAACAGAGGTCTGTACTTTGGCTCCAGAAATGCATCAGCTGAGGACTGCAGACCCAAACTCACCTTGTCTCCACTACTTGTTTTTCCTGGTAACGAGAAGTTTAAAGTCAGGTAACAAAGATTACGTTTAAGCTACAGTAAGCCGGGCAACAAAAAAACTTGCAACTTGTTTTGCAACATTGCTGCAAAACGAGTTAAATAGCGATGTTGCGCGTTTTACCACCCACGAAAAAAAACCCTTGCAACCTTATTTGTTGCAAGACAGATTAAAACGTGGGTGGAAAACGCGCAACAACGCTATTCAACTCGTTTCGCGGTGATGTTGCAAAACAAGTTGCACGTGTCTTGTTGCCCACTTTACCGTACCTTTAGAGAACATCAAAACCTAAAACTACAACTACCCGGATGTTGAAATGTTTGAAAGCGCTCTCTACCAGATAATTCACTACCCAGAAGATAACTTATTAAACGAAATGCGCTCAGATCCGCTGGACAGGGATTTCTCTAGTGGATAGCGTTACCACCTTTTGTTTTGCACAAATAAGGCCAGGCACCAGTTGTTCAAAAGTTAAATAGAGCTATCCACCGGATACAGCGGATAAATTTTAGGGAAATCAATTGCGTTATCCACTGGATAGAGATTTATCCGGCGAATAGCGTTAGACAGCGTTGTTCCCTTATAAACAACTGGGACCAGAAGCTTTTTTTACAACAGATATTTTTGAAACAATTGTTATTCATTAATGTTCAAGAAAAATTATTTAAAGTACTACGGAAATTCCTTCTGTTTAGAATTTACCTCACCTTTAACAGCCCATGAAGTGCACAAAGCTGCCGCCAGGCACGGCAGGTCAAGTAGGGTATGAAACATCTAAAAACACACGAACAAAAAACGATTTTTTTTCCTTGAGTGATGTAAAACCAACCCAAAGTTGTTACAACACATTTAGAACTCAAAAACACGAAGCATAATTTAAACTAGACCCAGTAAACGCCTTCAGCATTTCCCAAGCCCGGGAAACGCGTGTTGTCTATAGGTTTGCGTCACTCACTGATGCCGCGTTCATGCCGGCAATCTACGTCAATTATGAAGAGACTGGTCCATAGCCTCAGATTTCACGACGCCACACTTGGTTTCCCCGCGAAATGACGTCTGAGGAACGACTGCAGAAATTCCATGCTGATGACGTGTCACTATCCAGATCTGGGTAGTGCTTCTGATTGGTCGTGCCACGACCAACCAATCAGAAGCCCAAGCCAGATTTGAGTAGTGACACGTCATCAGTACAAAATTTCTACAGTCATTTCGCAGGTAAACTAGTGATGGCGCCGCAAAATGTTCCCGGCTGTTTTTTTAACGCTATCTGGTCCACGGCTCGGCAGTTAGTGCAAGTGCAATCACTCACTGTCAACTTTGCACGCAGCTCTTCATGCATATGTGTTTTATAACTAAACGAAATAAATGGGACTAATCGTGCTAGTAAGGCTCAAAACTTTATTTCCTCTAAAACGTTATTTAACTACTTTATACTTACAACCCCCATTCCCTCTGTACAATTCTTAACAGTCTCGTGTTACAAATACTTGAGCTAGCTCAAGAAAAGATAGGTAAAAAATAGACACCATAAATTTAACGACTGAGAACGTAACTACTGTCCGTTGTATGATCAATGACAGGCTTAGCTTCTAACTTAAAAGTATAAAAATCGATGATAGGGTATTGCTGAAAGAAGACACTACAATTAACACGATACACTTCGTTTCATTTTTGTTTTTCTTAAAAGAAGGTTCACCAACAACTTTAGGAGAATGTTCTACGGCAACATCTGCATGATCATCAAAACTTGCTCAGGCAAACTCTTCAGTTCGGGGAACACATCATATTCAGCGTCGTAAGGGTCATCATCAGAATCTGAATCCGTGTAATCAAAAGCATCGCCAGCCTCCTCAGCTGATACAGGCAAACTCTTCAGTTCGGTGAACAAATCGGGGAACAAATCATATTCAGCATCGTCAGTGTCATCATCATCATCATTATCTGTATCCGAATCCGTGTAATCAGAAACATCACTAGCTGACTCCTCTTGTACTCTGGACGGTTCCGCACCACAATCAGCGAGATCTGTAGATTTGGAAATTGAGAGTTGCTCCAAGAGAGACGCGAGTTCGGCAACGGAATATGCAGCCAATAACATTTCCTGCTTGTGGTTCGTTGTCTCTTCAAATAAATGTTCGTTTACAGAAGCGAACGGAAGGGGACGTTTACCGCTCATCATCTTTTTAACATTAACTGGCTCTTGCTGAACAGCTTTCCTCTTCTTTGACAGTCCAAAAGAGCTGGATGAAACAGGCTTTATTTTCGCTTCTGATGACTGCACACTCCACCTTTCGACATTTGCATCAAATTGTCGTTGTTTTCTAAACTTCTTTTTCTTGCGGCGGCGGGCATCTTTCCTTGAGCTCCAACTTTCTGATACCTTACCCTGTTTGCGTTCTGCAACGTTTGCATACCGTCGCATCTTTACAGTTGGGTTAACTAGCCCATTTCCCACGGACGCATTGGCAGTATCGGCGTGATTTCTTTTACTTGCGCTGACTGGTGTAATTTCTTTAACCGTATTTTTGCAGTGAGCGTCCTTTCCTCTTAACGCTCCAGATTTCTTCAGGTCTGTCATACGGTCTTTGGTTATTTGCTGACAAAAATCTTTCTCACAGGCACCAAGCGGGGCAAAGTCACGACTTTTCCGTTCACTTCTTGTATTGGGATAAGTAGATAGTTGACTTTCAAGAAAAATGTTTTTTGGAGAACACTCTTCATATGACAGGGGAGCGGAAATCACCGAAAATCCTTTCCAGGTCTTCACTGGAAGAGGAAAGTGGTTTTTTTTCTTCCTGCTCTGGACACACACAATATAGTCCTTTCCTTTTATAAATCCTTCAAACAGATGTCCTTCGTCCCATACGAGTGAATTTTTGTCCGCGTGATACTCGCAAAATACATCAAACTCCTGCTGAATCTTTCTCGCCATGCTTTCCACTGCTTTCACAACACTTAACACAACACAACGAAACAACATGACGATAACAGTCACTTGGAATAAACAACTCAAAACAAATCTCTGTATTTCCATCTTTGACGCTAACCGTCTCAAGCCATCTGAGGAGAGCTGTCTTTTCTCTAGCAAATCGTCGTCTATGACGATTTTCTGTTTCGTTTGTTGCGTCATGCAAAGAACAGCTCGCGGCTCATAAATTCGATCGCGCGCGCTAGTTTGCTAGTAACCCAGGATTAGTGCAAAATTTGAATTCAGACTTGAAAGCTTAAAAAGCATATTCAGTTAAATTCTCTTTATCTACAATATGATGATTGGATGATCTTAAAGGAATAGAGAAAATTACCGAGAAAATGCTTTCGAATAATAGGCAAAGAAACCCGGCTTAAAATTTAACCTCGGGTTAGCGCGAATCGGCCTTCGAACAACTGGGCCCAGGCCGAATATTAGCGGTAATTCCCGACCAGTAATTACTTACATGGTTCGCACTAACTTACTATTGCCCACCTGAATATTTATTTACCAAATGGAGCGAAGAAAAGCTGACCGAAGGTGGCGATTTGTTAAAAAATTACTGAGTTTAAGAAGTGAATTCGAACATTCGCCTGTTTAGAGTTAACGTATAAAAGGGAAGTACTGAATAAGCTTTGTAGCATCTCAAATGTGACAAATGGAAAATCTCAGGTTATCCGTGAACAAGGAATTTTTAGTTATATTCAAGGACTGCTTGTTCTTTCTTAATTGAAACATTGTTAAATTTTATTGCATGGTTAATATCCGTTTTCTGCTTAGGCGTACAAAGCTTTATTCAGTTTTATTTCCTTTACGTCAGAAAGCACACATTGGGACAGTGTTTTCCTAAACACGTTAACTCAGTTGTAAGGAGTCTCTCACACCGTAAGGAGCTAGCGGAGAACTTAAGAGATTTCGACTTGTTACGTCTGCAGAAGATTGAATTTAATTTGCAGAAGGTTGGCGCGAAAAATGGTTCGTGAAGTAAGTTTGACAGCCATTTGACTACCCTGGGTGCCAGAGGCTTTTCAAACGCGGTTTCCGGTTTCGGTCAAGCCTTCGGCCGAACACGTGTCGGACCTGAGGCGGACGAAACGGCGTAGGTGTCACTTGGACGCGCGTACTCGATGGAAAAGCAAACGGTTGCTCGCAGGGGTTCCTCTCCCTTCTTAGCGTAGCGTCCAGCCTGGAGAAACCACTGCTCGCAGGGTAGTGATGGTGTTGATAAAAAACTGAACACAATGTAATACCTCTATCACAGTGTCCTTGTTCAACATGGCGGGTAACATGTCCATAAACTCTTTGACATACGTCCGTGGATGCCACGCCAGTATCTGAAAACACATTAAACAGAAAACAAATGTCCAGAAGTAACCATGTATTCAAAAAACAGATTGATTACAAGCAGAAACCAATAAAGGACAGAGAGCGCGCAATACTAAGATGCAGTCGGTATTAGGTGAGTCGAGTTAAGTACGTAAAAAATTCACACTTAAAGGAGCTACGTCATGAATTTTAACAAAATTCTAACAGTAGCAACTGCCACCAAATTGAGTGAAACATAAAAATAACCGCTCCAAAAATTAAAAGAAGTCCTAAATTTAAAATAACACACAGCAAAGACAAATTTAGGTCTGGATGAACAAACTTGAAGAAGATTAAAACGGATTGAAATTATGGGTTTTAATGAATAAATAGAAACAGATATTTGGGAGTAAGTCTCGAACTTTATCGGTCGTTCTCAGTGCATGTATACTTTTATAGCCACATTTTAAGATTCAACAGGAAACTGATGAACTAGTTTGTATTAGATGCATGCTAAACTCACCTTTAACAAATTTGGATAGTATTTTGAAAGAATAGTGGTTGAAAAGCACAGTTTCTCCAAGTTTTCCACACAAAAGAAAATAATATCAAAAGCAAGGGAAGTGCTATAAAGAGAGAGAAAAGAACTTTATTAAAGTGTCAATGTTTCTAACATGAAATTACTAAATGAGGAAACTGCTTTTGTGTCTTCTTCTGAAGACGGGACGGCCTTTTGTATGTGATCATCCGAGCCACGCGAAGGTACAGTACCGAAGTATCGATGTCGCAAAAAAAAACTGCTCTTTAACACACCAATACACGTATTTTTTTTTTTGAGAACGGAAATATGAATGTGACCAAGCGTGGTCAAGATGGCCAAGATGACCAAGTTCGTTAAACCTAGATTAAATAAATATAAAAAGGAATAAATACACAACGGACTTTTTATCTGATTTGCGAGACAAACGCGGGAAACCCCGATCATGTAAGATAGGTCCATCGTGTCCCCTCGAGAAACCGACCAGAGCACAAGATTAATTTTGCTACACTACACTGAAAATTAAAAAGATCTGTTTCAGCTCCAAAGTGCCAATCCAGCACCGCTGCAGGCCAAAGTCTGATTCAGCCCCTTCTGGAGCCATTTGAGCACACTGATTAAGGCCAAAACAGCTCAATCAAAAGGCTACTCCAGCCAACGCTTAAGGCCCATTTCAGCGCTTGGTACCAAATCAGCCCTAGCTAATTGCACTTTATTGGCCCTGATTTAAGGGAGCCAAATTAGACTCAAATATAGGACTGCATTTTACTCACCGAAACGGTCCCAATTTTAGGGCTAAAACAGATCTTTCTGTTTTACAGTGTAAAGTTTTGAACTAATCTTTCATTGGCGAAGCAAAGCTTTCTCTCGATGATTGCTACATAACTACATGCACAAAATCTCCTGGCCACACAATTACTATTATTCTTTAAATACAGGTTAGCCAACTTTGAGAGCTAATTGCTAGATTTGCGAAATGACAAGTGACAATAAAAATAAATAATTACATACTTAGAGTAATATGAACTCAGCACAGGACCGAGCAATGTCTTACAGGCAGGTTCAGGGTCGGACATAACTGTTTCACCTGCAAATCAATGAATCATTGATCAGTAACCTATGGAAAACTCTGTTACAAGCTAATGTGGAGAAAATATCGTCAGACTGACATGTTCACAGTCAGAGTTTTTAACGTAAGTATACACGTGGGATCAGAGAAGAGCAAGACAAAGTTAGACATTCTAGTCCTAGAAGTATGCAGGATGTTTGTCACATGAACCTACAATCCTCGCCACAAATCTTGAAACACGTGTGTGATTTTTCCCTCCCCAATGTTGATTTGGGTTTGCAGTCATTTCAATACTCCAAAATACACTTGGTTCAACATTGGGGAAGGAGAGCGGTACATTTGAGTGAGAACAAAGGTGTGAAGAGTGAATGTAAGAAATTTGGAGAAAATTCAAGACAAATGGCTCCTGTTTCAACGATTTGTGACGAGTATTGTAGTTTAGTGGCCTAGAATCTCCCACAAGTCCCCTGTGGCTCAGTGGTAGAGCATCTGGACTAGTAATTAGAAAGCCATAGGTTCGACACGGGAGCACTCGGTTTTTTTCTTCCGAACCGCCTGTGTCGCTGACGGAAAAGCATTCTTCTGACGGAAAAGTTCTGTTCATGAGGATTCTTCTCAAAGGGTTAATTCTTGGGTGTTAAAGGATATATTCCATACATAATCTTCTTTAATATAATTATTATTGTATACAGTATGAAACTTTGGAATACTGTAGTTCTGTTCATACTTGTAAAAAAGGGATCTTCCTAAAAACAGCATTAAAAACAATTTAGAAAGAAGAAGGAATCATAAGGGTTATACAATTCTTGGGTGTTAAAGGATATATTCCATTTACTTAAATAATCAATGTTTGAGAACCGACTTCTGCTATGAAAGAGTAGCTGAATAGTACGCTATATAAAATCTCTGCTTCAGCTTTTATTATTATTATTATTCCATTATTATTATACTTCTTTCCTCTCGTGGGACAAGTCGTCGATCCGATTTGCTCTAACTTCGTTGTGCTCTGCATAGATGGGAATATCCCAAAAAAGGCTGGTTTTGGCATCACCGGTGAGTACCATGGTGGAACTTCCATTAACCCAAGGAGCAAAAAACAGAATCTTCAAACCATTATGCCAAATTTTCCAGGGAGGAACATCCAGCCAGAATGCAACGTCTCAGACCTTCCCACATAACCTGCATAGAATGTTCGTAGGTAACAACTGCTCATACAGTTCATACATGCCCGCGATGGTATGTGTAGGGCATGTAGCCCAACCTTTTAACCATGCAAAGCAGCTTATTATTATTATTATTATTATTATTATTATTATTATTATTATTATTATTATTATTATTATTATATGGATCTGACACAAAGTCAGAGAATCCCAAAAAAGCATACAACTCTAATGACCATCAAATTTTCCGACAGAATAGTCTGATTTTCAGATGTTCCAAGGTCTCTCACTGTAAAGGGAGTTTAATCAAGCGACCTCAGTACATCTCATGATCAAGCTATAGATAGAACCAAGTAAAGTGTCTGCATCAGGGGTGTCCACATTGCTGGTAAAAATCGTTTTCGGGTTAAAGCAGAATTTCCTTTGTCTTGTATAGATAATTAGGGCCAAGAAACAAAGAAAACTCTGAATAAAATTATTGTGAATACTGGTTTAACCTGAGAATGGTTTTTACCAGAAGCAGTTAACCCCGCTTCTGTTTTTCCCTTTACTTCCATATTACACATTTACAACTGTATGAAGTTTTGTATCTTTAGGATGAACAGAACTGTCAAAAACAGAGAGGTGTTGAAAAGAGAGCACTGGAAATTTAACTATGTATTTAGCATTATACATGACTTAGTAAATGTACTAAATAAATGGCTAGCTCAGCAACTAAGTTAATAAACTAAAATCAAGAGACGAAGGCTTCTTACAGGGAGCTGTTGACCTTGGCCAGGGTTGATGATTTTCTTTGAGAACAAGCAAGAAAACGTTTAGCTCCAAACCAAATAAACTGGCAAAATAATAATAACTGAAGCAAAAGCCAATGTTCTACAGTATACTCACCATGATTGAGAAAAAATTGAACGAGAGGGATTAGGACCCGCTTCCATTTACTGTCAGAGGTGACTCGAGCATACATTCTTCTGATGATCTCGATAAGTTTAGGTACTAAGGACTTGTCTGTGGAGCACAGAGTATCCAAGATGTAGATAGCTTCAACAAGACACTGAAAAAATAAATCCTGATTAAAAACATTTGTTAAAAAATTAAAATCGGCATTGATGACAATAGAGGGAAGCAAAGTGATTATAACCCTTACAGATTCTACAGCATCCACTGTTTATTAATTATTAAGAATAAAAAGGGAGCCTCTTATAAACGTATCTTGTTTAGCTGCTGTTGCCTCAACATCCAGCGTGCAAAGAAAGTAGTGTCCGATAGCCTGCGGCTAGTGGATTTTGCTATCGAGCTAGTGAATTCTGTTCTTAACTTGCCCGAAGGGCAAGTGACATTTTTTGAGGAATACAATTTACAGAAGAACTGTAAAATCAATTCTGCTCATCAAAACATTTTTTGGGCTAGTTGAAATGACGTTTGGGCTAAGTTTATGCTAGCTTCAGCTTGGCCGAATGGCAAGCTGTAAAAATGACTTTCTTTGCACCCTGAACACCATAGCAATGTAAAACAATGTCAAATATTAATTGTTTATGTTTAAAAACTTACAGCCTCAATTAAGATGGCATCTTGTTGTTTACTTGGTTCTGTGAAAAAATGACACCATTAATATAAAGACTTGTGCATTTGAGGGTGACTGGTTAGCTACAATAAATGTAAAAAAGATGTTTTAAAGGCCTATCAGATGACTTAAAAGCTGTGTCTATAAATTTAACCTAAGCCTAATTCATGAATAATTAGGGCTAGTAGACATACAGCTGTAGGAAATTGAGAATCAACATAGGTTAAAAAATTTTAACCTGAATTTAATTTTAACCTGTAACATCTCCTTGTCCCTTGAATTATTATTTTATTGTTCAAACAAACCTGCAGGCATAACTAGCTACAAAAGCCACCCTAAGACTGAAATTTTATTTTAACAAAATTGTGTAAATTAATAAGAGAGCATTAGTTGATCCTGTCCCAAGCAGCCTGGGGGATAATAAAATACATACACTGAGATTTGTTGGGTTTTACTTTTATTGTTGGTAAAGATTTCAGCTTAGCTTTGAGGAAAGTCTGAGACTTTTTCACATGCCGTGCAAACTTACTTCTTTCGCTTTGTTCCAGCAGTCTCAAGCAGTACTCACAAGCTCTCTCCTTCAGCTCCTGTTGCCCAGTTTTCGCACCATGTAGGCTTGATGGAAACAGTTTAGAGAAACTTAACATAGAATGACTTCTCAGACTCTTTGGCATTTTCAATGACTTAATCTTGGCTCCAGTCTCCTCAGCATCAAGAGGAAAACTCAATGGAGTCTCTGGCCTGGACTCACTGTCACTGGACAATGATTCCTTATCAGATTTGTCAGGTGATCTTCCTAAATATGGAGATTGGGACAAAGACTGGTTGCCTATCTCTTGCGGAGAAGAACGCAAAACAGGGATAGTAAACCCTGCAGATGATTGTGACCCAATGGAAACATTATCCATGCTTGACTGGATGTCATGAGAAGATGAATCAGATAAATGAGTGAATTGGCTAAGATTCTCTGCAGAACCAGGATTTGAGGGACTTGTAAAAATCAGTGGTGAATGGGGACTCCTTGGTGAAGAAGATGCTGCTGTTATACTTGTAAATGAAAGGTGTTGGAGCCAAGATCTGAGCATGGAAAAGCTGCGGATGTTCAAAACTTGATCGGGAAAAAAGTACTGGGCTGTGAAATAAAACAAGGGAGAATAATCAGTGGAAATGTATCACCCACCTCTTGAAGCCAACCTAGGCCTCCTGAATATCAAATGTGAAATTAATAATTAGTAAGGTAAAACAGCTTGAAAATAGTCAAGATTCACATATCCATGCCAGATCACTTACCAATACTTAAAACAGTGAAGAAATATCTTGATGATGTTCCATCTACTTCGGCAACTAGCTGATACTGTAACAAAAAAAAAAATATATTATTAACTAATAGGTACCGGTAACCACACACTAGTTATCCTGTGTAGTGCATACATAGCTGCACATCTCAGTGTGACCCAACACAGATAGAGCGACTTTACAGCTTTAGGATGATATGATTGGTGACTTGAAAGGGTTGTACTGGAAGAGATTATTGTTCTGGAATGAGAATACCTAGTATTTTTCGTTACGTGTAGATTTAAGGAAATATTTTACAGTCAAACAAGGTGAGGCATAGCCAAATTGATTACCTATATTTGAATGCTGCATACCAGTATTAAAATTATGAGTCATTGCTACTACTGCTAGTATGAAATTCAAATCTGTATTTTTGGCACATGCATAATGAGCATTGAATTTTAGACTACAAGTTCCTACATCTGGTCAGACTTCTGAATGGGATGTTCAAAACTCTAATCAAGACATTTATATTATTCAATTAATGCAGAAAGCTCAGCCAATTTTAATTGCAATTACCTCAGATTTTTTGTAAATACGGATGTGTCTAGTACCTTTCAACTGTCATCAATAGTCTACTAGTCAACACCACTATGGAAACAATTCTATATGAACCTTCAAATTGGACCTTCACAGCATTTCCCAGTGGCTTGCATATCAATGGACTCCCAATCTGGAAGTCTTAGGTTTAAGTCTTACTCTGATCGCTAGAACAGATTGTTTCTTGCCAGTCCCAAGTTTAACTAAAGGTATGATAAAAGAAGCAACAAAACCGTCCAAATTGTTTTGCAACATTCCTGCAGAATGAGTTGAAAAGCAATGCTAAGCATTTTGCCACCTCGGAATCAAATCTGAATTGCAACAAACGTACAGGTAGTTGCAGGTTAAGTGAAAAATTGTGGCAGACAGTAGAGAGTAGTTCTACTTTTTGCAATTAAATCTGAGCATGTCGGTTGCACCCATGCAACCTTCTTTAATTACAGCAAGTGATATAACTCCCATGTATGGAGTGACTTCCACATAATTTTATCCAATCAGAAGTCAGTATTCACACAACTTGCAACAACCTGATTTAAAGCAGGGGCACTCTGGTGGTGGGGCGGGAAAAGGAAAGAGAGCTTGCAAATACATCTCTGGAATTTGAATATCTGCATCTAGAAAGTTGATGCAAAATGCTGATTGGCCGAGATGACATTAGTAATGATGTCATAACCTTTGGCAAGTTTAAGTTCACACCCGTTTTCACTTCGGGCTGATTGGTGGAAATCTGACAGCTCTCTGACAGGGAGCCACGGGGGGATTGGAGGTGGAATTCAAATTCCAGAGACAGAGATGTACTTGCAAGCTCTCCTTCCTTTTCCCACCCCGCCGCCAGAGAACCCTGGAAAGCTGCTTGCTCACAGGATATTAAGTGCAATATAGTTTATAGTTTTCTAAAGTAAAGAGACTTAACTCCTTACCCCCTTACTCTTGCCTCCTCCAAATAACTGTCTCTGATGGGGATTGGGTGCTGACACTGTGCTTGCATTTTTTAGCCAGTTAGCCATCTGCCGACTAACTCCACCAGCATCATCTACACAAAGATCATTTGGTGCAAAATAATGTGTCTGTAATGTTACTGAATTAGGGCTATCTGAATTAACTGTGCAACAATGGATGGAATCAGGGTTGTCAGAAAGTTTTGAAGTAGACGGCTGAGTTGTCAAAGTAAGTGGTTAGTCCAGGGATATTTTATTTAAAAATGGCCATCCATAAAGAAATGCCAAGCAGAGTAGCTGGCTGATACTAACCAAGTAGGTGGCGATTTTCGCTGGCAGCCGGCTACTTTTGACAACCCTGGGAATTTTAGTGAGGATATTTTCTTAAGGGTAAAATTGTTATGGCAAGAGTTCCATGCTGCTAATAGTAGTTACACTGTAAGACAATAAATCCATATTATGACAGCACAGTATTTACATGATCTCATTGCATTTAGCAAAGCTGCTTTTCATAAACCCAAGTAACTGATGTGACATCAATAGACCCTTCCGTGGTTGATAAAAACCAGTTAGCAAATTTCCATTGACACTGCTGGGAAGAACGCCTTAAAATTAGGAAACCTACCAAGTTAAAAGTGACCAAATTAGAAGTGAGTGAAGATATTGTTCCACAAAGTTGAGAAACGTTTTTGAGTAGCTCTATTAATTTGTTAGTTTTCAACAAATCACGTTCAAACTTGGCATCTTTACTAATTTTAAGGCAGGTATCAGCCACTTACTGGTCCCAAGCAAAAGTTGAAAAACCGTGGAAGGTTTAAATACCTTGTGATATTATGTTATCATCCACGTGCATCAGCAACTGCAAAGACCCAAGTGATAGTGTCTGTAGCTCCACAGGAACCCCAGGTTTCGTCAACCACCTGAAGAACCAAATGATCCTCAGGTCTTTTATAGGAAGACATAGTCAGAAACAAAAAGACTGTACAGACCATACTATACATAATGCAGACCTAGAGATTCATTAAATTACCTTACTCAATATTTTTACAAAGAAATAATTGCCAAACAAATGGCTGGTATAATCATTACGGTAATCATAATTATGTATATAATAATCAATATAATACGTACATGAATGAGTAAACTAAAGAGAAATGTAGATTTAATGAATGAATTTCAAAATAATGATAATTCCTAAATTCTGATGATGAAAAGCCAAACTTTTGTTCTGAAAATGAGTTTTATTTGCATGGGAATGAAATCATTTGCATATCAATGGCTTTGGAACAGAGGCTTAAGTGTGGCAACTCAGAAACACAGGTCTACCTAGTACATGTATATAATCATAATTACAGACTAATATTACGTACTGAACAAGTTGTGGGGCATGCTTTGACCAGTAGCCTCTATCTTGACCCTGAAAATAAATAAAATAATTAAATAAATAAAAGACCAAAGTGGTGCAATGTTCAAGGGGTAGTAGAGGGGAGTTGCAACATCAGAAGGAGTCAAGGGCCCAATGAGAAATATCACTGTATGAAAGGGAAGTTGAAAGCAAGATAAAATTTGTCTCGGTAAAGTTATGCAGATTTTCGGTAAAAAAGAAAGCGAGTTGAGTATTGTTTGACCTTTGCATCAGCGAGACAAAAATGTTGTCTTGCTCGCTGTGCTGCGATCATTCAATTCACGTGGTACAAGCCACTTAATGGCCTAAATCACGATGGAAATTTCGCACTGCATGCCAGGCAAAAAAATTTTGCTACGGTAAGTTCCCGCTTTCATTGCAAGAAATATTAAAAACAGACTGCTTTTCTCATTATTTCTAAAACTACTTTTGACATATTGTTAACATATTGTGCCAAAAGTACATTGTATTTAATCTGCAACATTCCTGCATGGCTTCTTCAGTACAGATAGTTTTGTGATAGTGGGTGCAAGCGAGAGATAAAGTGGCATCATTTTAGCAGTGTTTTAGAATATTTGACTATGCAACCATTATGTAGCACACAATTTTCAAATTGGCTTCCTATGCTCCATGGATTTGTGAACACTGTAGGATTGATGCATGCATAAGCACTGTGCCACCATGCAACCAAAAAAGTGAAGTCACACAGTGCTACATGACCGCGAATCGGTTCATAAGGATTTGCTTGTTGTTACTCTTTCATGTACATGTATATTGAGTGTGTGATTTATTTTAATTACCTGGTACATACAAATTACAAAATAAAGTTGAAACTAACATGTTTCACTTTATGAGAGCAAATTCCACCTGCAAAATTAACCTGGGTGGAGAGACACAATACAGTGCCTTGCTTTGCTTAAATAAAGGAAACAACAACAAAAAAAAGAGATGAACACTTCCAAATCTATCAAATAACAACACCTCTGTAAAACAATCAAGTGATGCTGTGAAAAAAATGACAAAGATCAAAACACCAGTTTATTAAAAGCAAAAGCACAACCATACCTACCTGTACCCAAGATAGCGGTAGGATTATTGGAATACACCTCTGTTCTATGGGTGGATCCAAACTTGCAATAACAAGCTGGCTGGTGGGAGTTATCTCACGTAAGATGGCAGCACACAGAAGACGCAACCTTTTAGAGCCTTGCTCAGGTTCACTGGCAACATTTTTCAGTTCATCAACCAATTGAGTTGGTAAACTGGCATAAATGGAAAGAGTAACTAATTAAGTACATCATAGAAATGAGTGTGCAAATTGAATGTGTGTTGTTGGTTTTGTTGCTGTTTTTGCACTGAATTGATCATGGAAGCCTTCTCAGGGCTGTCATTAAGAGCCGGGAGCCAGGGATTTCCCCCAGCTACCATGAATGTGCCCTAGGCTACTTTCATTGGAAAATAGAAGAAAAATGGAACCAAAATAAATCCCTAGCTGTTTTCCCCAGCTACTATTTGAATAATGTGACAACCCCGGCACAGGTAACATAAATTTCTTAATTTTGGAAAATAGAAAATAAATGGAACCAAAATAAATCAGATTTAGCTTTGGAAAGAAATTTCATTCCCTGGCCTGTTTGTCCTACCCCTTCCCTTGATTCTACGTGGCTCGCTAAAGGAATGGCCTTCACCTCACCAGAGAGTGATCTGGACTCCTCCCTGGATGGTCAACTTATTTCGTCAGCCTGAAAAGGGACTTCCTGTTTTCCTTTATCCAGAGGTCGCTACAAACAATCTTTTCCAATCTGACTCTCATCCCCTCTTCAAACAATCAGGGTATTTTTTAAAGGTGGGCTCTGACTGAATCTTGAACAAGTTTTTTGAAAAAAAAGATGGTTAACCCTAACCCTAACCCTCCCCACCCACCACCACCACCAAGGTATGGTAGGTTTCTTAACAGGTGGTTTACATTTTTCCTCAGAGACGGGCTCTGACAAAAACATATGGCTTTGGATTCCAACCATCTTAACGAGCGTAGGGCATGTGTGCAAGTAAAAACTGGAACATCCCCTCATTAGGCCCCTATCACTGGTTTCCTAGTTTGATTCATCATTAGCGAACTTCTCTTCGACAATTTCTTTGTTACATCTGTTGCACAGCAATAGATGCTAAGGCCGGACGAACGGTTCATGATCAGGTCAGCTGATGCATGGTGATTATACTGTAACAATAATGCTGGTCTGGTTCTTTTCTTCTACGCTATTAAACCGTGTATCATTCATTTAAGGCAACATACCTTCTTCTCTGTCTTGTTGCTGCTAATAACAAAAACAATCGCCTTAAAACATTTGTACACTCGAAACCACGATCACGACTTTGTAAAATTCTCAAAACTTTGGTGCAGAAGTCCTTGAACTCTGGTTCCTGTAAAAGCCTGAGGATAAGAAGAATACCCCATATAATTTTAGAGATCTTGAAGTACACGAAAACCCAGGCTTAAATGGAGAAGTGCTTGTTTACCTGGCTTGCTTTATCACTGTTGAAGGATCAGCTGAATGATCCGCCATTTTAAAAACATGATATTGAAATGCACGATACACTTTATAAGTACATATATGACGTAGTTAGTGAAAACTGAAACTTGAGTGCTCGATCTTGTGCACTCCTGGATCGGCGATAAAAATCCTAAATGTTATCTAAAAAGAAGACAAAAACATTTTTCCGTTAGGATCCGTAATACAATTGTTGATTTACTTGTAATTCATCATACTGACCGGTCACCTTCCCTACAGGGGAAGGATTTTTTTGGGTCTGACATTTTGGCCAAAAGGGATTTTTTTGGGTCTATGAAAGACGCCGCGATTTTTTTGGGTCGCGAAAACAACAGAGGGATTTTTTGGGGTATTGTATTTTTCATCAGCTCAAATCAAAAATAACATAAGCGCAATTTATAGTTTTGTTTTTGACCAAAACCAAAGTTGAAGTTGGCATGTTTTAGCTTTCCAGAAGATAAATAATAAAATTTGCTGATGTAAAAACACTGAGGGATTTTTTTGGGTATGTTAAAAAAAGTAAAAATTTTTTTGGGTAGACAAATTCTGAAGTTGGGATTTTTTTGGGTATTAAATATGAACCTCTGTCGGACCCCCCCGTCATTAAAATATGTGAGTGGGGCCCCTGGGTCCCTAGGTCTTCGAATTCCCAGCCTTGCATCCTGGCCCACCACCCCGTCTGTAACGTGTCCGGGGAGGGCGTTTTCCCCTTTTTTTTGTTTTATCTTTCTTTCAGCACCTTAGCTATTTTTAGTGAGGCGGAAAAAAGGTTTTAGTCTTCTTGAAGAAGCTACACGGCTCCACCTCCCAGATATCAAGGGATTCAACTTCTTGATTGATTATTTGGTTGTGTGATTATAAAGAACTGAGAAAAAGCTCAAGGCGTCAAAAATTTTGTCTAACAGTAGCCCAGAGTCTACTTAGTTTTTCCTCGACTCGATATAAAGTGATGTTGAGGTGCAGAGCCCTTCTTGAGAGTATGACAATTACGATCTAAGGATCTTTTTTAGTTAGAAATCTTCATACGGCTAATCGGTTTTCTTGGTTAGAAGACGTGATAAAAAGTGTTACCCAGTGTTACTCTTTTTAATTTTTATTTAGAGATGTAAACCGCGTGCGGATGCAAATGACTCGGAGACTCTGCCGGTCGATTATTTAACAGAATCTTACTTCAGTTACTTAGAACGCGGTTTAAGAAATCTTTGGGCGTACAGATCTCTTCCTAAGTGGGTTATTTTAAGAAGAAAAACGCTTTTCTAGTCTACGCTATATGGTATCATGAACCTGCTCGCGATAAAAAGTGTTCAGGTAAAAAGGTTAAGAAAACTAAAAATAGCTTAGAACGCTGTTTTGTTAAATAACCAGGGCCCCTCTGTGTGTTTATAAAAGTAGTTTATTCACTATAAGGACTGCTTGGGTCATGGCTAACAATTTTGTTTCCCTCTATTCTCACTCCCCCTACCTCTCTTGTTTTTATTTCATGTCACCAATTGAAAAGCTTTACAATCAACACAATAAAATACCAACGTATTATTTCTCTTTAACACTACATGTGTATAGTTTGATAGATAATAGGGCTGAGATCGGACATCAGTGTTTAATTTGACAAGAAAAGCGCGAGTGTTGAGGAAACGAAATTTTTATCCATTTTAGTTTCGAAAATGAATTTTTTTTTTCATTTTCAGATTTGTTCCACAAGCATTAGGTGAAATCGGTCACCGAAAAAGTATCTTTTCAAAGACTTTCTCGAGAATAGGGATTTTTGAACATGCCGTTAAATTTCCATATTGTCTTGTGAAAGGAATCAGTGACACACGTTGGCGGGTGACTTTTGAAAACGAACTTCTGTCATATTTAAACAATTAGAATAGTGACGGAACAAGAATTAAATTTAATTCCCTCAGTTCACTTTCTATCACTTTATGCGTAGGATTGGAGCACTGAAATCCGCTGAGCTGCTCATGCCAAGGAACATTTAATACTGAGTGATGATGGATCAGTCTTTTTTTCTGAAAAAGTTGAATATTTTAAAAGTAAGCACGGATGATTTGTCTTAGTGAAGTCTTTCTTTTAATAGTTCTGTTTCTCAACTTCCATAAAATATTTTCTGGTATTTTCAGTAATTGCAGTGTGCTGGGTGAGACCTACACCTCTGATATATCTCGCAAAAAACCTGGGAGCTGTATATTGACAGCGATCCTCAAGCATTATTCCGCCTTCTTTAGCATCAGTGAAACGAAATCCTTGATTAAATTGAAACCAGCCTTTAAAAAGGCTCCCTGACATGTGGGTAGCTACATTTTCTTGGAGTTCCTTCACAGTCAGTTGAATTTCAAACTTGCTGGAGATTCCTAACACGCGCATCTCTTCGTGCATGTCAAACTGAACTGTTTTACGTCCATCTTTGTCTCGCGACCTGATAATGTTAGTCACGCCAACGCTAAAATTAAGAGGTAAACAAAGAGCATAACTTGTAAATGACTGATACTGCATGGAGTTATATTGTAGCACGGCAAGGCTTGCAGTAGCACGACTTGGTTTTAAACGTCGCGCTATTGCCGTGCTGAAGTCGAATTTAATTCGATGGATTGAGTTCGATACGGTCGTAACGGGCCTAAGGCCCGTATGTTTAGCTCTCGCCTAATCTGCAGAATATCACCAAAAGACATCCTAGCCTGATATCAATTAAAGGAGTGAAACGGTCTCAATAAGAAATGTTTCTTTTACAATAAATTGTATTTTTTTTTTAATTATTAGCTTTTCACTCGTGTAATATATGGCACTTGTGGCTTGTAATATCAATTGTCGTAATCACTGTTTTCTGAAAGCGCATCTTTATTGTTTGATTGTATTGTTTATCATTGAAAACATCGCGTGACTTAAAGTTATGAGAAGTCACGCTATGGACAAGTTTTCCGTTTAAAAAGCTTAAAGAAATCCTTTAGTTTTGTTGCGAAGAGATTTAAGCTGCTTTTAAATTTCGATCTAAGATCTGCTATATGCGAAAATCATGTTTATAAATATACTCCCCGAAACAAAATCATCTACATCGAATCATCCAGACCCTGAGATAAGGGGGGCCTGGTCATAAAAAAATTGTTTTCGGCCCTTCGGGCGTTTAAGGTTTGTAATGTAAGAGCCCTTGCACCGATAGAAGTGACTAACTAAACGAGGAGCAAAAGCACCAGACTTCCCACAAACAGTCGACCTCACAAATTAAAGTGAGCGGAGGGAGCTTTTTAGGTTTTTGTAAGCGAGCGGAGCGAGCTTATCTGACGAAGGGACTTAAAGTCTACCAAAGCAACCTTTATCCGGGCTAAATTATTTTTTTATGCACCTGTTGGATAAACTGGACACATAGCTATAGTACCTGGCAAATAAATTTGCAGCGACAAAAGTTCTAACTAAATGATCGCATGGAGGATTTAGTTTGAAGTTGACGTTCAAAAAAGTCGGCACACCACCGCCGTGAAAGTTTTCCGACAGATTTATTCAAATCGCGAAAAGTTCTGTAAAGCTCTCCTCAGCCGCTGTCAATTTCAAGTCCTAAACAAAATGCCTATTTTAACTGAATTTTGCGCCCTATGAGATTCACACTGATACCGCGTAGCTAGCGAAAAGATTGTGTTTCTGCAAGTTTTCTTTGACAAGAAAAACATGCTCGTAGGGTGAGGCAGGGAGGCTTGAGGCGCTTGACACGGAAAATAGTCGACATTTCGCGACCCCATCACAGGCGTTATTTCGCGGGAAACCGAACCTCGTCCCCATGGCGCTTTTCCCTGGCTCTAGAGGAAAGCACCCTGGGGACGAGGTTGCGGGAAACCCGGTGATGCTGTTGCGAAATGTCGGCTGTTTTCTGAGGGTACCGAAGAAGCTGAAAACATCTATAGCTAAAAATTCAACAAGATAACACTTTACTCACCCATTTTTGAAAAAATCTTTACAAACATGATGACTCAATGTTTGTTCTTTTATAACACCTGATATTTTTAGTGAAAGAATACGTACTTTGATATTATCTTCGGCTGAAGAGAGGATTAAGCGTTTAAAACTGTTGTACAACACTAGACTTGCCTACAAGTCGAGCTAAAAGAAACTGTCAGAGAAAAGTGAATAACGATACAAAACTTCTTAGGAGTTCTTTGTTTCAACTTCCATGAAATATTTTCTGGTGTTTTCCATAATGTCTTTGTGCTGGGCGAGTGCTATAGGTGCGATGTATCTTATAGCAGTCTTGGCAGATGTATACTGACAGCGCTCTTCAAGCATCATTCCACCTTCTTTTGCATCGGAGAAACGAAACTCTTGATCGAATTGAAGCCAACCGTGAAACTGGGTGGTTGACATGTGGGTAGCTTCATTTTCTTGCATTTCTTTCACAGTCATGGGTACTTCAGCATGGACCTTGCTGGGGTATCCAAAAAAGGGGCCTGGCACCTCCTCATGCAAGTTAAACTGAACTGTTTTTCGTCCATCCTTGTCTTGCGATCTAATGATGTTGGTTATGCCCACGCTAAAATAGAAAAGGGAGCTTAAACAACGTCTTTTTTGAGCGGTGCACGTCAACTGGAAGTGGCCTTTTTGTCAATCTTGGGGCGTGATTTTGACCACATTTTCAGGCAATTCGTCTCAGATAAAAACAGCCTTCCAAAATCTCCGACAGAACTTGAAAAAGTCGGGTTGACTTTTTCAGGTTTGTTTTCATTGGCTTGTGCATGCGCCAGGGGTGACATAGCCACTTTAAGAATTCAAATTTGGTAACGCCAAGGCATATTAAAAGGGAAAATTCTTCACTTCCGACTGACGCGCTTCGGTCTGAAACGTCTTCCTTACTGGCTCCCTAAAAACGCGGTCAGAACGAAACTTGTAGATGTCAGTTAACATAGGGTTGTATTTCCCTTGGAAATAAAACAGCATGTAATGCATCAGTCATTTGAACCTCCCATCCACCCTCCCCGCACCCCAATTGGGGGATACCCGGTGTATTCACCTTTATTCCTCTGCCATCCTCACGCACGAGTAATTTGGGGAACTACTTGAACGTGTATCCTTCGTCATGCATTGTATAGCGAAGCCGCGAAAAAAGGTGTATTCCTCGACTACCGGGAAACCTAAACTGAATGAAAACGAGGTGATAACCCCCGGTTTGCCCCGGGTATCCACCAACGGGGTGGGGTGGCGGGGGGGTTTGGCTCAAATGATTGGTGCATAATTAGCTCTGGAATAATCCGACGCAAATCACAAAAGGACAGCTCAACATTATTTTAAACTGAAATGCCTTAAAAGTAACGTTTAGTAATTTTGCTCTAAGCTATGATATAAAAACTTTGTTACTTTAAATTTATTGTCAAAACATCGCGTGACCTATTAAATGATGGGATTTGTCACGCCGAAAAGACAACTTCATTGTAGATGCAAAATAATTTGAAATGAAAAGCCCTAGAATTAGGTTCAATGGAGATTATAGTTGATACATTTATATTTCGATTTAAGATCTGTTCACAAAACTACAAAAAAACCATCGTGTGACTGGCTGATGGCTGTTGGTAACCTTTGTCCTCCATGCCAAATGGCACGCACGATTCGCTTTATAGTTTAAAGTTAGCAGACGTTTTTACGTATAATATGCTGTACTTTCCCGTTGTAAGCGAGACATTAAAAGCTTAATGCCCAGAAAAAAAAACTCTCACAAAAGCTCTTTTTTATGCGGGAATCAAACTTAAACTACCGTTGACATTTCGTTTCAAAGTCTTGTTTACATTTTTATGTAGGCGTAAAATTATGCACATCACGGTAGATAAGACAAATTAACAGAGGATGACTGCGTATAATTTGCAGGTGCCTTTGAGTCTGACACCAGACTGAAGGTTTTAGTTCACGATTAGGAGTTGGGGTTCAAGTTCAGGAGGTACGTCATACAAACTTAATTTTGCTTACCAGTTGGGGTGCACTTTCAACCAAAATTCTGGTTCATCAAAAAACTTTCGGTAAACATCAGAGCGCTTTGCCGGTATGTGCTTGGTTAGTGTAAAAGCGAAAGTTTCCATTTGCAGTTCCCTGTGAATAAAATAGCCGAGAATAGCCACCAAACACGCAACCACGATGAACTTTACCGACGCCATCACGAATCAAGACCACCTTTTGACAACAAACCATTTTATCGATGACGTCATTCAAAGCCAACTACAAATGGCATTGACAATTCATTTTATTCAAATTTTTTTTATTGAGTGTACTTTAGTATGCGTTATGGGAATTTTATCCTGGGTAACTTAAAAATTATAATGTGTTTTCAAGTTCTTAATCTATTCACCACTAGGCTGGAGAGAAAGCTCCATGAATTCTTGTTTAGTATTTTCAAGTATAGCAGAGTGTGCTGCACGTGCTTCGCTTAAAACAATTCTTGCAAGAATACGAGGTGCTGTATATGATGCATGGTCTTCCAGCAGAGTTCCACCTTCAGAATCCGACATGTGGAATTCTTGATTGATTTGAAATATTCCATTCATCAAAGAGGCTGTAGTTTGGGTAGCAGTGATCTTCTCTTTCTCCTTAGTCGTAACTTGAAATGTAATGTTGCCAGTGTCATAGAATCCAAATAGTACTGCCTTCTCGTGGATATCGAACTGAACAACTCTTCGTCCTTCATTGTCTTTGAATCTGACAATGTTGCTAACACCAGTGCTGCAATACAACGTAGAGTAAAGACGTTTAGGGAATCAATTAAGCAATAATTAAAGCCCACAGTTTTCACATTAAAAAGAAACATAACACTTAACAGGTTGCCTAGCAAAAATTCTTCAAGGTATAACGTGTGCGGTCACGCATTTCAAATTCGGGTCACTGAAATTTTGTTCTTGTGTCAAACTCGCACCTGAACCGTGGCTTTTGAAAACCACTGGGCACAAGTACTCGAAAGATACCTCGCGATTGTGAAAATACGTACCATAATGGATGGATTTTAACGTAAAATTCGGGATCGTCGAACAATTTCTGGAACACATCAGACCGCTTGGCTGGTATATGAATCTTCTTAACAAGACCGAGCGTGCTAACTTGCAGCTCCCTGTAGGTAAAGTATCCAACAACCGCCACTAAACATGACAACAAAAATAACTTTGCAGCCGCCATAATCTCAGTAACGGTCTCCACGCAGATTCTTTATCTCGCCCTACTTGCCTACAAGTGACCTCTCCGCTGACGTCCTTTGGGGATCGTTCGTCACGCATTCATCTTCCCTCTTCGTGGGGGAGAAATGAATGCGTGACGAACGAACCCAAAGGACGTCTGCGGGGAGGCTAGCCGACAAGTCGAGCTCAAATTTTTTCACGAGCGCGAAGCGCGAGCGGTAGATTTTTTATGGTTTCTGCGGCAAAAGCGAGCGAGAGAGCCACGGACCTGGAAATGAGAAGCGAAGGACGGACGGAGCCTACTGAGGGCCATGAAAGGTGTCAACTTGTCCACTTTTTTGAATGCAAGATTTCAAGTTGTCGAGATTTCAAGATGTCGAGATGTGTAGTACAGTACGTCGAGATGTTGAATAGAGGAGTTCACGCTCTTAGTTGCATCATGGGTAATCAGGGTAAGATGGCGGAACTATTGGAAGATTTGTATTGGAATTCAAAGCCAGCTAATTCTCCTGAATTCAGAGTTATGCCAAATTTGATGCTTTCATCTTTGGAGAAAAGTGATGTAACCTGAGATCAGGCGAGTTCGAGAGGGAAAAAAAAAAAAAACAATTTAACACTAAATTTGGATTTACCGTTTGCTTGAAAGACATCCGTGAATCAAATTTTGGCGCGAATAATGTCTCTTTTGAAATCATGATCAGTTTTGTTTTTGTGATGAAATACTGCTAGCTGGAGCTGTCGTACCTTTGTGAATAGCTACAAATAATAAAGAATTTACTGGTTAAAGCTCGTTGACTTTTCTGTACTACGAAAAGTGGAAAAAAAATTTGATACTATTTCACGAACTTGTTTGAAAGCGAAGACAGAAAATGCATGATTTTTGAAGGAGGAAAAAGTCAAACCAGGTCAAGATTCCATTCATGAATTGATTATTTGAAAAGTGAACCCGTTTGTCGCTTCTGTAACTCTTGGGACAAATTGCATTCAAATGATCGGTGTTTTGACTGCAACCTATACGATGAGAAAAAAATTTCAATGGATGGTTATTTAGGCATTCAAAATTCAAGAAAACTGGGGGGGCAGAAAATAACGAAGGTGTATTCACTGCTTATTACGGCAAAAATGCAGACGTCAACAACAATAACGGATGGCGTCATTTTGGCCAATCGGAACAGCGCAAATCATATATCCTGATGTGATTGTACGATAAATCAGTTGACACCAGGCCTTGCTCATGTTATCTTCTTGAATAATTAAACTGTATATCCTTGAATGTATACTTGGCCTCCACTCTTCGTTTCGCCTCCGATAATCGCACAGACGTTGCATTCTCAAATGAACTTACCGATTCACTCTTTCCTTAATTTGAGACTGCAGTGTTAGCGTTCTTTTTAAACAAGTCAACAACTCGACAATTCAACATGTCGACATCTTGACCTGCACATCTCGACAACTTGAAATCTTGACTTGAAAAGTGGACAAGTCGACAATTGCCTGGCCCCTTAGGGGGTTCCGTAGAAATGAGTTTACCGCAACACCTCGTGAAACTGTGATGAGGGGAAGCAATATAGAATCCAGCCAATAAGCAAAATATGGTAACAAAAAATAAAACAAAAAGCGGCGGTTAATCGATCATTTACGGTAAGGTAGACCAAGATGACGAAATTACAAACCCCAAAAGTCCAATAAGCTACTTGTTAGAGGTATTTTTAACTCCGATGAACGTCTTTTACAAAATGATGTAGTAAATTTATTCTCAAAGATAAACTTTATTAACGAAGAGAACGAAATTACATTGTTACAAAAAAAACAAACCAAAAAAAAAACCGATCCAGATAACGCTTTCCGAGTCATTATTTAGCTGTGTTGACACGTTTTAATATTGTTACCGTTTATAAGAAAAGAAAAGGAAACTAAACCTTTTAAGTGGTAATTTGCCATACATGCCGATATTTCAGGGGATATTTTTCTTGAGTTACTAAAGATGCATTTAGACGAAGCAAGCCTGTCGTACTTACTTAAAATAACGCCGCAGCGCTTATTAGAAATTTATTATTTGCGGATAACACACTGTTGTGCTTAATCTTTATTTCTTTACAATGATGAAAATAGCACGAGACGAACGTTACAGGGATTTTGTCTTGTTTAAAAAGTTCAGTTATGCTCCTTTCCAGATCAATTAGAGACTATACTAACAGCGATACTCTGATATCACCCGTATTAGCACATGTCAGCTTAAGCAAGGACGACGGCGACGGCAACGAGAACGGCAAAAAAGCAACAGGTTTTATTGGCAAAACAACAACTTTGCACGTGCATCACGCTTTTTTGTGCATTTCTTTGCCGTCGTTGCACGACTACGACGTGAAATTTCCTAATTTCACGTTTTATGGAGGACCGGAACGCAGACAACGACCCTCTTTTTGTTTTCCGGAACTTTGATCCAGTCCTTTAAAATTCAACTCCTAAAAAATTCGCCAACGTTTGACGAATTGAACGAGATGGAACAAGCGCGATTAAGTTTGAAGCAGCGCGAACACACTTTTAAACTGACGTTTTCTGAGCCGTCGCCGTCGTTGTTGCTTAAGCTCCCTAATAACCCAAGGGGTTAACAGCCAAGGGGTTTGGGAAGAGCGGATCGTTCCGCTTTTCCAGCCAGAATTTTATTTGTGATCTCAGGTTAGGCTAGAGCTAGCTGGAGCTCAAGGCATTCACTTTGTCTCATTTTCCAGCAAAATACTCCTTTCTTTTCTGTTACAACGTTCGGTTTTCTACAGCGACACTCGTTATAAGATGGGAGAATAAAAACCAAACACGGACGAGGACAAAGATGGCAAGTTCAAAATGCGGGTAACAGGGCATTTATTGTCGCAGTGTACTTTTACTGGCAATGGCGGATCCAGATCTTCAGATAAGGAGGGGGAGGGGGTGGTGGGGGCGGTCATCCAGACCCTGAGATAATTAAGGGGGGCTTGGTCTTAAAAAATTTTTCTTCGGCCCTTCGGGCGATCTAGGTTTGTAAGGGCCCTTGCATTGACAGAAGTGACAAACTAAACGAGGTCTGCAGTAGCACTAGTCTTCCCACAAGTCGACCTCACGAGTTAAAGTGAGCGGAGCTAGCTTTATACGTTTTTGTAAACGAGAGGAGCAAGCTTATCTGACGAAGGGACTTAAAGTCTACAAAAGCAACCTTTGCCCGGGCTAAATTGTGCAAACACATTTTTTTATGCACCTGTTGGATAAATGGACAAATAGCTACAGTACCTGGAAAATAAATTTGCTGCGTTCTAACTAAATGACCGCATCGAGGATTCAGTTTGAATTTGACGTTCAATATACTCGGCACACCACCGCGGTGGAAGTTTTCTGACGGATTTACTCAAATCGCGAAAAGTTCTGTAAAGCTCTCGCAACCGCTGTCGTTTCAAGTCCTAAACAAAATGCCTATTTTAACTGAATTTTGCGCTCTATGAGATTCACACTGATTCCGCGTAGCTAGCGAACCGATTGTGTTTCTGCAAGTTTTCTTTGACAAGAAAAATATGCTCGTACGGCGAGGCAGGGAGTTTTGAGGCGCTTGACACGGAAAATAGCCGACATTTGGCGACCCCATGACAGGCTTTATTTCGCGGGAAACCCAACCTCGTCCCCAGGGCTTTTCCCTTAAAAAATTAAGGGAAAAGCCCTGGGGACGAAGTTGCGGGAAACCCGGTGATGCTGTCGCGAAATGTCGGCTGTTTTCTCAGGGTACCGAAGAAGCTGGAAACATCCATAGCTAAAAATTCTACAAGATAACACTTTGCTCACCCATTTTTGAAAAACCTTTACAAACATGATGACTCAATGTTTGTTCTTTTATTACAATTGATATTTTTAGTGCAAAAAATGCGTATTTTGATGATATCTTCGGCTGAAGAGTGGATTTAGCGTTTAAAACGTTCGTACAACACTACACTTGCTTTCAAGTCGAGCTCAATTTTTTTCACGAGCGCGAAGCGCGAGCGGTAGACTGATTTTTTGTGTCAGTCTGCAGCAAAAGCGCTAGAGTGGGAGCTGGGGCCAACTATTAGTTTCCCTTCTGATTGTCAACAAAAGAAAAGAAACTGTCAGAAAAAGGTGAATCACGATACAAAATTTCTTAGGAGTTCTTTGTTTCAACTTTTAGGAAATATTTTCTGGTGTTTTCCATAATGTCTTTGTGCTAGGCGAGTGCCTTTGCCCGCTAGCCAACCTAGTCCCCAGGACCCTTTTCCCTGGCTCTTTCCAAAACCAGGGAAAAGCGCCCTGGGGACGAGGTTGCCTCCCGATAGAAACCATAGGATTTTGTCGACTTTTAAAAGATCGTTCTCTAAAAAAATGGGAAACAAACAGAGCTCACACATTATCCACTCGCTAGGAGGTGAATATTATTGAATACTCCGAGGTAGCGAACCAATCAGATTGCTTAACTCACCAAGATCACTGAGTGTGTATATAATTTGGATTGTAAATTGTCTCATCAGCCTATATAAACAACAACAACAACAAAAACAAACAAACAAGCAAACCAAAAAAACGTGGTTACAGTCCATTTGTATAAACCCGAACTAAAACAGCTTCCAGCCCTGACATGCTACTTCCTCACATCAATGAAAAGTTCTTCTGCAAGTCTGGTAGGGCTGAATGAAAAACCCGACAGATGGATTTCATGTCTTTTGCTTCTTTTTTTATTACCTTGTAGTGAAGAAACTTGCGGGCATCTTTTCCTTCTTGAGCTTTGCACTTCGAGCTTTTTTAATTCCTTTTCCATAACGGAGAAGAAACCTGCTGCTTCAGAAACGCCAGCGACAAAGTCTTTCAGTGCAGAGATCAACGTTCCAATTACTTTTCTTGCAGCTTCTTCTTGAACCCCCGCCAAACTATTTTGTCGTGTTGCCTCTTGAATATCGGACGCCGCAGAACAAGCTAGTGAGGTGTTGCTATCAGGTTCACAAACGGAACAAATGCGAGTCCTAAGGCCCAGCCTTGTTTGGTACGTGCAGTGTCTTCAAGCTCTCTTTTTTTCTTTCATATGCTCTTTTAAGATCCTCCAATTCAGTTACGACAAGCCATTCATTTTCTACATTTCATGGCTGCTGCTCCGGAATACGCGGTGAAGCTATCCCCTTCTCCATGAAGATATCGCATAGAAACCGGCAGAAAACGATCGCAAATTTACTGACATATGATGAATACGATCAAAAAAGCTTACCTACTGCAACTCTAGTAGACTTTTCGATGTCTCCCATTTGTGTATCGAAAACGAAAAAAGCGCTCTGTCTTATTAGTAGCCCCTGAAGGAAACTGCGCGTACTGTCTGTACAGGTACTTTTGCTGAAAATATTAGGTCACTAAAAAGTTTACTGAATATTGCTTTAAGATTCGATCGTTAACCTCAAAAGCCACTAGAATACTAACACATTCTTCGTAAGTTGTTGCTTACCATTATCAAAAGTAAGCGAATTTTTTTATTAGTCACGATTGAAAATCTTAAGAAAATCATTCATATTTACAATGGTTTAAATAAAGGCCAAGCACCTCCACCGGGAAGATGGGTAAGGCTCCATTCTGGCAATGCTGTGACTCGTACTCATAAAGGGCGATTTTTTTAGAAAGGAAGCTTACTATTGGTCTCCCATTTCGAAAAAAAAAGACTCATTGTATATTGTTGAAGGACTAAAGGCGGATTTTCTGCTTTAGATGGATATTTAGCATAGTGATTATAAACGCCAGCTACAGTTCTGTTAAACAACTGAAATTTAATCCAGGTCTGTAAATGAGTTTTACGCCAAGAATCTAGACCGCGAGTCTAACACAAGACTCTAAGGATAAAAAACAAAGAAACAAACAAAACTGAAACAACAACAACAACAAAATATGAACAACCCTCTAAATTAAATGTATCAAAAGCTTGGCTTTATTTTGCACGGTTAATACACTGTTGAGTTGATTAGTTGAGTTGTTTGCAAAACTGAAATCTATATAAGAAGATGTATTTTCGGTGCATTTGACTACACACGTCTTCTAAGATCAAGATCGATCTTGCACATGTAACTCACTTGGAGTTTTTACTTTGCTACACATTACATAAGCTATACTTAGGTATTTAGAGGTTGAACATCCACTGTGTTAATTATTTGTTACACTCGGCTGGTTAGAAAGGTTAACTATAGCATTACTGCAGTAGTGTCATTTTTATAGCCACTGTCAATTTTGACTTCGACTTGTAACAGGAGGTAGTCTCTGTCAGTTAGGGCTTTCAGTAATTTTAGAGCAAGCGAGGAAGCGACACATTTCTCTTGGATTGTTTTCTTCTGCTGCTCCAGCCATTTGTCGACATAATTCTGGTCTGTTCCCTCAGTGGGAATAGCAAAAAAGTCGGTCCTAACGTCTGGGAGGACTGCATAAAAGCCTTGGCAGATGGACTTCATGTCTTTTGCTTGTTTGTTCATCACTTTGTAGTAAAGCTTTTTGGGTTCGTTCTTGGCTTTTTCAGCTTTGCCTTCAAACTTGTGCAATTCTTGTTCCATTACGGAGAAGAATCCTGCTGTATTTCTGAGGCCATCTATGAATGCTTCAAGTGCAGGGATTAGTATCTTAGCGACTGTAATTGAAGCAGCTTCTGCAATTTCAGCTTGCTTGCTCTTAGCAATGGACTCTACCAGATTTGTACTTGCACTTGCTTGCAACAAGGGGACTGCAACAAAGTTTACTCCTGGAACAAAAAAAAGTGCATGTGCCCATTTAAGTCTGTCCATTGCTATTCCCTCCAGCTCTTTACTCTGCTTCTCGTATGTTTCTGTAAGATCTTTAAACTCATCGATCATGGTCATTGCGGTGTCTCTTCTCTTCTTGAGAGGCACCATGAAGTCCTCATACATCTTCACTAATGCTTCACAAAGTTTTCTGTAGCCAGTGGTCTCTTCAAGGATGTCTGCAATCACGTCACACCATTCTTCAAAATTCAGTACTTCATAATACTCAAAGTATTCACTTATGCAAGATACAAACTTGGTGGAAAGTGGGAGGATGCCTTTGATATATACCATGGCGTCGTTTCTTGTCTCGTCACGAAGGGTCCTGAATCTTTTTGCGAGTTCATCGTTGGTGCCGACAGCTTTATCTGCATAAAGGGACCTCATGGTAAGGGAGAAGATACGCATGACTTTGGGCATTTCCCTCATACTGGCGTCAAGTTTCTTTAGTTCTTTTTCTACCTTTTTTTCGTTGTCTCCCATCTGTGTTTTAGAAACGTAGGCGGATTAGTAGGCTTCATGACGTTAAACTACTATTCACAGAAATTATCTAAGTAAGTACGGCACCCGTACTTATTGAAAAGCCGAGCCACATATGGTTATAGGTGGGAATCCTATTCTTTTATTTATCACGTCACAGTGCTTATAAGTTAGAGTTTAACTAATGGCCCGGTTGTATGTCGCAGGTGCGGGTTGGAAGTCGCGGATGCGGGTCGAAAGCCGCGGGTACGAGTTTCGATGTCGCGGATGGAAAAATAACTTTGCGTAACATTCAAGTTAGAGTTCGAGGTGACTGAGTAAAAATGACTGATAATCTACAGATAATAAACTCTAAGAGACTAAAAAGAATCCTCCTTTTGAGAACCAAGAACGAGAAGTCCAAAGACTACTGCAAAGCTGATTCAGAACAACGTGTATTGTTTTTAGAACATATCAGCCTCCTTCAGGTTTACAGATGTTACCCATGAACTTTGTCAAAAGGGGAACCGTCCTGAAGTTGAATTTCAAGTGACCATATTCAAGCTCAGAAAGAGAAATAAAATTTCGTCGTTGCTTGTTTACGTGCATGTACTAAAAAAGCGTGATGACGTCAAAGTTGTTGTTTTGCTTATGAAACCGTTCTCTTTCGTTCGCGTCTTAAAGTGACTTTCAAAATGGCGAGCAAAGTGTTCATCGCAGAGACGGATAAAAATTTCCATTTTATCACGGAAAGACTGTTCCGATTTCTTGGATTTGAAGATTTTAAGGTGGCTGCTGTCTCCTGTCATAGAAAACTAGACTTGAGTAACATTTTGGGGTGAAATGTCCATCGTCGAGCAAATTTTACGAGCAATCATACCGACCGGTCACAATTTTGAGGGCCAGTGCACAGCAAGATTGAGGGGTGTAGACACAGCAATCGGATGTTCATCAAAGGATGTATCATACTTTACACTGTGCGTATTTTCAGCTCTTCAGAGTTAGTGGAACCCCAAATCGTTCCTCTCAAAGTTCGCTTAGCTGTAGCGTTGAAAGAAGAAGCTATAAAATGACAGGTATTTGTGAGAGACTGTGAGCATTGAATCTTATTGCTTTACCGCATTTTAATACTGTTTTGGGCATCCACCTGTAATTTTGTTATTAAATCCCGAAAACCAACAAAATGTTTCGTTTAATTATTTTTTGGGGGCAAGCCCAGTGGAGATTTTAGGGTACTGATAATATTGATGGTTAAGACGTGTACAAAAGGCAAGTTATTCGCCAGGGGGTCACGGGTGGGTGTTGGGTGTAAATAAGTACAGTTTGTGGTGTACTGTGTGTTGTTTGTCATGATGTCAACTAACTTGGAAAAATTAATTCAGCTATTTCAGAGGAGGGACTTGTCTCGACAGCTTATGGTTTTTATCTGGTCGTAAGCTTGGCCAGTATGCAGATCAAGAACTTTTGAAATCTCTTTTCCAAAATAAGACTCCGGACTTAAGCTTAAAATATGTATTGATCCAAGTGCATGACCAGCAGGGTCAGCAGTAAAAATAAAGAAAAGGGCCAAAAGGAAAAATAGTGTTAAAAAAAAGAGACCAAACAGGGAAAAAAAATGGTACAAAGAAACAGAAAACAGCGTCGCCCGGTTTATCTGCACGTGCAAGAACTCCTTGACCACTGCACCACAGTGACTTACATGAGTTGAACAATTCATTTTGTCATATCAAAACAATGTTTCTCTGCTATAGACGCTGTTTGAAGCTGGTGGAGCTGTATTTATCATGAATTCAAATATACATTTGAGAAAAATTAGCTTAAGCGCGTATTTGAAAGCTATTTCGCATTATTTCGGGTTCAACGGGCCGACTCGATGTAGATAATCGATCGAACTAGTAGCTTTACGGAATGAAGTTAGGCCCATTTAATTAGCAAAAGAATGGATGAAATATAAACGTGCGTGATCTGTGAATGGAACCTCCTATTCTGGAGACTAGACCTTGCCTATTTTAGAGAAAAAAAAAGATTTAAGTTTTGATGACCTCGCTTGTCCCGTGAAATAGATGGCGATCCCCCAACACGGACGGCAAAATAAATTAACAAAATTATACAATCACGGACACAAAATATCAAAACGGTTTACACAAGCAGATTATAGCAACACCAAAGCTCACACACATTCGATCAAATAAGCGATATATAGCGATATTTGCTAGCTTCTTAGCTTTTCCTTGACCTCGCTCGTCCAAATAACTGTCGTATCCCTTGCTAATTTGCACAGGCGACCTGAGGCTTTTGCCCGTTACTATGAGACGTCATAGTGGCAGGCGAAGTGGGTCAAGAAACTTAGGTGGAGAACAATAGAGTTACCTTCCCCCTTTCGTCTCACTTAAGATGTTCTGGACACAAAGTCACTATATTTGTCCATTCAGGTATCACTTAGGTTTGTGCATAAATAAATGTACAAAAAATACCGTGATGTCTGTTTTAGTATGATCTCCTTTAGGGGTCAGTTTAAGCTTCAGCCACACCAGTATTGGTCTCCCTGAGGGGTTTAATGTTAATTTTCCGACAAGATCCCCATCACTTTTATATGGGAGTTCCCCCAGGGTTCTTTTTTACATTGTCGGACACTTTGTTTTTGTTTCGTTGCTGTAGACATATGAAGGCAATTTCCATTTCATATTTGATTGCCTGATACTGTGATGGATTAGGGACTAGACCTTGGATGACGGAGCTTTGTTAATTGCACCAATCATAGCGCAGGAATTGGTCGAAAAAATAAGGTTTTCCGTCTAACTCGCAGAGTAGCTCCTTTTACAACCCGATGCCTTTTGAGTGAAAGCGAGAATAGAGAACACAATAAACAAGTTAACCTCCGTCGAATTTACTGATTGCGCCTTATTTGGTTACAGTTTTTCTTTATCCCCAGTAAACCGTGCACAAGTTTACAAACCTCTTATGTAAAACCTGACCATTCAAACATAAGAAATTACATTCAAGATCACGCCCCTTCACAAAAAATGGCATGCTGGTGGTGCAAAATTGTCTGAGCCGGTTGGTTCACTTCTTCCTTCTTGCATATGAAAGAGGCGGGTTTTCTTGTTGAAGGAATTAGAATTGAACAGCCTCGGCGAATTAGGTTATGACGTCGAACATCCTCCACACACTCGAATAAAGCGAATTACCCTCGGGAACGAAGTCCTAAGGGAGACCAACCTGACCGCGGATATGGCTATAGATAGTTTTCACTGTCACGCAACAAAAATAAATTGGAAGCCGTCCAGTGGAAGAAGCCAAGAAAGTGAAATGTTATAAAAGACTAATATATAAACAATTTGTCCAAGTCTCAGGTCTTTGTGGCCCACAGTTTCTGAATTATTTGCCGAAACGTTTCACGCAAGTTTGTAGAGCTTTGTATGGAGACGCCATACTGGTGTACGGTTTTGGTGCACCAATTTGGCCGCCGGAAAACAACAAAAAAATCTGGAGTTCCCTTTTTCTGTAAAAGCTCTTTGGTTTTACTCGAGAACTAGCATACGTGCACATAAACATATCTTCTAATACTTGAAATGGTTATACTGCTGAAAATCAGGAGAGAGACTTTTTTTCAACGAGACAGCATTCCTATTTTGGTGTCACGCACTGTGAAAACTCCGAAGTTCAAATTGCTTTATTGTCGAAATGAAACATGCTAAGGGACTGGAAACCTGTACAAAGATGTTTTTTTGTTTATCTTCAACCTAGTGTAAATAAGAATGCGTAAAACCTCGCTATTTTGACTTTACAATTTGATGACGTCAGTGTGAAAACCATCTATACTTAACCTCAAAAGGAGACCATACTTCAACACAGGATATGCATGACGACATTTGGCATTAGCTTCACGTCATGAGCACGCTAACTGTAACTGAAATCAAAATCTGCAGCCCCTGTCGCAAAACGAGCTAAAAAGAGGCAACGAGCATCCCCGCGTATGGGAGCGGTTCTTACTACCAGGGGCTTCTGATTGGTCACACGGTTTTCGCTGGGTTATTCTGTGAAGTCACAAGCGTAAAGCATAGTGATTTACGTCTTAACAATAAGCCATAACTATAATTTCAGTTAGCACTTTCCTTGTGCATACGAATAGAAGACATTATTCATGATAGTTGTACATTAACTCGAGAACTAATTTATAATTAGAGACAGGATCAGCATTATGGAGAACTCCACAAAGTACGGTAGAAAGATGTCGGAAAAGACATGACACGAGCACAGAATGAGACAGTTAACTGCAAAGCAAGGATGGAGACAGGAACATAAATGGATATACCTAAAATATACTACACTATTTGCCGTAAAATCCAGTTTCAGCACGTTTGCAAATTCTGTCCGGACCACACCCGTTCGGTCCGTATTTTTACTCCTGTTACCCCTTTGAGTAAGTAGGGACAATTTCAACGATGCAAAAGTCGCAGCAGTCTTAACCAACAACGAGAGGCAATTTGAAACATTTGGATACTTAAAATCCTGATAGTTGAGAAATGTTTGCGAAAACAACATGACAAAACGATCTTGGCATGATCTACTTGATCTTACTATCTTAGGTGACAAACTAAGAATCAAAACTCCATTATCCATTACAGGCATGTAAACAAACTTGTGCAGTATTCCTAGAAGCTAAATAACGTAAACAGAAATGGGAAATACCTGAATGACCTTTAGTTTTTAATAGAAGACGATCATTGCGTGATATAAAGAAAGGTTTCGCTCAAATATCTTGTTATAGCATCTTAAGGCCCGGTTCAAACGTCGAACTTTACATGTGCCGAACCTAATACTTGTTAAGGTCGACCCAAACTATTAAGTTCTCGCCCCATGTAAGGGAATCCATGACAGTCTTGGATTCTGGATTCCACCCTGTGGATTCCGGATTCCGATTACTGGATTCTGGATTCCAGCTCAGTGAATTCCGGATTCCAAAGAGGGCTGGATTCCAAATTTTTTTCTGTTTTAATGCTTTTCTTCGCATTTCGTTTTCG